TGAACAGTGCAGAGAATTCTGCGGCGGTGCGCTTCTCGCGCACAGTTTTGTCAGCGCAGAGCTTGGTGAGCTCTACCTGTGCAGCGGCGGCGTCGTCAAGATTTCCGAAGCGAGCCTTGAACACCGTGAGAAAGGCTGCTTCGTCGGTGAACGGAATCGTGGCTCCCTGAGTTCCAATCTGGACAGCGGCGAGCTGGGCAAAGATGGGAGTGGCCCAGGCTCGCGCGTCACCATCGAGGAGGCTGAGGGCAACTTGGACCTTCAACTCGACAGTGGAGAGGGTCGTATTGATTGCCCAGTAAATGAGCAACTGGGAGATGAAGCGGTTGCATTCGACAACCGTTTTGCCATCATATCGGAGAGGAAGGAGAAGCTTCAACATCTCCTTATCGGGAGGGGGTGCTGGCAACGACATTACCGGCGACGAGGGGAACGGAGGACTGCCCGCGGACGAAGGCGACTGTTGTGACTGTCCGCCAGGCAAACTTCGCGAGGAACGAGTGCTTGTGCGGCCTCGCGGCGGCGACAGCGGTGGAGGCAATGGAGGAAGCCCAGGGGCGGGGTTACGTAAGATAGGGACTGAAGGCGAGGCGGGGACCACTGACAACGAGCCGGCCCAAGAATGCGGTGGAGTGTCGCTGGGCTCGGTCTTGGGAGGCCTTTCCAACTGCGGCCCCAAGAAGGGCTGGGGGATCGCTTGAGGGGCCGCTGAAGGCTGTACGACTGCCTCAGTTCTTTGAGGGAGATCAGGGTCTCCTCGCGCTTGACCTGTACTGGTGACAGGTTGGGGGATGCGGGTGCCTGGGGAGGCGGGACGCAATGCGACGGGGGTGACGTGGCGGGAGACAGATTGGGACGCGTACTTGAGATCTGGTCCAAGGGGGTGTTGGACTCGTCGGATGGGCACAAAGCGTCCGTTTTCAACAGTGATGGAGCGCGGGGTTCAATTAGGGCACGGTTGCCGGTCACAGTCAAAGAAGAGGGAGCTGGGATCGTCGAAGCGTGCGACGTCAATGTGATCCTTGGCATTGAATGTGTGCTCAAGTCCCGCGCAATTGAAGGCTTCTTCAGCCACGATGGATGGAGGGAGGAAGGGGAGGTGCGCGTACTACGAAAGGCCGTTGTAGACTAGCTTACACCTACGGCGCCCGAGGTGACACTAGGGTTCGCGATTCACGTGGGGCCCAGTACTGCTTTTGGCTAGTATGCAGCAGGAACCTAGTCCACGCGTCCAGTTAAGGACAAGCACTGCCCACTGAAGTGCAGGTGCTGAAAGGTTCGTTCCCTGAGTGTTGGTGATGTAACGTAGGCTATCTACGTATCGTATGGTATCGTAAGGGTGTGCACCACCCAACCTATAGGAAGTGAGTGTGGGTTGTGGGAGTCTCAAGGGACGCCGGCAGCAGTGGGGAGTTTTGACCTAATGTCGTGACTTGGGGTCAAGCGACTGGGGAAACCTAAAAGCTGGGGGCGTCCGACTAATTCTCACCGAAGCGATGGTGAGCGATGCTCAAACCTAAGGCTAGGGACAAGTAAATGTATTAGTTAGTGAAGTAAGGGAAAGATACAAAGGGAGGCTTACTGACCTAGGGACAAGAGGTCAAAACTGAGGTCCCTAGGGCAGCAGAGGCCGGCTTATATACATGGGGAGATAAGGGCAGGCTGTGCGCGCTGGTCCGTGCGCAGCTGGTCCGTGCGCAGCATGCTGACGCGGCCCCGGGGGCCGGTGAGTCAGAGCGGCTGTGTCAGCGGAGCCTGAGCTGTGCCGTGCGCTGCCGCCCCATCTAATCTAATCGTACAGTAGATAACGACGTGTCCGTGTCAGGCAGGTAGTACAGAGGTCGCGGGTTCAAGCCTGCGAAAAGGAAAAATTAAAAAACGGCTAGGCGCCATACCAAGTCGTGACAGCACTCTCCTCAGGCTCAGGCTTTGGCGCAGGGTCTGGAGGGAGATCTCCTCATGCTTGACTTGGACCGGCGACAGTTTGGGGAAGGCGGGAGCTGGGGGAGACAGGGCGAGAGTGCCGCAAGGCAGATCGAGATGCAAGGGTGCTGTGGGGTCCTTGTGGATGTTGGGCCCTCCTGATTGCCTTGTAGCACAGGTAATCTTGCGCGACTGACCGAGGTGTCCAATTGGGGCAGTCGAAGGCATGAACTTGGCCTTGACAGGCAGTCACAAAGGATGGGGGAAGGATGGGGAGGTGCGCATACTACAAAGGCCGTGCTATACTAGCTTACACCTATGGCGCCCGAAGTAACGCTAGGGTTCGCGATTCACGTGGGGCCCAGTACTGCTTTTGGCTAGTATGCAGCAGGAACCTAGACACGCGTCCGTTAGGACAAATGCCGCCCACTGAAGTGCAGGTGTTGAAAGGTTCATTCCTGTCACGAGTTGGTATGGCGCCTAGCCGTTTTTTAATTTTTCCTTTTCGCAGGCTCGAACCCGCGACCTCTGTACTACTTGCCTGATACGGACGCATCATATCTACTGTACGATTAGATTAGATGGGACGGCAGTGCGCGGCACAGCTCGGGCTCCGCTGACACAGCCGCTCTGACTCACCGGCCCCCGGGGCCGCGTCGGCATGCTGTGCACGGACCAGCTGCGCACGGACCAGCGCGCACAGCCTCCCCTAAACTTCCCCTGTATATAAACCTGCCTCTGCTGCCCTAGGGACCTCAGTTTCGACCTCTTGTCCCTAGGTCAGTAAGCCCCTGTACTTACTTACTTACTCAATACTAACTTACTTGTCCCTAGCCTTAGGTTTGAGCGTAGCTCACCATCGCTTCGGTAAGACTTAGTCGGACGCCCCCAGCCCTTAGGTTTTCCCCCAGTCACTTGACCTCAAGTCGCGACAATTCCCTAAGCGGTGGCGATGTATAGTACGCTATCTATGTATTGTAGGGTAAAGTAAGGGTGCGCACCACCCGACCTATAGGAAGTGAATGTGTGTTGTGGGAGTCCCGAGTGATGCCGGCAGCTATGGGGAGTTTTGACCTAATGTCGCGACTTGAGGTCAAGCAACAGGGGAAGACCTAAGAGCTGGGGGCGTTCAACTGGTTCTCACCAAAGCGATGGTGAGCAGCGCTCAAACCTAAGGCTAGGGACAAGTAAATGCATTAGTTAGTAAGGTAAGAAAGAAATACAAATGAGGGCTTACTGACCTAGGAACAAGAGGTCAAAACTGAAGTCCCTAGGGCAGCAGAGGCCAGCTTATATACAGGGAAGGATAAGGGCAGGCTATGCGCACTGGTCCGTGCACAGCTGGTCCGTGCACAGCATGCTGACGCGGCCCCGGGGGCCGGTGAGTCAGAGCAGCTGTGTCAGTGGAGCCCGAGCTGTGCCGCGCACTGCCACCCATCTAATCTAATCGTACAGTAGATAACAACACGTCCATATCAGGCATGTAGTACAGAGGTCACGGGTTCGAGCCCGCAAAAAGGAAAATTAAAAAACGGCTAGACGCCGTACCAACTCGTGACAACTACAGATCCCAGGAGTCGTTGTCTGATGGGTAAGGCTCCTCCCCATCTTCTGGACCTAGGTCATCCACTGATTCCGAGTCAGAATCATGCGGCTCATTCCCATCATCTTCGTCTGACGAGGATGTCCCTTCCGAAACATCTCATGGAAGATTGGTCCGGTCTCAATCTCGTCGCACCGCATAAATGGCCTGTACCTGCAGATGCCATCGTGCCCAAATTTTACAGATATTATGTCCCTGTCAAATCACGTCAGACGTCCTCCCAACGTTCTCTGAGCCCTATCCTGCTTGTTGAAGAATGCGGAGTACCCATAGATCCCCGGAAGCTCAGCATTGACGAACGGTGCGTAAAGCTACTTATGTCTGACGATAGGCGATAGGACTGATTGACCGCTCCGTTGCAGCTCGCAATGCTACACTCATACGTTACGCTTGCATTATGCGGATCAGTAGGTATGTAACTGAGCAAGCACGAGGAGGGGAAATCTTGTACGAGTCGATTGTAACTTTGGGCCGCTTGTGGGTGTAGCTCACATCGATGACTTCAGTGAGATAGTCGCGAATGGTCGTGAGGTAATCGAAGGCGCCCTCCAGAGAATAGAGGACGCGAGCTGTTTCAAAGTCAATAGCAGACGGCATGGTCGTTCGTGTACAAAAGAGACGTGAGCGCGGTGCGTGCGCGTGACGGGCCTAGATAAGGAATGTATCGCTCAGATCTGCACCGCTCTACTCAGTTGGACGAGACAAGCCCCGTTCTGCCTCGTTCCGCTCCGATGCACTTTTGACTGGGGTTCAAGTCCTGCCGGCGTCCCTTGTTTAAGTTTTTTACTGTTCATGGCTTTGTGGAGTCGATACCTCGGCGTCCTTAGATTGTTAGTGACGCGTGAAGGGACACACTGAGAGACCAGTTCCGCGTGAATTCGCTCCGTTTACCGTGTGAATGTCCGATTTCACACGGCAAGGGTGTGAAAAACGGATGAAACGCAGTCGACACCGTGAATGGATGAAATCCACCCGGCCCTCCTGACGGATGAATTTCACCAGAAAAGCGGCGGGTTTTCATCATGCAGAATGATGAAGGCAAACAATTGATACATTGCATCAATTCTGCTAATGGCTACTAATGTACAGATCGTTTCTGCACGAGTGTCCATCGACCGCGAATGCAAATGCGCTCTTCAACTCATTGCACCACATATACAAATTACCGGATTTAGGATGAAGGGTGCTCCAACGGGTTGGTCAGCATAAGAGGTAACGTGCAGCACCACACCTCTCTTGCAACCGGACTTGTTGACTCCCGTCACTCAACATCTCTCCTCATGTCATATCGACGACTCACGCTTATGGTGCAATGGACATTGGACCTGGTAGCCATATGCACGGCAAGAAACATGCAAAGTGGAGTATGTTAGGGTCTCCGCATTTGTGAACATTGTTGAAGAGCAAAAAAAAGGTGCGGTGTCAGCGTTCAAAGCCAAAGTTCGGTGACTCGAAGGTACATCGTTTAGCGAACAAAGTTGCTCCACGGGTAACGAGTTCGACTTGCAGGTGGAGATGGGACTAGAGAGTAACAACTGACTGTTTGAGTTGATCCAGGTGAGTAGTGGGTTCCTTGCCGAACCTTGACCAGAACTCACAGTATCTCTGAGTGATCAACACAAATGCACTATTAACATTGTTGCTAATAGCTCTCACCTTAGTCTACCACGGTATCGACATGATAAGACAAATATCGGACACATCATGCTTCTGGTAAGCACATGTCTCAATTGCAGGAAATGGCACTAATAATATGTCAGGCACACAGCCCTGTCTTGAACACTTTGCGCGCGATTGGGCAACTGAAGAGGATGAAGAGATCGAGCACGAGAGCACTCGTAGGGAGGGGAAAGACTTGTAAGCTAGGCATCATGCGCATGCAGTTTGAGATGGCAAGGATAGAGGCTTCAAGCTCACGCATAAGATAGCGATTGAATGTTTGCATGACAGAACCCTGTAATATGCGTATTGATAGATGATATATATGTTTTCTGACTGATGTATCCTACCCTGGGCTCGAGTGCCGATCTACTCAGCTATTTGCTGGAAACATTTGTTTCTCACTACTGCTGAAATTCATTCGCTATGACGAGGGTTTTGCTCGTGTTCTTACTGGTGGAATTCATCCGTCGCGATGGAGTTTTCACCCATTATCCGGATGAATCCAGAAAATCCAGCGCCGGATGAATGGGGTGCACTTTGTTCGAAATTTCGGATGAATTTCACACTCTTATTTCGCACTCTCGCTGGATGAAAATGCCACTGTCCGGATGAAAACACATGCGCTCTGCGTGTGAAAAGTACACGAATACCGTACATTTCACCGGATGAATTTCATCCAATATAGGTCTCTCAGTGGACAGTGTCCAATGGTGTAGCCCGCAAGCACAACTGGAGCGTACGCCTTGGAAGATTGTACACAACAACGTATTCTTGCCAAACAGCGGGTGTGGCTCAGCGTTCAGCACCCCAAGGTCCAGCTCAACAAGCACCCTGTTCACGACGATAAATTGTGTGAATGGCCCTCGTCACATCAACTAGAACACGGATACAGTACACTTTGAAATTGACATCTAGGCTACACCTGTTAGCTGAGCTTCCAACTATTATGCAAACCTATTGTATCATCAGCCCCGTTCATCGGCCCGCTGCAGCCTAGCGCAAGCTCCCTGCCCTCCCGCAGCGCGTCAGAACCTTCAGCAACGCCGTTCGCACGCCCGCTCTTTGTATTCTCCGCGCGTACATGCTCCAGGCGGGAGAGGTATTCCTCATCCACACCCCCAGTCACGTATTCGCCCGTAAAGACGGAGCAATCAAACTGTGAGATGTCCGGGTTGAATTGTCGCACGGACGAGATGAGATCCGGGAGCGTCTGGAAAATGACAAGGTCTGCGCCGATCGCCTGCGCAATTGCATCCTCGTTGCGGCTGTGGGCGACGAGCTCCGATCGCGACGGCATGTCGATGCCGTACACGTTAGAAAACCGGATCGGGGGAGCACAGCTTGCAACGATAACTTTCTTGGCGCCGACGTCCTTCGCCATCTGGATAATCTCCTTCGATGTCGTACCGCGAACGATGGAATCTAGTAGGCACATTAGCTTCGGGATCCGAGGTCGTATATATGAACGTACCATCCACAATGAGGACATTTTTGTTAGCGAACTCCAGCGCCATGGCGTTCAGCTTACGCCGAACATTCTTGCGTCTATCAACCAGAAGACCAGTCAGCCCAGGGCGGCTGCCATCTCATGTACGGACGTACCGCATTTGCTGCCCTGGCATGATGAACGTTCGCCCGACATAGCGGTTCTTAATAAAACCTTCACGGTATGGCAGCTGCAGCTTTTGCGCAAGATTAAGAGCCGCCACTCGTGATGTGTCCGGGACCTGCACAGGATATCAGCTCGTAGAAATCATCAGGATCATATAAATACTCACGGGAATAACGACATCAACTGTAATTCCCTTCTCAGTGAGCACACGTTTCACCTCCTCGGCAAGAGCGTCGCCCATCGCCATGCGGCTCCGGTACACGCTGACGCCGTCCAATACAGAGTCCGGACGCGCAAAGTAGACATACTCGAAGATGTCCGGCGCAAATGGTGCGGGCTGCGCAACTACTCGGCGAGTGACGCTGCTGCGGGTGATGATGACGGCCTCACCTATAGAAATGTCAGAACACCCCGCGACACACTACTGGTCCTGTATCAGGCCTCACCCGGTCGAACGTCCTCCCAGTCTCCAAAGCCGCTGGCATCAGCGACGACACTCTCGCTTGCGAACAAGTAGTCTCGGCCTGTCGCGCTGCCTTGGGCCTTGCGTGAACCCATGCCAACGGGACGAATACCGTTGGGATCCCTGAACGCGATGATCCCGAACCCGGCAAGCATTGCTACACAGGCATACGCGCCCTTGCACTGCTCCATCAAACCGCCGATCGCCGTGAAAATATCCTCTTCGTTGATTCGGAACTTTCCTGTCTTTTGCAGGTTGTCCGCGAAAATGTTCAGCAGCAGCTCGGAGTCGGACGAAGTGTTGATATGCCTATGAGCGGTGGCATCCATGAAATGCAGCAGAGAAGCGGTGTTGATCAGGTTGCCGTTCTATAACATCGTGAGGCTGTGAATGAAATCGCCATAGCATCGCGACATACGTGTGCGAAGACGATCCCGTACGGTGAATTCACGTAGAACGGCTGCGCCTCGGCATGATGCGAGCTGCCCGCAGTTGGGTACCGCACTGCAGAAATGAAGGTCAGATACACCGGGACGTCGCAGCTGCTTCACTCACCGTGTCCGATACCCATGCTGCCGGCGAGAGAGGACAGAGCATTGGAGTCGAAGACATCCCTGACCATGCCATTCGCCTTGCACTGGTAGAAGCGTCCCTTGGGCCCGCAAGTGACGATACCACACGCATCCTGGCCTCTATGCTGGAGAAGGGAGAGGCCCTCGCAGATCTCTGCTGCTGCATCGATGCTCGGATCGTGCAGGAGGAGGCCTAGGATTCCACACACTGCAGGTCGCGCTGTAAGCAACACCGCGCGGATCCACGAGAGCCGTACTCACTCCGTGCTCACAAGCGACAGACACAGGATAAATAGAGGGTTCCGACTGGGATGCCCGTGCTTAGCAGCCTGAGGGGCAAACGAACGTGCGCATATAAGGGAGCATACTGTCCATTACACACAAGCGACTTCAAATTTTTGCGTAAGACGTTGTAACCGCGGTCCGGCAACGATTTCCCGGCGCGCGTTGCGAGACGCGCGGGTGTCCGAGGTCTCTCGTTCCTCGCGTCCCCGACAGCGTCCCCTTGCGCTCAATTTTTATTTTCACTGGTTCAACAGCGATTTATGCCTTGCAGAGTATGCTACGCTGTGAGGACTGAACGAAATACATCGTCTGAATGAGACACCGCGGTCGCAACATCAACCGAACGCGTGGGGGACGCGTGCAGTTGTTTCGGAGCAAGCCGGCACCGGAAGGAGCGGAGTCTGACTGAGCACGAAATGAACCTTATTCTGCTGGCCTTAGGCGGGCTCGTTCGTCTCGTCATTCCACCACTTCATCGTCCACGTCGTCGACCATGCTCACCTCTCGCGGCGTCCACCGTCTCTCCCGTAGAGCGCTGAACAGCGCGAAGAAGACCAACGCGTTCTTCTCCAGCGCTGCCGCCGCGCCCATCCTCGCCCGCGCAGCCTCAGCACCTTCTTCGTCACAACGCGCGCAGGCTCGTGCTCCTCGTGCGTCAGCGCAGGCTGGTCTGTATTGCATTTCTACACTTATGTGAATCATTCGCTGACGATTGACTTCAATTTTTCTCGTGCCTTGATCGCGAATTCCGGTGGGCCGTGTCCTTAGCCCGCTCGTATGCTACCGAGGCAAAGGGCCCAAGTGGTCATGTAAAGACCGTCATTGGTGCTGTCGTCGATGTGCAGTTCGAGACTGAGAATCTCCCCCCCATTCTCAACGCGCTTGAGGTTGTCGACTTCCACGGCGGTCGTCTCGTCCTCGAGGTTGCGGCTCACCTTGGCGAGAACTCCGTCCGTACCATTGCCATGGACGGTACTGAGGGTCTCGTTCGAGGCCAGAAGGTCATTGACACGGGTGCGCCTATCAAGATCCCCGTCGGTACCGCTACTCTTGGCCGTATCATGAATGTCATTGGCGAGCCTATTGACGAGCGGGGACCTATCAAGGGTGTCAAGCTGTCCCCCATTCACGCTGAACCCCCGGCGTTCGTGGACCAGTCTACAACTGCTGAAGTTTTGGAGACGGGTATCAAGGTCGTCGACCTCCTCGCTCCGTACGCTCGTGGTGGAAAGATCGGTCTTTTCGGTGGTGCTGGTGTCGGCAAGACTGTGTTGATTCAGGAACTCATCAACAACGTGGCGAAGGCACACGGTGGTTTCTCCATTTTCTGTGGTATGCAAAATTGTCCGCTCTATCTCCGATGTATTCTGACTAAGCGGTAGGTGTTGGTGAGCGGACCCGTGAGGGTAACGACTTGTACCACGAAATGATTGAAACCGGTGTCATCAATCTTGAGGGTGACTCAAAGGTCGCTTTGGTGTTCGGTCAGATGAACGAGCCCCCGGGTGCTCGTGCCCGTGTCGCGCTCACTGGCCTCACCATTGCGGAGTACTTCCGTGACGAGGAGGGTCAGGATGTGCTCCTCTTCATCGACAACATTTTCCGTTTCACGCAGGCAGGTTCTGAGGTGTCCGCCTTGCTTGGTCGTATCCCGTCTGCCGTCGGTTACCAGCCCACGCTGTCGACGGACATGGGTGGCATGTACGTAGCGATCACGTGGCATAATGATTCTGCGCTAACGTTGCTTGCAGGCAAGAGCGTATCACTACCACCAAGAAGGGTTCAATCACATCCGTGCAGGCTGTCTACGTGCCCGCCGATGATTTGACGGATCCTGCTCCTGCCACCACCTTTGCCCACTTGGACGCGACGACTGTGTTGTCTCGTCAGATTGCTGAGCTTGGTATCTACCCCGCTGTCGACCCTCTTGACTCCAAGTCCCGTATGCTCGACCCCCGTATTGTACGTTCATATCTTGGTGTCTGGATGACCTCGTCTGAGTCGGTGAATTTCAGGTTGGTATAGAGCACTATGAAGTTGCGACTGCCGTCCAGAAGATCCTTCAGGATTACAAATCGCTTCAGGATATCATTGCCATTCTGGGTATGGACGAGTTGTCTGAGGAGGACAAGTTGACTGTAAGTGCTTCTTTACTCGCAAATAGACCGTGTACTCATGTCTGTTTTTACTTGTTAGGTCGAGCGTGCTCGTAAGATCCAGCGTTTCATGTCGCAGCCTTTCCAGGTCGCGCAGGTCTTCACTGGTTTCGAGGGCAAGCTTGTGTCTCTCAAGGACACTGTCCGCTCCTTCAAGGAGATCCTATCTGGCGCACACGATTCCCTCCCCGAGTCTGCGTTCTACATGGTTAGTCATGGCTTATGTGGTTGTGTATGGACTACAAGCTTATCTTGGATCCTTAGGTCGGCACGATCGAGGATGTCAAGACAAAGGCTGAGGAGCTCGCGAAGGAGATGGGTGAGTCATAATCGGTGTGAGCTGGTATGTCGGACGTACGTGGTGGACTGTTGGTTCGGAGCTTCTACGCATAGAGCGATCGCCAGCAATAAAAATGCTTTGATGTTTCCTCTTCTGTGCGATCCGGTCAATGGTCATGTTTCATCGGAAACCTCCATGTGTGGTTATCGATTTTGCATTGTCTGAGATTTTAGCGAGTGAAGAACATACAACCTGCAAGCCGTTGTCGTATATACATATGATTGAGTAGATCACATTACTAGTATCATTTACCTGAATGATCCGTAAGTTCGGTCCTACGCTGTTAGGTCTCACTTCATGAAATACCTTTCGGGATATAGTTATCGGACATACTGTAGCTTTAGGCCATCTTGGCGCAATCGGTAGCGCATCACCTTCCTATGTGCTCATATATGGGCGGGGATCAGGTGGGGGCTGCGGGTTCGATTCCCGTAGGTGGTAGTGATGAGGGGTTCGGCTTATGTTTTGTTGTTTGTCTCACAGCACCCTTTTCGTTAATATCATTGAAACTGCATTGAAAGATTTATCGAGAGACGGAGGCAGTGTTCGGCAGTCGGATAGATTACTGCGGTAGGATGGATATCTACGGCCGATCGCAATTCCACCGCATGCCTTGGCAAGAACTTGGCGTACTGAGGCGCAATTACGTAACAGGAGGCTATGATGTTCACTTTCACAAAAGGACATGAACATCCGCAAGCCGTTCGCTACTACGTTCTCTTTCAGTAATGTCCTCTCCCCCGACGGACACAACGCCCCTCCTTGAGAATGGAAATGATTATCACGAACTCAGGTCCTTCACTCATCGTGTGGTTGACGTGCTGAAGGCCGAGGGCGAACCATCTTGGCTTGCGTCCTACCGATACTTCATATTCGGTTCTTGGGTGAATGTGCTTTTGCTATTCATACCACTCAGCTTTGTTGCCGAGTTCTTGAACTGGGATGCGGCTCTCCGATTTTCTTTCAGCTTTTTGGCGATTATGCCTTTGGCTGCGGTAATAATTCTCGCGAGTTGTGTCAATGTGTCGTGTCGCTGAAGTCGTCCCCGAATAGCTGCTGGGAACAGCCACAGACCAGATGTCCATGAAGCTCGGTCAAACCCTCGCTGGTTTATTGAATGCGTCGTTTGGCAATGCCGTTGAGATCATTGTCGGCGTTGCCGCCCTTCTTCAAGGTACGAATCAGCTGGGCCTCTCATTGCAAATAATTGATATCACCTGTCTGCACCAGATGAATTGCGCATTGTACAGACATCGGTCTGTGACACCATTAGTCAACACGTAACTCAATTCTTACGTCATCACAGATGCTCGGTTCCATATTGTCAAACTTGTTGCTGGTGCTGGGTTGTTCGTTCTTCGCTGGTAAATATCGGAACGGTTCCGCCGTGCTTGTGAATCAATCAAGTCTCTAACTCGTATTTCAGGCGGTTTATTGTACCAGCAGAGCGAATTTGACCAAACTGCGGCCCAGGCGTGAGTGATCAGGCTTCTCCTTGTGCTCTAGGCTTACGCCGCGTTTACTGTCATCAGTTCTAGCTCGGTATGTGCTGTATCATACGATATTGGAACCGAAAACTAATTTCATGTACAGTTGATGACACTGGCGTGCATCAGTAAGCGATACCACAAGGTTTCCACTTCACATTGCTCACCCTTCTCATGAACGTAACAGCTTTGGTTATACCCGCTGCATACCATAGTTCCCAGACGGTCCACAACCCTGGAGACGCAGTAAACGGGGTTGTAAGCGATGTGACAGAATCCGAGGCCGGCTTGCGGTTCATCTCCCGTGGTACTGCGCTGCTTCTTCTTGTTGTATATGTTGGTTACCTCATATTCCAAGTCAGTAAAAACTACGAATTTGTTTGTAGCACCGGATTTCCTGACGTTGTATTTTTTCAGTTGAAGACACACGCAAACTTGTTCGAGAGCGAACAGCAGCAAGACGAAGAGCCTCCTGAAATGAACATCGCAGCAGCAGCTACTGGGTGCGCTACATGACTCATTCATTCAGCTCGATTACTTGCTTAATCATGTCTACAGCTTACTCGGAGCAACTGTGGTGACGTCATTTTGCGCAGACAATTGTGAGTGACGCCGTCTGGAGATGTTGCAGATTACGCTGAAACACCACCAGTGGTGGGATCCATTGAGGAGACTGCGGACCGCTATCACATCCCAAAACAATTCATTGGGGTTATACTCCTTCCTATTGTAGTAGGCATGCTCCATCTTGCGACGAGAACACGCTGATCATATCTTGTCCAATATCAGGCGAATGCAGCGGAGCACGTCACCTCCGTCTGGATGGCTCGTAAGAACAAGATGCCGCTCACTATCAGTATCTGCGTGGGCAGTGCAATTGTGAGTGCTGTCATGCTTCACATATGGCACATCGCTCAGCATCCCATTACAGCAATTGGCGACCTTCGTTGTCCCTCTTCTGGTTGTTGTTGGGTGGATGTGAATTATTTTCAGGCTTACCCCCTGGGATTTCTCTCATGAAGTCATTGCAGCACTCACCATGACTTGACTCTGAACTTCTCAAACTTCGAGGTGAGTTCCCTCGTTACTTTCAGCGGGACACTGACTCAAAGGTCAAATGCAGACAATCGTTTTGTTCGTGTCTGTCCTACTGGTTCAATTCCTCGTCCAGTATGTGGATTCCTCACTTCTGACAACGTACCGCTGATATGATTTTGTGTAGGGACGGGAAATCAAACTACATGGAAGGAATGATGTGGGTCGTGCGACTAGTGCTGTAATGCTTCTCACGCTGACCCTTGGTTTCGCTCAGGCTAATAGCACTATATCTGGTCATTGCGATTGCCTGTAAGCCTCGTCTTCCATTTCATGCGTGTAGCTGCTCATCAGGTCTTTACAGTTTGGGTGTCGAAGTGATCCCTGCACACTCGAAATCCCACCCCCGCATCATGTCTCGTACCAAAAATGCGTCTCATTCGCGGTTCCCCTGTTATTCGTATCTTACCTACTTTGTATGGCCACGTGTAGTATTGGATTTGCAGACATGGGAAGTCGACGAGCTTCGGACGCTGACGGCGATGCCGCCTGACTTGCCATGTCATGCTTACTCGGATTGTTACTACCATTCTCGCCTGTTATCATCGCAGACATGTCTGCAGCAAACAAGTGTTGTTGACTCAGGTCGCGGACTTGTCTTTGGACCTCAAGGCCTCATGTATGAGCCATCATAATGATGGGAGATCCGTTGGATCGAAGATGATCGAGTGGAGATCTTGTAAGCGATCGTGTGGTTCGCCGCTCTGCAGCCGCCACCATGTCCGCAACAAACGTGGATTTAATCCCTTTCCTGGAGGCAGGCACCCATTCAGAGGATAATTCCTTCGACCCAAGGCGTGTTTCGGAACATGGGGAACCGTCATGGCTTGCCTCGTACCGGTTTTTCCTTCTGGGTTCTTGGTTGAATCTGCTACTTGTCTGTGTACCTTTGAGCGTCATCTCACACTTGCTGGGCTGGAATGCCGGACTCCGTTTCGTCTTTAGCTTCTTCTCACTCATACCGCTTGCCGGGGTAAGTCATCATTGTGCCCGTATAATATACGTGAACTCGTCAAGCTGACCACGACGTCAGTTATTGGGTACGGCGACTGACCAGATGTCAGCAAAGCTCGGTCAGACGCTTGCCGGCTTGATCAACGCGTCGTTTGGTAATGCAGTGGAGGCAATCATCGGAATCGCTGCTCTTTCACAAGGTTGAGTGTAGCCCTACAAACCAGTAGCAAATTCTCACGACCTCAAGCAGGAAGGCTGCGTATTGTGCAAACATCCGTATGTAGAGCGTAGAACACCATGCATATATCTTGCTCACTATGCTAATTTTATTAGATGCTGGGATCTGTCCTATCAAATTTACTGCTCGTCTTCGGCAGCTCACTGATCGCAGGTCCGTGTAACGACGTCGTGTGTTGCTTAGTTTAAGTTCACCATGACTGGCATCTAGGTGGTTTGAAATTCTCTGAGGTCAAATTCGACCCCACTATAGCACAGACGTGAGTATCTCCTTACAACGCTTGTAGGTAGCCTGTTTACACTATCGATCAGTTCAGGTTCAGTACGTACAAGCCACATTCGTCCTGCCATCTACTCCATCTCATGAACGACAGTTGATGACTCTGACATGCATTGGTATAATTGTACTTTCAGGCGGACGCGTCAAGAGGCGCTAATTCCATGTCTGCGTAGCCCTCGTCCTTCCTGCAGCATACCACTACAAGGCCATTGGCGAGATAGCAGATTCAGATCAGGTTGACACGGCCGCCTCCAAATCAGTCAACGGGGTCTCTCAATTGTCTCGTGGCACGGCCATTCTACTTCTAGCAGTCTATACGTGTTACCTGCTGTTCCAGGTCAGATTGTTGATGATAATTCTGCAACTCCACGCTGATTATATACGTAACAGCTCAAGACTCACGCGTTTCTGTACAATGTGGATACCTCGCAGGAGAAGAGACCTCACACAGAGGCCCTTCTTCCCAGTGAAGAAGACGAGAAGCCTGAAATGAACGTTCCGGCTGCCGTCTCGGCGTAAGCTGCATACTTGTTACTGTCCGGTATGCTCATTCATGTTACATGCAGGTTACTTTTGGTGACTGGTGTGACGTCATTTTGTGCTAGCTATCGTGAGTCGAAAGCCATCCGTTGCGTGTTACTGGTAATTATCACTCCCTTGCAGTCGTTGCATCTATTGAGGAAACCGCCGAGCGGTATGGTATACCGGAGCAATTTATCGGGACCATCCTGCTACCCATAGTCGTGAGTGTGCTGTGTCTATTGACTGGGCTGATGATCCCGACGCGCATCACCCCAGTCGAACGCCGCGGATCATGCCACCGCTGTCTGGATGGCACGCAAGAACAAGATGGAGATAACCATAGGCATTTGCGTGGGCAGCTCAATCGTAAGCATTCGCACACTCCTAATGGGTCGCTCATGCTAATCCGTGCTAATCCGTACGATAGCAAATTCTGGCATTCGTAGTCCCATTCCTTGTTCTCGTTGGCTGGGCGTAAGTGCCATGCATTTATTCAACTGGCCATGTTGATTTTAAAGCCAACAACAGAACACGTCACGACCTATCCCTGAATTTCGGCGGGTTTGAAGTGAGTCACAAGAGCGTGCGGCTCTGCCATGCGATTGCTCATCTGCGACCTTTGAAGACCATCACCCTATTTGTCGCTGTTGCGTTTGTCCAGTATCTCATACAGTGCGTGATTATCTTTGTTATGACTCAACCCATCTCACGGACTGCGCTCCAGAGACGGGAAGTCGAATTACATGGAAGGCGTGATGTGCGTACCGTCGACGAACATCACGCTGATGCATCTATCTGAACCTCAGTCATAGGCTCATATCGCTGTATTTCATGATCGCTCTCTCGTGTACGCACATTCACTGTTTCGCACGTTGTGGGTCTGCTAACATCCTGCATTTCAGTCTGGGCGTCCTAAAAGCATCGGCTAAAGACATCATATCAATACTGACTACATTTAGAGCATTGTGATATGTCTGGCTGACCGCATAGATCTACTGTATCCCTCGCATTGTTGCTTCAACGCAACACTCTATCGATGGCTACACCATACGGAGACTGGAATTCGATGCTCCAACAACCGCTACGTAATTACGCTATAAGATAATGACGACGTACACCATTACGGGTATTTGCGCTGAGCGCACGGTGACACCTACTTTCAGTCACTCAGTCAGGTACTATGAGATAAGGCTGTCGCCCTGGAGCTCCTCAAACTTCTTGCGGGCGAGTCGTACGTTCATCCGTAACGCAGCGGTTTCTGTGCACGGACACATTAGGCAAAAACGCAGACATGTAGGGGATCGTGCGTACCTATTGTGGGATCATGCACCACGATCAGTACATACGTATTTTTCGTGAGCTCGTCGAGCACCGCGGTGAAGTCATCGAGTTCCATCTCGAGGGAGTGGAACTCTTCACGGACGCGCGAACATGCGTGTTTGAATGCCTTGATAAGCTCCGAGGTGCGTTCGTACCGCGTCGGGGAGAGCTTGTGCGGATCGGAGTCCTGCTGGACACTCGTGTGTGGTATTGACCGTGAGTACGTTGTGGATGTGAAGTTACTGGATGTGTGTGTCGAGGAAGGCGTGGAGAACGAGGGGGACATAGTGGGTGGAGAAGTGATGGCGGTGGGCGATGCGGGGGGTGGTGTGGACGTTGCAATGACCAGGAAGGTTGTGCGCTCAAAGAGGATCACTTCCGTCGCGCTGCAGGCTTGAGCGAGGACTGTAAGATGTTTCGAGAGCACCGCCGCGTTTGGGATGAGAGTGTGCACTATCCGCGACCACGCCTGGTGATATCTTTATGAGTGGTTCTAATTACAAGAACAGAACACGTTTTACCTTGTATAGACTTTCATCGTATATGCTCGTGCCGAACACTGTAACCTCGACGTCTGCACTTTCTTGCTGGAGTTCGTGCGTCTTCCTCTCCAACACCGCAGCCCGGTCCCCTCGCACCAGATCAATCTTGTGCACCAGCAGGAACACCGCCGCCTCGGGGCTGTTCTTGCGTAGGGCAGCGAGGCACCCGCGGTAGTACGCGAGATCCTTGCTCATATTGCGCGATTCAACCTCGAAGACGTAGATCATGACAGCAACGTGCTGGAAAATGGTGGACTGTTGCTGCGCCAGGTACGTCTCCATGAAGGTGTCCTGGCCGCCACAATCCCAGAGATTGAGAATGAGGTCGCCGAGGAAGCGCACATGGTTCTGTTCGACATCGATAGTTGCACCGAGTCGCGCAGTAAGCGATGCAGGGTTGTTCGAGCTGGCATCGAAAGATGAGCGCGTATAGAGAATGTTGGTCGGCACTGGTGCTCACAAGATCAACGAGCGCATGGACGTCTTGCCGCTGCCCGACGCCCCCATTAATACCACCTGCGAAGATATGTATTCTAAGTATTGTATCCTTCGGAGAACTGTAGGTGAGAACTGACCTTTTTCTTCATAGTTTCGGTCGACTCGGCTTAAGCCTAGCTATGCGTCCACTTGAGTTCCGATCCAGGGGCACTAATACTGTCCAAATCCTGTGTAAGTCAATCGCATGCGCCTCAAATGCACGCGTTGACAGAGCTTGGCGACAAAGAGCTTGGGAAAAGGCTCTTGGGACGTGGAGGAAAGGGAACAGTTGAGACGGATGAACATGGGTGGCGGTTGTTGCTATGAGGTAATTCAGCGGTTTCAATTGAGCGGGCTCGGGCGTCTTTCTATAAGCAGTCGAACACCCGAGACGCGACTAAACATTCGACGCAATGAAATGGACTGAATAAATGGCATACATATTGCTTGTCAACAGAGAGGCCAAGGATCTATACATCACTACCTACGCGCGCGAAGACTACATTGCGTTGCGGCGTACGCGTACGTTAGTACTGGGATTGCAGGACAAATACATGCGAACACTCGAGACTATCCACGTCCGTTGGTACCGTCCCGATGTTGTACGTTGCAAATCTGAAAACAAGCAGGAGTAGAAGTAGAGAAGACGAAAGAAAGATGGGATGTGAGCGAGCCAGTTGATTATGATAACTGTAGGCTGCAGAAGCAAATAGAGCAACCGGTGCCGGCGATGGTGATACAGATTAAGTCAGAGGAGCATACAAAAAGAGAATCAGAAAAGAGAGAAGGAGGGTTGTTGAGCCTCGCGCCAGGCTTTGTATTCAAGGAATTCGTTAAATCGTTGCGGTGTTCTTTGAGATGATTTGCGGAAGGATTTAGAACCCAGGCATGCCACCAAGGCTCATATAGTTCTGCCCGCCGACGACGGGCATGGGTCCGGGGCTGGGGTGCCGCATAACGCTCTGCATGGCGTGTGGGTTCGCGAACGGCGAGCCCATGCCGCCCATGTTCATTTGCATCTGCATTAGGGGGTTCATACCGAGCATGTTCATGTTCATCTGTTGCATCCCCATGTGTTGCGCGGCATAAGCGAGAGCGGTTGGGTTAGACATCGCAAATGGGTGCTGTCCGGACGTGCCGGTGGGCGACATTTGCCCTTGGCCGGTCGACTGCATGGTCATGGGCGTCTGTGAGGGCGATGACGCGCCTTGCTGAACTTGGACTTGGCTTGCTTGCACCTTCTGCATAGCTTGTAGCTATCAACATACACATGAGCTCAGCTTGTAGATTCAACACTGATATGAAGCCAAACCTCATAGAAAGCGAAGTCCTGCAGGAGCGACGTCCGCGCCGGGTGGGTGTGGAAGATGCGCAACATCTCCTGACCGGCATCTGGCAAAAGCTCTTGAGTGTCACGCGAGTTCGTGACTGGCTTGCGCTCTTGGGTATTGCTGAATAAATCTCGTTAATTCGTGCCCAAGCATTTATCGAGGCGAACACATACTTCAGTCTGATGTGCCGGAGGTTCGCGTTGGGGATGTCGCGCACGAAGATCCACCTGACTTTGAAAACGCCCTTCCACTTATCCGAAGCCCACACAGTGCTGCTACGGGTGTAGTCAACCTGCATGTGCAGAGAGAATAAGCTATCGGAAGTATCAAAGAAGGTACCCTACTTACAGGTGTTAGCATCTCCGCCATTCCACAGAAATGCCCGCTATAGCTGGTCAGACAGAGATGACAGACGAAATACCATTGCCGTACCTCGCATTGACGCTGAAGAAGAGGTAGATAGGACCCCTACCAGCGGTCTCTTTGAAGGCCTTGTCCAATCTTTTATTTCCGGGATCCGTAGAACTCCAGATTTCATACTTGAGCGACTTATGGACGTCATCCTCCGTGTACGATTTGATAACGAAGTACCGCGCCTGTTCACCTGATTTTAGAGAAGGCGCGATATGACAGAACGTATACGCACAAACAGCGGCCTCGTGTCGAAGTCAACGGGGTTGTAGCCTTTCGTGGCAATCAAAGTTGGCACGTCGATCGGCGAGCCAATAAAGTTGTCTAGAGGGCCGCTCTGAGAGCCGCCCTGGGATTGCGCGCGACTGTGCGCACTGGCCTGGCTGAGGTTTGGAGAAGTAATTCCCATACGGGGAGCCTGACTCTGGTTGAGATAGTGCGATGGGATAGGCGGAACATTCGGGACATCGCCCCCGTTGCCGTTCTTGCCGCCCTGATACAAGTGGTGCAGGCTGGGGTTCGATGCGCGTCCACCGAGAATCCGCTCCTTCTGGTCCCAGGTGGATGTACCAGAGGCGGTGAATGCCCGGTCGCGCCCCGTGTGTGCCTGTGGCTGCTGCTGTTGTTGTTGCTCCTCGCGTGCCTGGGAAACTGGTGACAATGCATGTCCGATAGGCGGAACGTATGCGGATGCGCTTTGCGCGGCGTTCTGCATGTTGCGCCCATCGAGGTCAGTAACGAGTTGCAGCTTCCGGGATGAGCCGGTGCTACTACCAGAACCGCTGCGCATGCCGGGTGCCTGCATGGGTGGCGGGTGGGACGGATTGAAGCGCGGAGGATGCGTGGACTGTCCTTGCTGAAAGTTGCCCGCGTTCATGTTATACTGTTGGTTTATTTCCATAGCAGACAACGCCATCGAGACTTCGTCGATGCCCGTGTTGCCATTTCCGCTAACTTGATTGCGCCAGTCGTTTCCGGGCGTACTCCAAGGCGACGATCTACCCATGGGGCTGCCAGGGTACTGACCTTGGCCATGTTGCCCGGATGATCCGAAGTACGAATCCTCTTCTGCGTAAGTGCTGTCATTATCGTACTCCTCCTCAGCATTGGTGGGACTGGGACTTTGGGCACCAGAGTACGAGATGCCCTTAGCTTGACTCTTGACCGGACCTGCCTGGATCGTGCCTGCACGCTTGAGGCCGGAAGTAAGGTGACGCACACCGGCAGCGGCGGTAGGGTAGTTGAGACTCTGGTGGCGGCGAACCCCAGCCTGGCCGCTCGGAGGCGGAGAAGGACCTTGGGGAAGACCGCTGCCAAAATGTGGTGACAGTGGCGATGCAGCCGACGAGGACGAGTCCATGCCATGGTGGCCATGGTCCGAGACAGTCATATGCTGCCAGAAACCGATGAGAAGACAGATCGTATGGTGGCGGATTGCAAAACCATACCTCCTCCTCATCTCGGAGGCCTCGCATCTCCTTCTCCCATTCCTCCTCGTCGCCTTCATGCCCGGCGATAGCGGACAGGCTGTTCAGGGTTCTCGGAGTGTGTGAGCCGGGTTGGCGGCCAGGTTGACCACCAAAGGCTGTTGTTACAGACACCACCCCAACACGATGCCATGGTCAGACTGCGGAGCTCAACGTGCTCGGGATGTGCACAAGCCTGACTCACCCCGATGGTAACGCGTTGGGAGAGATGCCTGTCGGTGCAGAGAGGACTTCTCCCCTACAGCGCCGATGCCTCCGACCCAGTCGTGGTCGACAGGCTCATCTTCGGCCCAGATTTGCTCGCCTTGGGGGTCTTCGAGCTCTGAGATAGCAATTTTTGAAGTTGGCCTGGTCGATCGCGATGCAGCAGTGATAGTGTGATGGCGACGCACAGCACCGCCAGAAGCGGCGGTCGACGCAGGGACTGGGGGAGGAGAAATGGGATGGCCAGACTGCGAAGACATGGCTCTGCGCAGGTGAGGTCGGCGGTCAAGACGAAGAGAAGATGGAAAGCGAGGACCGCGCTGCCGCAGGGCGGTTACTGCAATCCGGTTTCCGGTATATACCATATTTAGACATATCCCAGGTTATCTCCGGCCAGACACTACCACTCACTTTGCAAGTGAGCACTTTGCGAATAGGTGCATAACATGCGACCAGGGTTCCCCATCTCTACAGGGGAGTTCCTCCATCTTCTTCAGCGATGTATGCCTCCAGATGGCTGGCCTAGGGCAGTAGGTCGGTACCCAAGCTTTCGTCTCCCGTACTGCCTAGCTCACTTTCAGATCACTACCCCAGGTGTAGCAAATTCGGGCGGCCCTGATTCTGCGTGTCTCTTATTTCTCCTCGCCTCTGTCGTCAGAAACCACAATGGAGCCCGTGGGCTTCCCCAGAAAGTGGTCTCGCTGCATGTCAACCATGCATTGCAGAAGGCTTCCTTCGATATGGTTCACGCCGCTGAACAGGCCGCATTGAGGGCACAAGTCCACCATCGCACATTGAATATCCCATGGGGAAGGAGCTCGTACCCTGATAAGCCGCAAGAAAACCAGCCATCCGAACAGATAGCTCGGGACGCGAGATACAGACTGCTGTTTCGGACAATGATCCACGAAGACCTCCCAGCAATCGCCTATGGGCACCATGCTGATGATCAGGTAGAGACCGCCATAATGCGTCTAGCCATGGGCAGCAGTGACCTGGGTGCAGCTGGTATGCGGCCAGTCCGTCGATGGGGGATGGGTGAATCATCTGGTACGCAGCCGTACGGTCCTCACGGCATGAGCCGTTGGATTGTCCGACCGCTCTTGACTGTTCCTAAGGTGAGCCAAAGCTTATCTTCGATTTTGGACATTCTCACGTATGCTGCAGGACAGAATACTTCTCACATGCGAGACATATGAATTACTGTATGCCCATGACCCCACCAATTTCCAGCCATCCCTCACGCTGCGGAATGCCATTCGACATCATCTCTCGCAAGCCAAAACCGTGGATATGGGCGAAGACACTTTCGAACGCGAAGGGATGCCCAAAGGCAGAGATGTTGACAACCGCGCAAATACGGACAAAAGCGAAGATGCAAGCAAGGGGGAAGACATGCCCAGCGGCAAAGACATCGACAATGATCTTGCTGTATGTAGATGACCATGTGAGATTGGCTTTGGAAGCTTACAACGCCAGGGCCCCATATTTCCGCGGATAATGCCGCTCAGTGCTCTCTAGAAGAGCGCCCAGATGTCTTGAAGGCCATACAAAATCTCCAAAACAGGTCGCCAGACATTCCAGGTCGCGATGGCTTGCGAAATGCGGTAAGGCTGCTCGGTGAGCGCGTCGAGACGATTGATACGCAAGGTACGCGCTCATACATCACCGTTATGTGTTTGATTATGAGACAGAACTCTAGTCAACAACCACCTCGTTCGTGCTTGCCTTCCGTCACCTCCATCTACCGTAATCTTGCGCTCTCAGGCACTCTCACTCGTCACTGAGCCCGAGGTACGCGTTGCTCTGGTACGCCGCGTCCTCCGCTACGTCTCGCCCCGCCTCTGGGGAAGTCTACAAGCAGAGGTCTGTGGCGACCGCGAGCGGCTCGACGGCATTGTCCGGGCCGTCTGGGGAACGCTGCACGCGCCCTCCGCCCGTAGGAGTAAGTCCAGCGGCGCAAACGTGCTCTGGGTCCCTGGCATCGTGCGGCAAAACGGGCCCTTCCGCATCCGCAACGAGCTCAGCTGGAACCAGGGGTGGGCGTGGCTTGTGCGGCGTGCGAAGCCCATTGCTGACTACAAGCTTGCGCGGATCGGCCGCGCGAACACGCTCAACCGTGATGTGACCGATATCCTGCTGGACGGTATCCTGCGTCAAGGCCTATGTGAGGTGATGTACGACGCGCGGTTTCTCGTCACCATGGATATATCCGCCATGCCGGAGGACATTGCGGCGTCGATTACGTACAAGACGGGCCGTGTGTTCATCCTCCCAGGCCAGACTTGGCTGAATCCCCGAGTGGTCTGGCGCAGAACAGAGAAACCCGATGAAGAGCTGGCGAGCATTGGCTGGGATCTTGGCCGTTGGAAGCCCGTGGATGTGGCCTCGAGGCGATCAAAATGGATACAAATGCGGTGTATACGGACGTTGGAAGCTATATAGTCAACATTAAAGTATATTACCAGTTTTTTTTAGCTACGCCTTGCAATCAAACCGAACTTCTATGAGCAAGCGCGTATATTCCAAAGCTCTTACGGGGCCATCATCTGCACATGTCCACGAAGCGCTGCGCATGTAAATGTAAACGCATCAATCATCCGTGAACTTGATGCTGTGAACCTGCATCTGCATGACCGGAGAACCGATGATCAGTTGTATATGTCCAGATGAGGGACACGGATACACACCGATATTTCTCCTCCGCGGTAGCTCCCCCTCTTTTTCTTGTTCTTTTCCTTCCGGAATCCAGCACCACGCGTGACGATCAAGTCGCGGGCTGCACGGTGGCCGTAATCATCTTCAACCCCTCCCTACATAGTGCTTAGATTAGCACTGCGTATGATATGATGGTGGCTTGGATTAAAAACGACGCACCCTCGCCTCGAACCGATTATCCCTCAGTCGCTCGTCCAAAAACTGCACAGTGTCTGGCTTCACACGCTGGAAAGGCGTGTTGCTCTTTCGCGGTTTGCCCTTGCCGTTCCCGTTTCTGCCGTTCCCATTCGGACCGTCGCGAAATGTGTCTGCACTCGCTGCGGCTTCTGGGGTCTCTGGCTCTTGAGCAGTGCTCACAGTTGCACTGGGGACAGAGGCCCCGCTCTCGGAGACCCGACGCTTTTTGACGACCTTAGTATCGGGATCGTGGAGGGAAGTTTGGGGTGGATTTGGAATCACCACCTTGCCCTTGCCCTTGCCCTTCTGCTCTTTGCTAGCCTTCGGCTTGGAGCTTGCGCTCGATGATGACGAAGATGAGCTATCCGAAGACGAGTCCGAGTCCGAATCTGAGGATGATGATGAGGACGATGATGACGAGGACTCGTCGCCTGAAGACGAGTCCGCCTTCTTGCTCTTTGCAGAACCAGTCTTCTTGTCCTGCTTTTTTGAGCTGGCGCTCGCCTCTTTTGCATCCGGATCCGTGATACCGGTTACGGCCTGCTGCTGTTTGGCAGAGGCTTTGACTTTTGGTTTCGCCTCCTCCTCGCTCGTGCTAGAGTCGCCGTCCGAGTCCGAATCGCTATCCGAATCGCTGTCGGGGTCGCTGGAGCTGCTATCGCCGCTCTCGTCATCTTTCTCTTTACCCTTTGCCTCCGTGGCCGACTGCTTCTTGACAGCTTTCTGCACAGGTCTGGCCGACTCCTCGTCGTCAGATGAACTGGAATCCGAGCTAGAGTCCGAGTCGCTGTCATCATTACTGTCCTCACCCGAAGATAGCGTCTTGCTAGACCTAGCAGATGTGTCCGTCTTGACGGGGGAGGCCGGTTTTGACGGGATCGCGGGTTTCTCTACCTTTGCCGCAGCTTTGGTAGCAACCTTCAGTTTTGCGTTGGACTTTTTTGCCTTTTCTATCAAAGTTGAATGGCTCAAGGCGCGAATACAATTAGACGGTGCATGAGCACTTACCCGAATGAGATGAAGATGATGACGACGCTAAGACACACCCGTCAGCATGGCATGCAGGCTCAGCATAAAAGCCATACGTACAAGATGAGTCGGAATCAGAGCCAGAGTCGGAATCATCAGAAGAACTCGAGCTAGACGAGGCTTTACGGGCATTGCTTCAGCACACAGTGGCAGTTTTGATTAAGGAGAAACGCACAGTCCGAGTCGGAATCCGAGTCATCCACTTTCCTGCGAAGAGACTATGAGCGAGAGAAAGGTAGAGTCTGCGCACGCTCGCTCACTCGGCCAGTCGTGAAGCCTTCCACTGCTTCAGCACGTCCTCAAGCTTTGCCTCGGCCTTGACGCCTTCCTTCAAGACGACAGTGCCTTTCGCAGCGCTCTTGATCGCCCCCGCGGCTTTTTTATGTGACCTCCTCGAAAGAAAGTCATAGATGAGGGCATAGGTGACTGAACGCCTGTATGATCAGTTGATCGGCATTCAATGCGACCGGCGTACGTGCTTACGCGCGAGGCTTCCGTCCGTCGCACCCTGTTCAGCGGGCATTTTGTCCCTCTATTTCGGCCTGCAGATTGTAGCGCAAAACAGTCAAGAAACGAAAACTCGGGATGAAGTGCAGCCACCCTCGCTAACCAATAGGAAGCGCAGGAGCGGAAATCTGCCACCGACCACAAGCAAGGACAAATATCTGGTCGCTGTTGTCAACGATGAGCGCCAGCCTGCACGCGTCATCCAACAATGGCTTCAATAAAAGGCCCAGCCCCTACGAGCAACAAGCTTGACGGCTCCCCACTCCGCATTGCCATCGTGCACTCGCGATGGAACAAGACTGTCATTGACGCGCTACTGGCCGGCACTATCGCGAAGCTCAAGGAGCACGGAGTGAAGGACAGCCACATTGTTGTGCAGTCTGTACCGGGTAGCTTCGAACTGCCGCTGGCCTGTTCCAAGTGTGTATGCTTGTTGTTCTTGCTATCGCTTATTAGAATCATTTGCGCAGGGTCATCACAGGGTCTCGCGTCCAGGCGGGCGCGAGCGCAACTGATCTGCTTGGGGGGCTGTATATCGGAACATCTTTGAACTCTCCTCGCCCTTCGTCGCGAGCAGCTACGCCTGCCCCGACAGTCGCATCCATGCCTAGCCAGCCCTTCGACGCGGTTATCGCCATTGGCGTGCTCATCAAGGGCTCCACCATGCACTTCGAATATATCTGCGACAGTGTGTCGCATGCCTTGATGAGAATCCAGCTGGATACTGGCATCCCTGTTATCTTTGGCGTCCTCACTGCACTGACGGACGACCAGGCGCTGGAGAGAGCAGGTATCGGGCGGGGGGAGAGCAAGGGTCACAATCATGGCGAGGACTGGGCTTCTGCCGCAGTCGAGATGGCTTCCCACTCGCGACGCTGGGCAGAAGGCAAATTCTGAGGTAGGGGCCTCTTGGAAGACAGTATTTGTAAGATGCACAAGACTTTGACAATAGGTGTATAACATCAGAAAGCCTGCTCCCATAGGCATGCAGAACCCTAGAAATAAAATGTGTCTAGGAAAATCACAGGTAGCAGCGGAGATGATACTTCGCTAGTCGAGGACTCAGAGCTCATGATTCGCGAACGCAAAACGTGCTTCATTTTGCGTATTCGATTGCTGTGGTGTTCTACGTACCTATACATCCCAAGGGCCTAGTGCTTCAAGGGCCCTGAACTTGAGCCATCGACTGAATGCAGTCCTTATACATACCGGCGGGGTTATAGTTTAGCTAAATGGGTATCTTGGGACCGCATTTTGGGAATGCAATATCAAGTAGACTTCTCACGTTCAGATAGGTTTATCTAGGAGGTTTTCTGGTGTCTTCGTTCACTTTGCAGTGGCCTTCCTCGGCGAACAACATGACGACTACATACTGGCAGCTTTTTGGTTTCCAGAAGCACCTCGAGTGAGAACTCCATATCCCCACTCGCGCAGTTCCACTGATTAGGAATATAATTCGTTTCTAGGGAGCTTCCCCGTGCCCTCGTACATCCTGCAGGTCAGCAGAACGAGGACGGCGTAGATGTTGTGCTCGGTATGTTCATTTGTAGACCTATCATGTTTATCATACTACACTTACAGGGACGGCATACCAGGCATCCGCCCGAACGGCGCGTCGTATCTCCTAGTTCCCGATATCCGTTATTACAATCTTCGCCTAAGCAGACCACGCGTTAGATCCTCGCCATGGCCGGGGGACTGTTTCATCTCGCTGTCCCCCATACACTTCCCCAGCATGGCCGCTTTGGACGAGAAGAAAAAGAGCTACGATTCAAACAAGAAGGACAAGAGGGGACCCCGAGATCGATCGAAAGCGAACACCACATTCACCTCGCTTGGTGACGGCCTCTCGAAAGAAGGTATCGAGAGAGCGTCGTTTGAACACCAGCGGTGCGTACCTTGCGTATATGTTTAGTCTAAAAACCTAATGACCAACGCACAGTATCTTATATCACTTGTACCGAGGCGAAATATATGATCCTCGAGAGTTCGCTCTTGCCACTCTTTCTTGGATGAAGGATGCTCGCTTCATTGCATTCGCCTTCAACACTTGGTCCGTCGATAGTCGCGATTACAGCGAGCGGGAGCGCGATCCCAAACTGCTGGATATCGGAGTGACTGAATTCCCCCCTCCATCGGGCAGTCATGAATTCGTAGCGCGTTCTAGTGTGCACTTGGTCAACAATGAGAACCGCTTTCTCAACAACCCGGGCAAGAGACGTATAGTAAGTCTCTCCGCTCTTGCGTTGGCAAGTAGAAGCTAAGCCGTCAAAGCCCTTCGAGTCTGGAGAGAGTAAAATTGTTGAGAGATTGGAGATTGCCACACGCGTTCGGGAATTACTTTTACCATCTGGAAGCTCCAGGACCCCATCTCAGGTCCTGTTGTTTGTTCATGATGAGCAGAGGTCGTTGGCGCTGTTACGTGCACTTGGAATAGACACGTCACAGTGGACCTCCGGATTGATGTCTTTGCTATACGGCAAGGACTTCTCCGGCAAACCTGAGCGCGATCGCTATGACGATCGCAGAGTCAGTGACCCGCGGTCTCGGTCACCGCGCCGGAACGGGGATCCACGTCCACGACCGCGTTCGCGCTCTCCGAGGTCTCAGGCCTCCCTGCGGGTGCACATAATCGATGTGCGCCAGCTGTACTGCGTGCTGAAGCAAGTCGCTCCTCTCGTAGATACGGTGCGCTCGAATGCTTCCGAACTGGGTGTGCGAGACATAATGGGCATCAATGAGAGTGATGGCACGTTCAAGATGGCAAATGACATGAATAACGGGCTGTGTGCAGGCAGTGAGAGCAGGTGAGGACGGTGAACCACCATTTTGGTAGACTGGCTGATGGGAACTGCGCCAGATTGCTCGGGTACATGTGGCACTCCATGGCCTGCGGTTCTCCCATAGACGACCAGCGCATGCTGCGCTGGCATTCCAAGTTATCGGAAACGGTTGAGGACCACGCTACGGAAGAGTCGACGTCCAATGCCAATGCGAGAGATTCTGATGATGAAGAGGAGATGGACCCAAATGATATGTTTCAATCCGTGGCACCCACTCCATCCGGGAGCTCTGCCCCAGCGAAGAAGAGTTCACTTTCTATCTTGGAGCCGGGTGGTTGGGAGGACGAGTCGGATGACGACGAATGAGAGCTAGAAACTAATGTAATGCGCTGTGATTGCACTATGTAGCAACTGTTTTGCGCACGCCATCTAGTTCGCCTCTACGCCCGTGTACACATTTCGCTCAGAGAGATGGTAAAGGATCCGTGGTCTGGTCAGTTTTGCTCGACGAGGTTTAAGACGAACTGCCACACTTGCCAAATGCGGACGTAGCCGGATATTGGACGCGCCTTGTCTTCAACCACGGCATTCATCCTCTGGCCGCGTTCGACTCCTTACACCCCCGCAATCGTAGCTGTCTACCAACGCGTTGCTCTGGGAGGAGTTCCTTTGTAAAGATTGAGCGCACACCATGTCTTTGCTCTCGGAGCGACAGAAGGAGGAACTGTAGGTCGCCCGCTAATGCGCGGTGAATGAGACGGGTGCTCAGGTCATCAATACAGTCACAAGTCCATCCTGGAGTATTTGCACACAAACAACTTCACGGATGCATTTAACTCCATGAAGTCGGAGACCGGCATTGACTATAAGCCGGACCCCAAGGCGAAATATGCAGGATTGCTGGAGAAGAAGTGGACGAGCGTGATACGGTTGCAGAAGAAGGTACGCGCATGTTTCGTGTCGCTTAACGTGGCATGTGTAACGGCATCTATGCAGATCATGGATCTGGAGAACCGCAATGCTGCATTGCAAGAGGAGCTGTCCCTTTCTCCAGCCAAGCGCGCCCAGATGCAGACGGACTGGGTTCCGAGAGCACCTGCAGCATATGTTCTGACCGGACATCGCGGACAAGTGCTCAGAGTCGCTTTTCACCCTACGTTCAATCTGATCGCGTCCGCCAGTGAAGACGCAACGGTGAAGATATGGGACTGGGAGACCGGTGAATTCGAGCGCACGTTGAAGGGGCACACACGAGCCGTCAATGACGTTGACTTTGACAGCAAGGGCAACCTCTTAGGTGAGTTATATACGAATACAGGGTATATGCTATGCATGTACGCTTGCGCTGAACTCGCGCCACGTCTCAAGTCACTTGCTCTTCGGATTTGTTTATCAAGATTTGGGACGTACAGAACGATTGGCGAAACACCAAAACATTTCCCGGCCATGAACATACCGTATCGTCTGTCCGATTTATGCCTGGCGACCAGCAAATCGTTAGTGCGAGTCGAGATAGAACAATAAGGATCTTTGATGTCGCCTCTACGTTTGTGTTATTCTGCTCGGCGAATTGGCTAATACTCACAGCGCTGCTCTTAGACATCTCGTCCGCACCATCATGGGGCATTCAGATTGGGTCCGTTGTATAGAGCCATCTGATGATGGTCGCTTGATAGCAAGCTGTTCCAATGATCAGGTCCGTTGTGCATTTCACTTCTCATGTCTGCACAACTCGAGCTATTCGCAGACGGCCCGCATCAGCGATCCTCTCACTGGCGAGACGAAGATGGAATTCAGAGGCCATGAACACACCATAGAGGTGGTCGCATTTGCCCCCATCGTTGCTTACACAGCAATTCGTGAGCTGGGTGGTCTTCCAGTACGCCAGCTTCACCCCAGATTTTGCAGCGAACTAATGGTGACATAGGACAAAGATCGAACGAAGCGGTCTGGTACATACCTCGCCACAGGCTCTAGAGACAAGACAATCAAGATTTGGGACACACAAAGTGGACAGATGATCAGAAGTCTGGTATGCTCAGATTATCAGTGTTGCGTGCGAAGTCCTAATGCGGGCTTTTTCTAGGCTGGACACGACAACTGGGTGCGGGCACTCGTCTTCCATCCTACAGGCAAATTCCTCCTGTCCGCCTCGGACGACTATACAATACGCGTATGGGAGTTATCAACGGGGCGTTGCGTCAAAACTGTGCAAGCGCACGGTCACTTCGTCACATGTCTAGCATGGGGACGACAGGCAGGCGCACAAACCGCCGACGCCTCACCTAAGACAAACGGCGCGTCAGCAGACGGCAAGCCCCCCGAGACGGAGAAGTTTGTGAATGTTGTTGCTTCTGGGAGCGTGGACCAGACTATCAAGATCTGGCTCCCATGAAGCGTGGAAGATGGATGGACGGATAATTCTACTTTCTGTGAGCGCAAGTTAATCGCTGACTGTTTGTTCGTTTGCTGTCGCTGAATACTAGACGTATGGTAATTGTGGGTCTTCTGCATATATCGGTTCGGTGAGTGGGCACTCCGATTGCGCAAGCAAATATACTAAAATTGGACTGAAGGGCGGTCGGACCAGCCTTGTACAGTCGTTAATCCCTTGTTACCCTTTTTAATGCCTCCGACTCCAACTACACTCTCGCTGCTCGTCTGCTGCATCCCTGTTACCCTTGTTGAGTTCGCATCTGCACGCATACCCAGCATCATGAAATATATATGTCGAACAAATGTATCTTCGGCCTGAGCTCCCGCACCATTTTCCTGTGAGTAACTCCTGGAGGCAGCGGGACAAATGAAATCGTTTCCGCCGTCATATAGGAATATGAAATTTATCGTTTTCTTCATGCGCCACATATTAATACCCATAATTACGATGAGTATAGAAACTGTACGTACTGCAGCGGGAAATGAAACCAGCCATGACCGTGTAAGCGCTCATAGCAGAAGCGCGCCACGCGTCGACGCGTCCAAGTCGCGTCTCCTCGTCTTCACCGTGATGTCTGAATGCAGACCTGTTGGCAATCACAACAAAAGACCCTACACAGTCCCTTTATGTGTGCACAATGATAGACAATAACATTAACAGGCGTGATGTCATAATCAGTGCGACGCGTCACCAGCAACGAGTGGCCCATAAGACAAAAGCGGAAACGGCTTGTACTTTGAGGGTCGGTGCCGAGTATAAAAGCTCTCCTTAATCCTACCTCTTTCTTACTCATAACCATAACACACTTATCATCGCATCCACTGCATCTCGAGTATCCCATTTTATACCCTCTGTCATGGCACCTATCCGCCAGAAAGCCTCCGGTTCGCGTCGCCAGACCCCGATTGTTCGTGATTCCGGTAAAGGCACCTCCTCCAAACTAAGCTACAACGCCACGCCCCTTGCTCCAAGCTCTAAGGTGCGCAAATGTGGCGGTGGCGCTGGAAATGCATGTGTTGAAACCTCCAATCCGTAGCCTTCGACCACCAACTCCTCTCCGTTGACCTCGACGTCGACGCGAAGCAGCAGACCCACCGGTCTGTTCAGGTCGACGCCATACGACCGACCTGTGGACCCTCGTCCCAAGCGGCTCACCCTTAATGACCTAGAATGTGTCCGGACGCTAGGCAAGCCGCCACACACCCTTCCATCTGCCTCTGCTGACATCCGCCTCAGGTAAGGGTAGCTATGGACGCGTGGTCCTAGTTCGCACCCATGAAGACTCTACCATCCCTGAATTGCCACATGGCGCCCAGTTCGCGATGAAGGCGATTTCCAAGAAGGGCCGGCATCATCGCCAGCGAGTGAGTTGGTGTATAAAGTGTGGCGTGTGGCTCGTTAACTTTGATCGCAGGGTAATAAGGAACCTCGCGAACACTCCAAGCGCATCAAGGACTCGCGCAACGCTGAGCGACGGTTCCTCGCTGAGCTTCCCTGGCATCCTTTCATCAATGGGATCATGGATGCCTTCGATGATGACCGCAATTTGTACCTCATGCTCGAGCTGGCCCCCTGTGAGTCGCTGCATAAGTACTTGAGGAGGAAGCGGGACCCCATCCCCAGTGCCCATGCGCGCTTCTACTTCTCGAACATCGTCCTTGGCCTCGAGTTCCTGCACTCTCGAGATATTGTGCATCGCGACTTAAAGCCGGGGAACATCCTCATGGGTGCAGACGGGTATCTGATGATCGGTGATTTTGGGTGCGCCACGCACATATCAGAGGGCGGCCGATGGCAGGGTATTGGCACGCGGTTCTACATGGCGCCTGAGGTCAACTCGGCGGTACGCACGACACCGGAGGCGTGCCACTTTATCGATTGGTGGGCTGCAGCAGTCATCCTCTACGAGATGGTCACGGATAGACATGTGAGTTCTGCCATGCATTGGTGATGTTGAGTGGCTAACAAACTTCTTGTGTCTGCCAGCCTTTCAAAGGCCCTGAGCACGAGCAGGTCTATGCTCAGTGTTTGGTGCATAATATCCAGTGGCCAGCAGGACACAAGGCCAACCAGGACCTGAAGGATCTTGTGGAAAGGATGCTCATCCCTGACCCTGCGGAGCGTTATGGCTGCATGGTCCTGAAGGGGGAGCATGATGAGGTGGGTAAGAACGACGAAGTCCGCATCCACCCATTCTGCTATGGGAAGGTCAACTGGAAGAAGATCATGGAGCGACGGCAGCTGGTGAGTGCAGCTCCTCTACTGCTATGTCGTGCGTGCCGTTGAAGATTTGTTCTTTCAGGCACCGTACGTGCCCGCGGCATACCCGGACCTCACTGCCGCGTGGCATACAGACCCAATGCCCGTACAAGAAAAGGTGCCGGGCATTCAGCTCGCTCAGGTCCCGCTTGAGTACCAATACGATTCACGGCTGCACCACAAGCATGACACGCAGAGCAGCAGTACCACGTAGCGAAATCTGGTAGACCTCGTCCCCCTACAATTGACGACACAAATATCCGTCGTCGCTGCCACCCGGCATGGTGACTATCCTACTCTCCCAAGCGCTTTGTCGGGGTCGCGCAGCTCCTGGCCAATGTGTCCTCTACTACCAAGCTCATTGCCTTCCTCGCGCAAATGTACCCAGAGAGTGCATCCATCTGGAACCAACTGGTGCACTTTGGCACTGTCCACGCTCTCGGAAAGCCTACGGTCGAGTTCAAAGCACGCGCAGCAGCCATGTTCTTGCCATGTACATCCTGCTAGGTGCGGCGTGAATCTTGGAGCCAGCATTCCGGTCCTCATGCGCGCCATTCATGCGGGTCAGACGTGTCATACAATCGCGTGGACTGCAAGGGTGATTCAGCACACGATGCCGGCCTTGCATGAGGTGTGGACCAAAGTTGACGAGATGCCAATATGTGATGCGACATGCACTGTCAATGAACTCGGCAATGATCACTCCTGGCTCCTGTCTTCAGCTCAACGTCTTCCTTCCGGCTCTCGATCTTATGGCCGCCAAGGGCTGTGTACGTTCGCTTCGCGTACACCCTACATGCCTCTGCCGGGCCATGTGCTCACTGTATAGCCCCGGTTCCTCGCCACCCCTTAGAGCTGCAGCGGGAGACAATAGCATGGTGAGGAGGGTGATCGCCGCGGAGTTGCGTAGCTGGTTCGTAGCCTCGTGTAGTAGACTATTAGTGGCGATCATATACGATCGATCTGCACTAACCTCTAGTGCGATCTGCAGGAAATGGATGACGAGACTGATGCGACACACCTTGCATCTTGGCATTCACGGGACTCTTTTGAGATGTCAGGACGCCCTGCTTCACACCGAGTAAGAGAACACAAGGTGGTGGTACATTTGATTTCTAAACGAGTGTGACAGGCCATGGAAGGACAGTGTTGGATCTGCTACGCTGCTGACATACCTACAGATGCTTACCTACAATTGCTATATACTACTAGTTGATCGTGCACATACGTCCCACCCCGCTCGGCAGGGACATACGCCAAGGACGCGGGGCTCGAGATTACGGGTACTATTACAGGGACGGTACTTCGAAGGAGGGGCGAGGCGGCGGCCGTCAGAGGAAAGGAGGGTCTACGATCAGGGCGTCCGTGTACAGCGCTCGAAAGCCCGGCGCGATTACAAATGTAGGCAGGTCCTGCGGAGGAGGCGCGTTACACGTCAGGACGGCCATGGATCGCGCGGCGTAGGATAGGGGCTGCGACTCACGGAGGCGGTCTGTGTTCCCAGCAGACGGGATACGAATTACGATAAGATTAGACGAACGCACGCGGGTCGAAGGGCGAAGACGAAGGCGGTTTCGGGTGCAATCAGTACAGGTAGGTATACGGGGTACGGCGCCGCTCGGCGCGTAAGATGCGTAAGGTCATGGCAAGCGGCACAGGCACAGGAGCCGCGTCTCACTTGCTGCGCCCGCGGGGCGCACGCACTTTCTCCTTCTGCTGGCGCGTCGAGTGCAGGCCCGGGTCGGAGAAGGAGTGCCCGAGGCGGCGGGTGGCACGCCGACGTCCGCGCGGGGGCTCGGAGTCGAGAGCCTTCCCGCAATCGTCGTCGTCGCCCGCCTTGTAGTACGCCTCGTCGGGGTCGAACACCGTCGGAGAGAGCTCCACAGAGGCATCCTTGGGCGGGAGCTCGAGCTCCTGGTCAAAGGCGCCGTCGTACTCGCCGTCGTACCGGAAGTCATCGCTGTCCGAGTCCGAGTCCGAATCAGAGCCCGAATCGTAGCCTGAGGGCGGGCCGCAGCGCCAGCGACGGTACCAGTTCCCGAGGACGATCTTGATCTCGGCGCCCATGCCGAGGTACTCGACGTTGCGTGCGAGGCCCTCCCAGGCGATCGTGCCTTCGTCGAGCGCGTCCTCGATGAACGCGGTCGAGCCGAAGTAGATGTAGTGCACGAGGAGGCGGAACGACGCGGGATCGGGCACGGGGAGGTAGATCGAGGGGTGCGTTGGCGGGGAGGGGAGGAGACATGGCACCGGAGGGATGCGCAGCGAGGTGCGCCGCGCGCGGCGTTCCTCGAGCTCGGGGCTCGGAGGGGTGGACGGGCGTGAGGAGAGAGATGGACTGGACGGGCTCTCGATGAGGTCGAAGGGCGATGCGCCACTGAAGAGTCCTCGAAGCAATGCCGAGTGCGCGCATAGATAGTCCATGTGCAGCTGAAGTACAATGTTAGTGCATCATTACGCTAAAATGTCAGTCTTAATGTACCTGCATTACCATCCGGGGAGCTGGACGAGATGAAGGCTCATGTATCTCCTGTTCCAGGTCATCTGGGTCAGAAAACGGGAGACACGCGTCTGCAGCTGTGTCATTGGAAGGTCCAAGAGCAGAAATTGAGGCTTTTGTATCCAGGGGGACAACTGCAGGTAAAGGAGCCGGAATGAGAGAAACTCGGACGGATGTAAGCCTACAGCAACATACCGATTGTGCAATCTGAGGTCTCCGGCTTGCTCCAGTAATGAGGAGCAAGGCGACGCAGCTGGTCAATAATATACTCGAGAGGGACATCTGCGAGAGCGGGGGGAGGGAAGGGACGAGGGACAAAGGCAAAGCCGTGCATGGATCGTCGGGGCGCTCGTATAGAAGAGGCGGAAAGAGGGTCAGGGAAAGAGGCAGAGGCCGGTGACGTGAACCGCTCAGCGTTCCGGGAGCTCTGCGAACAGACGGAAGGACGGCCTTGTCTTTTAGCACAGACCCAAAGGTTATTGTCTGCCGGAGACATATGTCAATTGTTTTCGGACGAGCGAGCGCGTGCGTATTGGAATGGGCGCTGCCTCTGGAGTGCTGCACCCGATCAGGTAGCCTCGTTCCGGCCGTGAGGCAGCCTAGCACAATCCAAGGCCAATTGTTGCTGCCGCAGGTGAAGGCGAAGGTGTAAAACTGATCCCGGGATCAGATGACGGGGGCAAAGGACAGAAAGTGGATGCGAAATGCATTCACTAGTTGTTATAAGTATGTTAGTAAAAGCCGGCGATCGTTGCTGCCTCTGTCAGACGACTGGCGACAAGGCGACGAGGGCTCGCAGAACTCTGCACCCTGCCCGGCGGTAGCCCAAACGAGGAGGTGAGGCACAGGGAATGGACGGTCGTCTATCTGCGTCTCCATCGCGCCGGACGGCGTTGCCGACATTTCTTATTGTTTTGCGCATCGCAACTGACTCCGCTTGAGATCCTCGTGTCCTCCGCATGCTGCTGTCCTCGACCAGATCCCACCGCGCCATCAGCTTCTCCAGTGGGCACCTCGAAATTCTGATTAGCCTATACCGGTGTCCTCCCTGTGCCCCTCTCGCAGTTGTCAAATCAGGCAAGTCCCCTTCCGTACTAGGCTTTGCTGTGAGTGGACCCCGAGAATAGCTCCTCTCAGCCGCATCGCTCTTACGTTGCCCCACACGCCCGATCCCGTCTCAATGTTCTGCCTCACAATAAACTCGGACTTAGTCGCCGCCTCTCCAGCCTCATAGCACGCCGGCGAGATAAACCTCGAGCTAGGCCTTGGTACGCTTCCACGATCTCCACGCGCTCATAGAGCGCTCACTTGACATAGGTCCCACTGCCACAAGCCACTCATCGTGCTCAATGAAGTGGCGGTGAAATTGTCCAGAGCTTGTGCACAAAGCAACGGCATTGACCGAGATGATATTCCGTTGTCCCCAGACGCCAGGATCGTACCACAATGATGGAGCACGTCAGTGTCGGGGTGATGTTCATACACTTGTCGATACGAGCCTACTTCGCAGCACCGGCAATGCTCGCCGACCACAATGGAGTCCCGTTATGGCAGTTCCCGGATTGAATCGTCACTGAAGAGGTTCTATCGTTATGTCTGCACTTCCCACTCGTGCTCATGAAGAATGTGCGTTGGACGAGGAAGACTGGACGAGAGCTTCGGGGTTATACACACGACACGCAATCGAAGCCGATGACTGGTGGTCGATAGCCCGCAACAAACCTTGTGTGAACAGAACCTAATACGATGACCCGTTTCCTCGATCGTCGGCAGTCCTGTCAAATGAACTCAGGCTCGGCTCCCAGCGCCAGTGTTCAACATTCAACAACAGCCCCGGCACGGTACCGACACAGCGCACGCCCTCGGCGTCGGATAGCCCGCATACATTCTGACGTTGACATACGCCATATACGGGTTCGTTTGTCCGGTCGAAACCATCGGCGGCGAACAGCCCCGGATCGGAGAATGAGCGCTCTGCCATAAGGGGTGGCGGAAGACGCCTGTGCGAACCGCTCCCAGAGCAGCGCAACCCCAGTCCAGCTATCGGTATCAGGAAATGTATGAGAGGGTAGCTTGAATCCCATGATTGTATTCGTAAATCCAAAGGGGGGCGCCGCTGCTCCTTGGAAGGTGGTCGAAAAGGGCAGGTGTCAGCGAGGAGTGTTATGCGGGTTCAATGGATTTGTCACGGCGTGATGGATCTGTCCAAGGGAGCATAGATGAGACGAGGCCATCTGATATGTGGACGTGTGTGTATCACCGCGAGTCTGGCGATGCCGTTCCGCGATGTGGAAAGCACCTTCGGACCCCCTCCTGCATTATTGTCTCGAGCGATCTACCGTGGGCACTTGCTTGGCATACTCTTCACCTACGACGTAATGAAGTGAATCGAAATTTTGTCTGGGGTACAAGCCCGGCGTTTGTCCGATCGGCAGATCTTGTCATAGTTCAACATTGGTAATATTGGCTACCCGCCCCAAGATACGTCGTGCGGCCCCGCATCCGCAGTTTCTACGTCCTAAAATTATTTGCACCTTGTGGATGGGAGCTTTGCAGGCGAACACACTAAAATAAGGGCAATCGGACGGCCCTGGCCGGTTCACCAGGACAACCTATTTGGGAGCTAAGTACAAGTGAAGTCTCCGATAAGCCGGGAAGCACCAAGCCCATCTGCTGACCAATTCCATACTATCTAACAAAAAAGCCAGTCAATGTTCGCACATACCCGACCAGCACCGGCCATCTTTGCTTCTCGTGGCAGGCCGAGTTGTCTCCGGGTGATGCCTGGGACCCGCGAATATCAGGAAGTAGCCGGAAGGAAGCCATCTACGTCACTAGCCCAAGGGCGTTGGGACCGTGGATCCCCAACGGCCCGCAATGGGTAGGAGAGTGTGGTATCACGCGACCGACAAAGAAGAGCTTCTGAGCTCACTGCAAGCTGCTGGTGCACCAGATCCAGTATAAGGTGTCGTACTACCTGGAAGCACCAGACTGTCATGGAGATAAGAAGATCCAGAGTTTGTCAGTGACAAGTGTGAAATTGTGGTCAAGCTAGACCCTCGATGGGAACTCCATCGCTCTGGAGAGACCACACTGAATCTGCTTTTGAGGTATGTCAAGATATGCCAACGGCAGGTCGCACGGAGACAGTGGAATCTTCACGGTACTAGCCATGAGAGTTGGTAAGAAGATGAGATGGTATTGCTACCACAGATACGTCTTTCCTCCGCAGAGAACAGGAGAAGAACGTCAGTCGAAGACTGAAAAGATCGAGACAAGATTACGGCTCACTTACAGGCCTAGGCAGGCCGTCCTTGTCCCAGAATGAGCTGTGAGGAGCTGTATACATTTGTGGCGTCGCTCACGCGTAAAGCTTAAAGTTTGAACAAGAATCGTCAGGCAATGACGGGAATGGGTCCTGGGCAAATCAGACAAACATGCTACCGGCCGCTGCCTGACAGATAGGTCTTCGTGCTGTGCATGACACACGAGTCACGGCACGGCGCAGGCTAGAGTGCGGCCGAGAAGATATGGAATGCAGAATGCAGGAAAAACAATAGGGCTGAATCGGCTCACCGCAGTTATGATGAAAGTTTGCAGGAACGCTGCTAAATTTTACGCCGCTGCCAGTCAGTAGAGCGTCTGCACGCAGCAAGGAATGCTGTCCGACAATTTTGCCCCGTCTTGGGCGGCATCATAAATTAGTGCCTGCGAATGATAAAAGCCTGAAATGACATAAACATGCTATCAGTACATTTTAGATATGCGGCGAAAGCAGGCGGATGGAAAATCTGCTCCCGACAAGCTATGAAAGTCCTGTAAACGTCCTAAAGGCGTCGTGCACGATGCATGAGAATAGGCAGTGGTCCAGGTCGCTTTTCATTTCGGCCAAAATGCTCAGCCTACAGTGCATCAAGATTCAGCGGATGTCCTGCTGAGCTATTCCACAGATATTAGCCACCTTCTAGCATAAGTAGTGGTTCGTCTCCTTGCCAAAGGCCAAAGAATGCAGTACTCTGGGGTCACATCAGCTTCCGGGTTTCCCGGCGGTCTGATCGGGAGTGAGTGTTTCCCCACGGATATGTGAATGTAAAGTTGGCTGGCATTATGGACACAACGCATCTGCGTGGTCACTGATACACCGTGAAAGTATGCATACCTCGCGATAGCAAGATCAAACGAGCCATTGAAAGAAGATGCAGCACTCACCAGCAGTCCAATTGTGATGCTGTGACTCCGGGACATAAGACGGGCAAAATTGAGCATCGAACACATTGTACCACCGCTAGTATCCTTGACATGGCATTTTCACTCTATTCCATAGTAATGGTGCGTGTCTTGAGGTCATGAAGGTAACATGTAAAAGCCTTGTGGCGCAATGTGCGTCGCCGCGCCCGTGAGTCGCTCTTGCCACCCGCCATGACGACCCCGACCCACGGCAGCGACATCTTCGAGTCGAACCTATATGAAGGCCACCCGAACCTGTCCGAGCTGGAGGCGGAGGTGCTCTGGCAGTATGCCAAGCTTGCACAGAACATGAAAGAGGTGCGTCGGCGCCACAGACGTGCCGTCTCGTGCCCTTTTGCCCTCGGCGATCGCGACTCGCGCGCTGACTTTGCTGTTTCTCGCTCGTACACGAGGGCAGCTTATTGCAGAGACAAAACGAGTTAGTGAGGCCCCGGATGAGACTTTGTTGAGGAGGGTGAGGGCACTGGAGGTCAAGATGGGTTTGGTTCTGACACTGGTGAGTAAAATGTGGGATGATCAGGCGTGTTGTTGGCTAACGACGCGTGCAATACCTGTCTTCCTTGTATCCACACAGTTCAAAGCCTCGGTTTGGGCGGTCATCAACGAACAGCCTGCCGAGGACACTGCCCAGTACGCAGACTCGTTCGCAGAGCAAGCATGAACCACGCCGCCCTCACTTTCCGCGTCGCACTCATACCCTCGCCCTCGACGGACGACCCATTCGCTCTTTGTTAGATTGTATCCTATCACAACTTGCTGACTATATCAATACACGGTGTATTATACGCGCAACCCCGCCATGCGGCCCGCGAGCCCCGTCGCACCCACCGGCGTAACCTGATTCACATCCCACACCACCAGTTTCCCATCGAGGCCGCTGGTGCTCACGCGCGTCACAGCCCCCGGCGTGCCCGCGTAGGGGCGCACACTCGTGATCGTGTTCTGATGCACCGTAAACAGCTCCGACTCGCCCGACCCGCCCGGCGCGCTCCCTATACCGCGCGTGTCCGCATTGCGGAAAGTGTTGAACGCCGCGCTGTTCAGCCGGCCGACGGGCGACGCGAGCCCCGCGCGTGAGCCTCCCGCGGATTTGGCCGAGTTGGGGTCGTCGAGGCTGCCGGTCAGCTCCCAGCCGCCGTCGCTCCCCGAGAAGACGAGCGGCTGGCAGTCGTGCCCTGCCGCAATGAGCGAGTTCTCGTTGGTCCAGGTCAGGGTGAGGAGCGGCAAGCTAGTTAACTTGATGGTGTAGATAGCTGGTCCGCCAGGATAGACGATGCTGATGGAGCTGTCATGACCTGACGATGGTATCTTGTGAATAAAACCAGTGCTGGCGATATTGTGATGCACTCACTTGCAAAGGCTAAAGCATCTCCAGAGGGGGAGAAGCCAACGGCATGGACCCAGCCTCCGGTCGGACTAGTGTATTCTCCGCAGACGGTGTTGAACGGGAGCTTTTCTCCCCATACAGACGCCGCGGGCCTGCAGCATCGTGAATTAAGCAGTGGGGCGGGAGGACGAATCACACACACCTCTTGTCGACATCCTTGATGTAGGCAGAGAAGACGCGAGCCTTCATGTCAGCACTGCCAGCAGCAAGTAGCACATTGTTGGGATGCCAGTCTACTGAGTGGACCGTAGACCTGATCGGCTTCTTGAGCAGCCTTGAGACCCACCAGTCGCCCTCAGGGTCAAACGAGCAAATGGCAATCGCTCTGAGCATGCGACAGTTAGCGAAGGTGTATTCCATCTAGTGATACACTTACCGAGCGCCGCTTGCCACTGCAAACTTGTCTTCATTCGGGCTCCATCGCACATGAGTAGCGGCCCTGTTGATCCTCAGCAGCACGAGCGTAGGCTTCCAAATCATGCGCCCGGTCTGCGGGTCGGGGCTCTGCTGCCACACATAGGCATTCCTGTCCTGGGCAGCTGTGACAATGCGGTTGGAGTTTGGGGCCCAGTCGATGGACGTGATGAGCTTGTCGTGCTAGTAGTCGCGCGCGCAGCTCAGCAGTGCAACTCAGCAGCATGCTGCACCAATATCGCGGCGTACCTCAGACAGCGTCTCTGTGGGCTTCCACTCATGTCCCTCGCGCGCAAAGATCTGCACGTCGTTTGAGTTCAAACTCACGGCCACCTCTGTCTCATGGTCAATGTCTCGTCGATTGCATCGTAGAGAGCTGGATATATTACCGGAGCGATCAGCATTGAAGGAATGCGAGGTGATAGCGGCCTGGGTTTGCGCAAGAGGGTATATTTCAGGGGGTGCCATTGTTTCCGCAGAGGACTAGCAGTCTACTACTGCAGCTATAGACGGATGGTGGGTGTATGCAGGGACTGGTCACTGCAAGGACTGACGCAGCTGGTGCCGACAAACCGAATCGGTCCGGTTCAATCGGGATCACTTCATCGACGAGGCGCGGCCCCTCGGACTACGGTAGTACTTATCGTCTTGGTTTTAACTGTCTCTCAAATCTTAAGTAACTGGTATAAAGAACTGTGCAATGCAACTGCAGCATCCAGCGGCTGGTCATCACCATCACCGTCTTCTGATATTGTGAGCGTGCGCCGTCGTCTCAGGGCCACGAGGCCGCGGAACACAGCAAGTGTCCATAGAGCATCGCAAAGTCACAACGAAGTTACCATTTCTCAAGTTTTACATGCACCGAGTCCTCCGCATTATGCAAATAACAATGTGTCATGGCCGCCCAAAGTGATTTACTAGACACTTTGCGGAATTGACTAGTGGTTACCAATACTCAACTCTGATGGCCGTATTGTGTTTTCAGGCTGCACTCGTTGCAGCGGAGGACCCTCCAGCGATCTCATTAATGGAAATACAACTACATGGTTCCTTCATTTAGCATGCCCCCGGGGGACTGAGTTGTCCGTCGAGAACCCGCGGATGTTACCTCTATGGACCAAATCTCCCCGAAGGTTCGTGGACCTATATGAGACATCCGATATTCACATACCCTGCTAGATGCATGGCGCATTGTGGCACTATCGAATCTCGAATTTGTGCCAAATTGGCGGCACAAGTAGCCAATGTCCAATCTTGCTCTACTCAGAAAGGCCATCTGGACGCTGCTTCTCTGCCCGTCGACCAGTATGGCTACTTCGACAGCCCGCTGGCTCAACATGTGCAGCCGTCGTGGACATGCGGGGACAAACCCTCCGTTTGGTCCTGCCTGACCACCTTCTGAACGAGCACGAGCACGGGGAACCTTGGCTCTCCAGGCGTATATAGACACGCCTCCATCTCAGAGAGTCCCCAGGCAACAGGTCCCCTGCTCCCTACAACCTCACGGTCCGTCGCCCATCCCCTACGACTAAGCAATCATGTTCTGCAAGGCATCTCTGCTCACCGTCGCTCTGGCACTCATCGCTTCTGCAACTCCCATCACGAAGCCCGCCGGGATTCGTATTCCGATCCAGAAGCGCAGCGGCTTGACAAAGGCCGATGGTACGGCCGACCGTGACGCCATCCTCCGCGAGAGGGTGCGGGTGCAAAAGTGCGCGCATGTACCACTGGCCCACGGAGTTGTATGACTGACGTCCATTTGCTTTTACAGCAAGCACCGCAACAACCTGATCACCATCGATCGTAAGATGGGTCTCGAGAACTACCACGTCGGCGCGCACATCCCGCCGGTTGCGACGCTCCCGGAGCATCTCCAGAAGCGTCAGTCCGAGTCGCTCACGGACCAGCAAAGTGAGGAATGGACCGGGACCGTCGCCATTGGCAGCCAGAGCTTCATCATCGACTTCGACACCGGCTCTTCCGACCTCTGGGTCCCGTCCTCAGACTGCAGCTCTTGCCAGACCCAGGACACATATGACCCGTCCTCGTCCTCGTCCAGCGAGGAGCAGAGCGGCACATTCGCGATCTCGTACGGAGATGGCTCTACTGCCTCTGGCCCCATCTACAAAGACCACGTTGAGAGGTTTACTTGACCTGAGCAAACTGACTGTCTAATCAATCTACTTTTCCCCTCCATTAGTCAGCGTTGCTGGCGTCTCCGTCACTGGCCAGACGTTCTCTGCTGTGACCAGCGAGAGTGGGGACCTCGTTGGCGGGCCTTTCGACGGCCTGATGGGCATGGCTTGGCCCGCTCTTTCCGAGCTCAATGCCGTATGTTACAACCCTATCAGGCCGTATTATAGCTCAACAGATACCCCCACAGGACCCCTTCTTCTGGACTGCCATTAGTCAGGGTGTCGTTTCAGAAGGTGTATTTGGCTTCTACCTGTCGGACAGCGACTCTGAGCTGTACCTCGGTGGCACGAACTCGTCTCTCTACACCGGTGACCTCGAGTACCACGACCTCGTGTCCTCCGCTGGATTCTGGACGATTGGCGGCGCGAGCGCCATCGTCAACGGGCAGACCGTCAACTCCGACTTCGAGACTATCATCGGTATGCATACGCGTCTTCCGACATGGTGCCATTCCCGCTAAATCGAGCTTGCACAGACTCCGGCACGACCCTTATGTACGGTCCCACCGACGCGGTTGCGAAGTTCTACTCCGGCATCAACGGCGCGCAGTCGCTCGGTAGCGGTTTATACGGTATTCCGTGCGACTCCTTCCCCACTGTCGCGATCAGCTGGGGTGGCAGCACCTTCACGATCTCCCCGAACGCGTTCAACCTCGGCAACGCTGGCGACGGGCTTTGCTATGCTGCCCTTGGCGGTGAGAACTTCGGCTTCGGCGACAACGTCTGGCTCCTTGGTGACACGTGAGTATCCTGTTTTCCTTTTTCAGCAAATTGTGGACAGCTGCTGATGCTGAGACATTCATCAGTTTGATGCAGAGTGTCTACACCGCGTTCTCCGTCGACAAGTACGCGGTCGGCTTTGCGAACCTCGCATGAATGATGCCTGATGATGCGATGACTGATTGATTGGTTGAAGAAAGGTCAGCTTGTATTTTTAGACATACTTGTACGCGCATTGTGGGCCTCCTGAATGCTATGGCTGATTTTGTACTCGTATCTGGATACGTAAGACATAAGACACTGATACTTGCACCAGACTGACTACGCGACCGAGCGCAAGCATCTAGGCATTACTATCGTTTTTGTCGCTTGCCGGTTTGCACGAGATGGCGCACCTCGACTTGCTATGTGACGTACCACTGGCAGTAGTACCGCAGCGAAGTTGATTGAGACATACACGTCTTGTCAACAAGATCGGCCGGCCTCGTGCCGTGGATCTTAACACACTGCTGGAGAAATAGATCTCCAGTTTGTCTTCCATATTGGCTGTACTCAAACCCCAACAGCACTTATTATGTGTGTCGGTGTCGGGTGTTTGAAATCTCGTCATTTTGTTCTACAGCAAACCACCACAGTAATTCTTGTACTCGATCTCGAGTCACCATGATCGTAAGTAAAGGTGGCGCAACCGACCTGTATGCCAGTGGCTTCTATTCCCCAGCACATGTTTCAACAATGTACTTACCGCTCAAGGCATAGTGCCCTAGACTGACGCAGATGGTGCGGACAAATCGAATCGGTCCGGTTCAATCGGGTTCTCTTCACCGATGACGAGGCGCGCTCACTCAGGCTCGGACCACGGTACTTAACGTCTCGTCTTGGGTTGTCTTTCAAAACTCAAGTAACTGCTATAAAGACACTTGTGCTATGCAACACACTGTGATTAGTGTCTGCTATGTGCTCTTGGTCGCTAGACTCGGTGAAGTCCACAGCGCTAGGACCGGGTGAAACTCCAATACGCATGCATACCGAGGCTGATCATCAGTGTGTTGGAGGCTCGTGTCTCTGTAACAAGCCAATCGACCATGGTAACGACATGCTTGATTGCAAATGATCCGGGCCATGGTGGAGATAACGAGAAAAGCACGCTGACCTTACCGCGTCGTACGCATGCTAGCGAGCGCAGGCGCATATGTACATGAAACTTCGCTAGCCGGTGAGTACTGACTCAGTGTCCGCGAACCGTCAGTCATGGAGTCTGACGCAAATTGCTCTACCCCAACGCAGGCAGCATCCGGCGGCTGGTCATCACCATCACCGTCTTGTGATATCATGGGCGTCCGGGTGGCTGCATAGTCATGACGAATTCACCATCTCTCAAGCATCGAGTCCTCCGCATTACGCACAGGACAGCGTGCCATGTCCCTCAGAAGTGATTCACTAAACACACTGCGGATTTAATGAGTGGTCACTAATGCTCAACGTTCAACTCTGATGGTGGCGTTGTGGTTTGAGGGCCGCGGAGAAGGACCTTCCAACGATATCAGAAATGGAAATTCAAGGGCATGGTTCTTTCATTTAGCATGCTCTCGGGGACCAAATTGTCCGTCGAGACCCGCGGATGTTCCCTCTATGGACCAAATCTCCACACAGGTTAGTGGCCCCATATGAGATATCCGAGATTCACATGGCCCGATGAATCCATGTGGGTGCCCTGGCGATCTCGGATCTCGATCTAATGCTAAATTTACGACACAAGTACCCAAATGTCCAGTGTCCCATCTCACTCTGCTTAGGATAGCGGCAACAGGCCATCTGGACGCTGCTTGTCTACGCGTCGACCAGCATGGCTGCTATCCACATCCCGCTGACCGAACATGTGCGGCCGCCGGGCATGCGGGAACAAGCCCTCCGTTTAGTCGTTCTGCCCGACCACCTTCTGGACGAGCACACGGGACCATGGGTCTCCAGGCGTATATAAACATGCCTCCATGCAAGAGAGTCCTCAGGCAACAGGTCCCCTGCTCCCTACAACCTCACGGTCCGTCGCTCATCCCTTACGACTAAGCAATCATGTTCTGCAAGGCATCTCTGCTCACCGTCGCTCTGGCGCTCATCGCTTCTGCGACCCCCATTGTGAAGCCCGCTGGCATTCGTATTCCGATCCAGAAGCGCAGCAGCTTGACAAAGGCCGATGGCACGGCTGACCGTGACGCCATCCTCCGCGAGAGGGTGCGGGTGCAAAAGTGCGCGCATGTGCCACTGATTTATGGAGTTGCATGGCTGACGTTAAATCGCTCTTACAGCAAGCACCGCAACAACCTGATCACCATCGATCGTAAGATGGGTCTCGAGAACTACCACGTCGGCGCGCACATCCCGCCGGTGGCAACGCTCCCGGAGCATCTCCAGAAGCGTCAGTCCGAGTCCCTAACGGACCAGCAGAGTTCGGAGTGGACCGGTACTGTCACTGTTGGCGGCCAGAGCTTCATCATCGACTTCGACACCGGCTCTTCCGACCTCTGGGTCCCGTCCACGGACTGCGACTCTTGCGAAGCCCAGGACACATATGACCCATCTTTGTCCTCGTCCAGCGAGGAGCAGAGCGGCACATTTTCGATCTCGTACGGAGATGGCTCTACTGCCTCTGGTCCCATCTACACCGACGATGGTGAGTAGTTTACTTGATCTAAGCCAACAGACCCTGTAATTTGTCTGAATTTTCCCTTCATCAGTAAGCGTTGCTGGCGTCTCCGTCACTGACCAGACATTCTCTGCTGTAACCAGCGAGAGCGGCAACCTCGTCGGCAGTCCCTCCGACGGCTTGATGGGCATGGCTTGGCCCTCTCTGTCCAAGCTCGATGCCGTATGTTCTAACTCTATGAGGCCGCATTATAACTCATCAAATACCCCGACAGGACCCCTTCTTCTGGACTGCCATCAGTCAGGGTGTCGTTTCAGAAGGTGTATTTGGCTTCTACCTGTCGGACAGCGGCTCGGAACTGTACCTCGGTGGCACGGACTCGTCCCTGTACTCTGGTGACCTCGAGTACCACGACCTCGTGTCCTCCGCTGGCTACTGGACGATTGGCGGCGCGAGCGCCATTGCCAACGGGCAGACCATCGTCTCCGACTTCGAGACTATCATCGGTATGCATACGCGTCTTCCGACATGGTGCCATTCCCGCTAAATCGAGCTTGCACAGACTCCGGCACGACCCTTATGTTTGGTCCCACCGACGCGGTCGCGCAGTTCTACTCCGGCATCGACGGCTCACAGTCACTGGGCGACGGTACGTATGGTTTCCCGTGCGACTCCTTCCCCACCGTCGCATTCACCTGGGGAGGCAACACCTTCACGATCTCGTCGGACGCGTTCAACCTCGGTGACAATGGCAACGGGATTTGCCAAGCTGCCCTTGGCGGCGATGACCTCGGCCTCGGCGACAACGTCTGGCTCCTCGGTGACACGTGAGTGTCTTGTTTTTCTCCGGTAGACTGCGAATAGCTGCTGATGCTGGGACGTGCGTCAGTCTGATGCAGAGCGTTTACACCGCGTTTTCCGTGGACAACAGCGCGGTCGGCTTTGCGAACCTCGCTTGAACGATGCCAGATGATGTGATGATTGGTTGTTGTGAGAGAAGTGTGCTTGTATTTCTAGACATACTTGTACGCGCATTGTGGGCCTCCTAAATGCTATTGCTGTGTACACACCTGGATCTGGATCCGCAGACACTGATACTTGCACCAGACCGACTACACAACCGAACGCTGGCATGACTAGACATCTTCTATCTTCGGAAAACCGTTTGACAAATGAGGAACAGGAACGCCAGGTGAGGGCGCGTCAACGTCGCGCCGACCCCGACGCGATAGCATGCCATCACGCTCGCGCGCACATGCGAGTCGTTCGGACGCGCTTGGTCGCCAACAGACCGTAAGACTATGGTAATAACTCTGCAGCATTGTACTCGACAATGGGACACCCTGACCGTAGAAGAGGGTGGCACAGCTTGACGGCATAGTAGCGAACCGTATGCCAGTGGCTTCTACTCAACATAATCTCGATGGTGTACTGCTCAAGGCATAGCGCCAGTTACCATAATCAGGCTCGGTCGGGAATTGCCGCGATCTAGATGATCGAGTTCCTCACTGACAACCGTCTGGCATCGTGTAAGTAGTACTTGCACCAGGGAGTACTTGCACACACGCATTCAATGGAGGAGCTATCGACTTGTTCATGAAGACGCTCAATCCTCTTACGCAAGCAATTGCCAGGGTACTTACCATGTGAAGCGACGATAGATGGGCCGAGTCTCTGCTTCGGTACGTAGATCGCGGTCAAGAATGATGCCGGTGCTGGAATATGCTGGACCAAACTCGGTCTTCGGTACACTTGAAAGAAGAGTACTACGCATCAAAGTTGCCAACTCTACAAGTACGCTTGATTCCGTGGCCCAGCAAGTCAAATCAAATGAGACAACACAAATAAGATTAGAACCGGCCTGCTACAACACTAACCCCCCAGAGTAACGACAACGTACACGCCGCAACAAGCCGCCTCTACGACGCTAGGATATGATGGGAGGTATAGGTATGCTGCATTGCTTATCGTAGATGAGTTGAGCCAAGATGTAGACAAGACAGGGACGTAAGAGAGACAGCACAAACGTAAACGGCAGTCCGAATCCAGGGATGTATGGGCAGGGGACGACGGGAGGGGACAGAGGGGACTAGACCAACGATATCGATGTCGATGAGGTGAGTAAGATACTTCTACTGGGCTTTCTATTTCTTGAGTCAATCGGGTTCTGTTCGGTTTCATGTTTATCTTTGATAGCCCGACGCGGAGCCGGATCGGGACTGATCTAATCTGTTCGATCGTGGCGAAGGGGGACTAGATGATGCAGTAGCCACCGTCGACGCGGATCTCGGAACCCGTCATGAAACGGGACGCGTCGCTCGACAGGAAGACCACGGCGCCCTGTGCGGGGGATCAGCGCACGCCCCAACAGCAAGTGTTCAGTCCGTGTACGTACTGCCAAGTCCTCGGGGTCACCCATCTGGTCATGAGAACACCCATGTGAGAAGCGATCAATACAAACAGTAGTCAAAATGACATACCCTCCCCATCGGTGTCAGGCTTTCCCATGTTTTCTAGTGATCCCAGCAACCGTCAGTACGCGTGGTGCAGGCTGTACGACACCCATCACACACCTTGAGTTCCTGGTCGTGCGCCAGGATGGTCTTCGTGAGCTTCGTCAACATATAACCCGGGCTAGACTCGTCGTGCGCTCAGCGTCGGTCTCCCACACACTACGTCATGGGAGCGCACCTCAGGCAGTTAACGCGGACGCCCTTCTTCGCCCACTCCACAGCAAGACTCGCCGCCATGTGTTTCACGGCTGTAAAGAGCGGAACAGAGTAATAAGCATAAGCTCAAGCTATCCCGCGATCGCGCGAAGCTTGCCTGCTTTGGCCGCGTTGTACGGGGTCTGTGGCTGGGGAATGTTCACGATCTGAAATGTGCCCGAGCATCAGCAACGCACCCGCCGTCACGCATGACGGCACCCACGTTGGCACTCATGCTTGCCACGAGCGTGATGCTGCCTCCACCCTGGGGTATCATGTTCCGAGCAGCTTCCCGTGCGGTGAAGAACGCGCCGTGCACGTTTATGTCATACAGGCGCTTTATGCGGTCGAAGGGGTAGCTTGTGCGGAGCGGGGTCAGGCCCGGCGACATCCCAATGCCGAGACGACTCACTCGAACGCAGAGTAGTTCTCGACGATTCCTGGACACGAGAACAGTCAGGGGCAGGCGTCAATCACGGCGTCCGGACGACGCACCTGCTGACGCGACGACCGAGTCTATGCGCCCGTACGTGTCCATGACGCGGCGGAACGCCTGCTGGACGGACAGCTCAGAGGACACGTCGCAGCCGATGCCAATCACATTGTAGTCGCCGGGTTCCATGTCACTGTCAACTTCACACCTTATCAGCACGCCGCGGGAGACGAGCGCAGGGGCGGTTCCTGACCGCACGACGCCTTGACGAGCTCCTGCGCGGCCTCGGCGGCCTCCTCCTCCTTGAGGTCGAGGATGGCGAGGTTGGTGCAGCCGGACTGGATGAACGCGCGGCAGAACTCGTTGCCGAGCCCGCGCGCGGCGCCGGTGACCATGCAGACCTGTGGGACAAAGCGGCGGCGGGGGCTGAGCGGGTGCGCGGGGGGCGTGCGGCGGGCGGGGCACGCACTTTGTTGGCCATGGAGAACTCGGGCAGGGTCTTGAGGACGCGCGCTTTGGCGGCGACGGCGGTGTTGATGGTGGACTCGGCGCGGGCGAGCACGACATGGCGTGGAGGACGCCTGGCGAGGGCGAGGGATCTGGAGACGGTGGGGAGGGGCTTGGAGAAGAGGCGAGAGCTCATCGTCGGGAGGGCGATAGGGGGGGCGAGGCTGGTGGTGGTCGGAGAGGATGAGAGGAGAAAGGGCGAGCTGTCGAGGAATTTATTGGAGTGGAGGAGGACGGTATTCTCCGCCCAGATTTTAGGAGGGCGTCGGTCCGATCAGCCAGGGGGGCGTCTCTGGAGAAGAGAGCCAATGAGGGCTGCGTCGCCCGCCACCTGACTGCCCTGCGCACCCGACTCCCAGCCGAGAACGCTTCCGCCGCCTCCAGGCCTCCACGCAGGCGGGCTCTCCCCATTGGCAGACCCCTGTCCCCCCGCACTCCCCCCCTCATCGCGTGCATCAAATAGCATAGACGTATGTATACTGGTATAGTAACGACACAACATGGGGCATAGGCAAGACGGACGCGGGTATCAGCAACAGTGTATCCTACCAACATTAACGGGCTCGCGCTAGACTATGCTACTACTAGGAAAGAGATAGAAATAATACCACACCCCCGTCGGCCTCTCTAGGAGCCCGACGCAGGCATCCGATCCGCATAACGAAACGAGAGAACAAACGCGGATCTCGTCCGCAACAGCCCCCACCACCCCAATCGCCCCGCCCAACTCGACGATCGAGCCCCTGATGCAGGAACATCTCCGCATGCCCCTCGCCCGATCACAGACACGCAAACTTGGACTTCCGCCGCTGCACCTCCTCCATCCGGCTGTCCAGCTGCGCCCGCGCCCGCTCCTTCGCCCGCCGCTCCTCGTCCAGCCGGTGCTCCAGCGACTGCTTCTCCTCCACAATCGACCGCCGCACGTTCACCACCTCGTTCTTCGCTTCTGACAGCTCGGCGCGCAGCCCGCTTATCTGCGTGTTCAGATTGTCCCGCTCGCGCGCAAGCTCCGTCGCCTGCATCCGTGCCTTCCGCACTGCGCGTTGAGGGTAAGAGAAGCAAGGTCAGCGATCGCCGCTCGCCGCAAACAAAACAGAGCATCAGGCTTCGCCGCGCGCACACATTGCGTGCGAAATGAAAGAATGCGGGGGCGGGGAAATACACTCACGGTTTTTCTCCGAGTCGCCTAGTGACGACTCCAGCCGCGAAACGAGATCTATGTGCGCCTGCAGGTCGGTCTCACAGTGTGTCAGCTGCTTGTTGAGCGTCTTGATCATCGCTTCCTGCTCCTCAATTTGCTTCGCCTGCTGTTGCACCTGCGCCGACACCTTCGGATCAGGCGTAGCCGACGGCGATGGAGGTCCGTTCGCCGTTGACGGCGCCAGCGATGTGGTCGGCGTTGACGGAGAAGCGAGCGGTGTGTCCATGCCCAGGGGCGAGCCGAATGTGGAGGTGGAAGCGATGCTCAGCTGCGGCTCATGCATGTGCATCGGCGCCGGTGGGATGGGAACTGTCGGTGGGGGTGCAGGCGGTGGCAGCTTGGTCGGCGACATGCCGTTCGCACGGATTCCGCGGTCCAGAGCTTGGCGTGCACCCGGCGACGGGCTCCGCACCAGTTGCGTCTGCAGCTCGCGGAGCATGCCGTCCTGTTTGTTCTTCTCCGCCTGCAGGCTGTCCATCTCGTCCTTCGTGCGCTGCAGGTTGTCATGAATCTCCGCGATCGCAGAGCGGTGGCGCTCGAGTTCATCCACGAGAGACTCGCGCTTGGACGCCTCCTTGACAAGTTCAGACGACCTCTCCCGAGTGTCCTGCAGTTCCTGCCGGAGCTTCGCCACTTCGGCCGCTAACGCGTCACGTTCCTCGTTCGAGCTGTTCAGCTGCTGGTGCAAGAGACCAATGACACTGGTCTTCTGCTGCAGAACCTCTTCGTGGGCCCTCCGATTCTCCTCGCGCGCGACAAGGTGCTCATCCGCAGCCGCCTTGTACGATTCGAGTTCATCGAGTACCAAGTTGTGGTTTTGTTGCAGACCTTGTACCTCATCGTCACGCTCCTTCTGCATCTCGCTGAGCTGCAGATCATGGTCTTTACGTAGGACCTCGATCTCTTCCGCGTGCCTCTGCGTCAGCTCCGCGAGGGTGGCGTTGATCCGCGCCTTCTCTTCGGCGAGAAGCTCTCCCGTTCGAGCTTGTGACTCGTCGAGGCGTTGACGATGATGTTCTTCGGTGGCTGTAAGCTGTGCCTGAACTTCCTCGATGACAGCTTGGTGTTCAGCCTTAATCTGGGCAATTTCCTCCGTGTGTGACTGAATAAGAGTAGAGCGCTGCTGCTCTGCTTCACCGGCGGCACTTGCAAGGGCGACATTGTGCGCCTCCTCCAGGCGGGATAGCTCTTCTGCGTGACCGCGCTCGACCTCCTGAAGGACCACCGCCTGCTGCTCCTTAGCAGCTTGCAGCTCGGCCTCTAGTCGCTGGTGCATGTCTGAGCTCGTGGTCGTGAGCTGCGTCCGAGCCTCTTCCAGCTCAGCTGTCAACCGAGAAATCTCCTGCGCGCTTTCATCGTTGAGCTTCGACACCTGTGCAGCGTGCTCCGTAGCCGTCTTCTCCAGGGTCGCGCGATGCTCGTCGTCTCTGACAGAGAGCGCCCGTGCGTGCTCGACCTCAAGTTTCGCGAGGTCGTCGGCGAAGGCAGCTTCCCTCTGGTTGAGCGCCTCTGTGTGAGTCGCGTTCAGCCTTTCCTTCGAGCTCCTGAACTGCTCTTCTTTGGCTGACAGCGCTTCGGCGTGCTCGTCTTTCAGCTTCTGGATATCCTCGGCAAACTGCTGCTCCTTTGCACCAATGGCCGAGACATGCTCCTCCTGAAGCCCTTTGAGGGCGGCGTCCCGCGATGACTGCGATTCCGAAAGCGACCCTTCACGAGCAATCTCCGTCATCCTCATCTCCCGGGCGTGCTCGTCCTTGAGTCGCTCCATAGCCGTAGCCGCCTCCGCTGCCTGCTTCTCAAGCGCCAACGCGTGTTCCGAGCGAAGCTTGGTCAGTGCGTTGTAGTAATCTGCCTCCGTCTGAGAAATGTTGGCGGCGGCTTCCTCAGCTCTGCGTTTGAGAGCCGCGTCATGTTCTGTGGTCAGCTTGGACACAGCGGCTTCATGCTCCTTCCGAGTGTGGTCCAGCATGTCATCGACCTCTTGACCGCGGCGCTTGAGCTCTTCCTCGTGATCAGCCTGAAGCTTTCCAAAGGCGGCTTCGTGCTCCTGGTGGGCCTTCTCCAATGTAGTATGCGCATCAGTTAATTGCACACGCAACTCGTCAAGCGCGCCCTGGTGCTCCTCCTTCATGCGTGCGAGTAAGGCATCGACCTCAGCCTCCTTCGTCCGCAAAGCTTCTTCATGCTCCGACTTGAGCTTCGCGATCTCGGCCGCATACTCTGCTTGAGCACGCTCGATGGCCTCCAACAGTTCGGTCTCGCGGGCTTGTACCCTAGCAAAAGAATCGGTAAGGTCGGTTTCACGGACTTCGGCTTGCTTCAGCGAGTCCGTAAGGTCAGCTGTGCGCTGCTCCAGTTGCTGCAGCCTCTCCAGGTCTTCACCATGCTTCTCCAAGTCGTCTTCGTGCTTCTTCTGCAGCGCTTCAATCTCGGTAGACATGTTGTGAGTCTACGAAGGGAACGCTTGAGTCGACTGCTAGAGCGAAGAACTTTGCAGAACGCACCTGATCGCGAGAGAGAACACTCAGTTCCTCAAACTGTTTGCGCACTTGGCTCAACTCGGTATTGAGAGCATCTACAGCCTCACGATGGCTGGATTCCTTCTGGGCCATAGATCTGCGTCGTCCGGAAAAGGTCAGATCTATCGCTGACAGAGTTCATCCAGAAGTCAAACCCACCGCATGAGCTCGTTGAGCCTTTCTAGAGATTCATCCGCATCTGCGACCGGTAGCCCATCTTGGGTCTCCTGAATGTGTAAGCTATGACGAAGCTGCTTGAAACGGGACATAGTCTTAGGGGAGAGGTTTAGGCTAGCGTCTGCAGTCGCATTGCCATTCATGAGGATCACAGGCGTGTCAGCTGAGGGCGATGTGAGGTTGGCAAGCGTAGTTGCGCGCTCCTTATCCTTCAATGACGCTTCCAGAGCAGAGATCTCGGTTTCCCGCTCCTGGAGGACCTCCTGGAGGCGCATGATCTCTTTCTCGAGACTAGCGACGGACCGTTCGTTGGAACCAACATTTACGGAAGGAACAGAGATGGAGAGATTGGGTCTAGAGTGAGAGCGGGTAAGGGATAAGGAACTACTCGTGCCGTGACTGGAGGTAGAAGCGTTGCGCGACCTGACCGAGGACAGCTCCTGCGAGAGCGATACAGATTGCGATACAGACCTGATGAAGACGTAGGGTTCAACGCTTCAGTACAAAACTAATGTGATGATTGCGACTGAATTACCTGGAGTGGAGTGACTCTGTTGACGATGCTTGCCTGAAAAATGGGCGCCTTACAGTCCCGTTGATCTGCGATTCGACGCCGTCTTTGGACACAACCCTCGTCATCCTTCTCCTAGGAGAAAGATCAGCCGGCCGTTCTGGAGACTCTGAGGGTGCAATCGGGGCGTTGACCTTGGCCTCTTCCAGCTGGGCAGCTAAATCGGCTATCTCGCGCAGCGCATCACGGTATTTCGCGGTCACAGACGACAGATCGGCGAGCGTGGCTGTATGCGTTTGCTGCAGTGCAACGAGCTGTCCTTCGACAGAGTTGTCCGGTCCGACAGCCAATGAGTCGGTGCTCGGCATTGTCTTGATAGACGGGGTAGAATCCTCGAGACTCTTGCGCGCCTTGGCGACCTCACCGACGAGATCTCCAAGACGTTCCCTGTCTTCTGCTGCCTCCTTCTTCTTTGCCTCCCATTCCTCCATCTTTAGCTCGAGGGCACGCACTTTCCGCTCCCGCTCCTCAAGATCAGTCCTCCAGCTCTCTCCGTCCTGTGCAAGGCTATCCAAGCGCGACTGCAGCACCTCGACTTCTTCTCTGCGACGGTCGCACTCCTTCTCAAGATTCTCGACCGTCTCGCGCAGAGCCAGAACGGACTCATCGGCACGCGCAAGTCGCGCCTCGAGATCGGAGATGTACTGAGATGAGTACGACTCCGAGTCTTTGAACTTGGAAATCTCGCGCTTCAGGTCTGTAATAGAGCCGCTGGAAGAAATTGACGTTTCATCATACTGCTTGACTTTCTCTTCCAAGTCGCGGATGTAGGCCTATAATCGCCGTGAATACTGGAAGACGCAAAAATAGCGTACTCCTGACCTCATTGGATGCTTCTCGTTCCGACAATTTAGCCACGCGCGCCTTGAGTTCCTCAACATACAACTCGGTCGTTGCATGTCTATCGGACAGCTCAGTGTATTCCGCCTCCTTCTCCTCGTACAAATCATTTGTGTGCCTCAGCGCCGCACGGTTCAGGTTGAGCTCAGCCTCCATTGCATTGATCGTCTTCTCGTACTCCTCGATCACAGGCCCTACAATCTCTTCGTATTTCGCCGTCCCTCCGATATGGCCGCCCTTTGAGTTGCGCTGCTTCTCCGCGAGCTCTCTGCGAAGTCGGGTGAGTTCCTCCGTGCGTTCTACGAACTTGGCGCGCAAATCTTCGTAATTGTTCTGCAATTCGGTCATCTGTGCGAGGACCTTGCGCCCCGCGCCCTCCGACGAATCCAATGAGTTCGCCGGAGCATTAGCTGAGCTCGTGATGGTACCGCCTTCTTTGAGAACCTTGAGCTCCTTTCTCAAGCGGGTCACTGTGCCCTGCAGCCACTCGAGGTCATCCCAGCCGTCCTCTTTCTCGTTGGCCACTACCCGGTTCTTGATGTTCCGAGCACGATTCGCGTACTTCAGCGTGTTGATTGTCTCCCCGACATTCCATTCTGTCGGGCTAACACACGCAATCATGAGCGTATGGGCATTGCCGCCAAGCGAATCTTGCATCAATCGCGTAAGCTTTGAGTCACGATATGGAATATATGACGCTGTGTGCGACTTCGCTCGTGCCGGATCGCCCAGAGCAGAGATCACATTGCCGAGAGCGAGTAGACCGCTGTTAATGGAGATACCCTCCTTAATGCGCTCCCCAGCGGCCGCAGTGCGCTTGAGCTTTGGAACGCAAATGGTCGTGATAAGTAATACCGGCGTTTAGATACAGTGAGAGACGTACCCGCTCAGAGCCCGCCAGATCAACGAAGTGGAACTTGGACACAACAGTGACCCACTCGCCCTCGCCGTCATCAGCAGCATGATTTGTTCGCCCTCCATCAGGCGACAACAAGCCCAGCGAGCTCGCTGGTCGGCCTCCCCGGCCCATTGCCGTCTGGAAACTCGGCGTTGCCGGACGTCCGAGGGTCGGGGACGACACTCGTACTTGCGGTGTCCCGATTAACGCCGAGCCGGGGCGTGCGATGCGCGATGGTGGCCGGCCGCCAGGCGGCAGGGGCGATGAGGAGCGCGGCGGAGGCTTTGATCCCGAGAACTTCTTTTGCGTTAGAGTCAAAGAGAAGATGGCATGGGACCGTGATGACTGCGCATTCATGTCCGTTTCATTTGTCCGTCTGATCGCCGTGCCTTGACGGATGAGGCTATTGAAAGTCAATAATAGGTGAGTTTAGAATACTTGTAAGCATATGCAATCAATCGGAAGATTCGTGCACAGAGGGATTTGAGGGAACACAAGCATTCCAAAATAGTGGTTCGGTGTCATATAATCCGGTTTGTCGAGGTCTCTGGCACCTGCCCAAATTCCCCTGTGCACAGTTCGCGGCGATGCGCCCACATCATGATCGTGATTGCAATGGCGCACTTACCTCATGACCTCACTGGGACCTTTCACGTTTACTTCGCGCAGTCCCTCCCAGATAATGTGCCCCTGCTTGTCTTCACGGATCTGCACTTCGCGCTTGCCAAGTCCCTCCTCCATATTGAGCAGGTCGATTAAGTCTTCGTTGTATATCTCAATGAACGAACCCTTCAGGCTGTAGCTCCACGAATCGCCGCGCTCCTGCTTCAGTTCTCTACAGCGCGCGAAGATGGTGGAAACGGCCCTCGGAATGATACCCATGCCGTTGTAAGGGTCGTTGGGGTCGGCGTCGAGGTCGACACCGGTCATAGTGAATGTCTTACCACTACTCGTCTGGCCATACGCCAAGATAGTACAGTTGAAGCCGTCAATAAAGCGAGAGATAAGGGGCTGTGCGGTGGAGGTAAAGAGGGCATGTTGTGTGGCAACGGGTGGGTGCACTTGATCGAACGTGAAGACCTGCTTTTTGCCCGCGCCCGCGGCGCCCGTAGATGCTGCAGCACCAGGGCCAGTAGAAGGAGTGGCTTCCACAGAGACAGTGGTGGGGGACACGGCGGTGATGACCGACCGTTGGAAACGAGCGGGAATGGAACTGGCGTCCTGCGTGGTGGTCGGTCGAATGCGCAGGGCTGCGGGATATGTTCGACTCGGATCGGGAACAGGAGGCTAGTTACTTACCGACTTGTACAGAGGTTGTCGCCGCATTCGACGACGATGGCGAGGGTGCCATGGTGAATGGGGACGTCGAGGACAGCGACGGCGGGGGTTGGGGGCGGGAAGGGGATTGGTGAGAACGGGTAAGTGGTCGAGCGATGCAAAACAACTGCCTGAATAGGCGAGCCCCGTTTCTAGTCACGTTGTTGATGCGATCAAGTAACGCCGTAAATCAGGATTACTGCTTTCTAACGGGGATTAGCTCTAGAGGCCACTACTAAAGTACTAATCATTCGCTAATGCATGGCAACCAAGCTGAGCCGACATAATGATCCCCGAGCAGTTTGAACGTGAGCTGCAAGTGCCAGCGAAGATCTGCCATCAGTCTACGTGGTACATTTAGAATAGAGATATTCCAATAACGTCCGGCCTCATGGCCATGTACTCACGGCTATAAGCCCAACAACTCAAAACCCCGACGGATGTTTACAGACTCCTATGGCTTGTACTCTATGTAACAGCAAGATATACGTACACTGGTAGTACAATCCAACGAATACGTCAGAAGACTACCGAGCCCAGGCCAGATGCGCTGCCGTCGCTCTCCACCTGGCCCGACTTGTCTGTACGAACCTTCTTCGCCCATCGTAGGCCGCATGCGTTACACAGAGTCTTCGGTCCAAGTGGGCCCTGTACAGTGCATGAACATAGCCCAAACGACCAGTCGAGTTGATGAAGAATATCGCACCTTGCGCCATTCAGGCGAGTCCGTCCGTCCGCAAGTCACGCACACATATTGTTCTGCCGTACCGCCAAAGGACCGCTTTATCTGGGCGCATCAAGAACAAATCGTCAATCAGACTAACGCGACAGTATCATTGATGGAATGTACCAACCTTCTTCTTTGGTCCCCCGCACTCGCTGCCGTCGTCATCTCCGGTGGGGTGTTCAGTATATATAGCGAGCGAGCTCCCGTCGTAGTTCGTTCGACTCATGGCAGTGATACTATCGGGCACCATCTCCTCGTACGAGCCATAGTAACCCTCGCCCACCTGTTGGCCGTGAACCGTTTCCTGGCTAGGTGACTGGTTCTGCAATGTTTGACCTCCGACCGTTGCGTCCAGAGCACTGTTCTGCGCGCGAAGTCGGACCAGGCGCTGCTGGAGGCGCTCATTCTCCATCTTCAACTCAAGAAAAGTGTTGAGCCTGTGACAGGCAGCATGAGTTACGCCAAATATAGCACTAGCGCGGGAGGAATACTGACATGGCCGTATTGCGACTGGGGTAAGGCTTTGCCATGGCAAAGAAACAGCGGAACTCGCCTGTATCCGGGAGGAAGTGCGAGTGGCCGGTGATCTCGAAGAGCACCTCGCGCGGGCGCGACGAGTAATCACTCGCCATATAAAAATCGTTCTTGCACTGTAGGCGAGAATATGCAAGGAGAGATTGTTTACTCTGGATGCATTCCCGGACCATACTGCGAAACGTTACTCGGTCGTCCGCTGAATCAACATTACGTTAGAACTCATCCGCGCAAGTGGCTATGAAACGTACTATTCATAAAGTCAGTGAGGTCAACATCGACGAGATCCTCATCTTTCCATCCGAGCAGCTCTGTTACAGCTGCGCCACAGTACCAGACTTGGCACGTTGCGGACAAGACGAGGATGATCGCCTCGCTGAGTTCTGTGACGAGTAAATCCGCCCAACGCTTGCGCTTCGTAAATTCGAAGACTTGAGCCTCCTTTAATCTCTGTCCAGCACTGTTCGAATTAGGAATCGGTACTGAGCTCGAGCCAACCGCGCTCGGCGTTGTCAATGACGCGCCAACCTGCGAGTTCGCCTGGTGTATTTCCTGGGGAATCGCCTCCGAGAGAGACATGGTGGGAAGAGTGAAGAAAGCGGGAACGGGTGCAGAGTCGCATCGCAGAATTGTACATAAGAATAACAGATCTCGCGAAGGATAAGTTACAGTTCTGTCATAGAATGTGTGTGAGCGCTCCACAACAGGCAATGTAATTGCTGATTGAATACTTGCCATATTTGGCATATATGATCGGTTCCGCGTTTACTGTTCCGTGAATTTCGTCCTTGCACAATTGAACGCTCATGCACATGTCTCTGATCGGATGGCAAGGGACTCGGATGAGTCACTTGTCCATGGGTTGCGCACAGCCGCTGCATGGTTGTGACTCCGTCCATACAAGCGTCCCCTTGATCTTTACCGCACATTCATCGCCGTCCAGCTTCTGCCAGACTCACCATATACTAGTAGGCTAGGCATGACTGATCCGGAGCTACACCTCGTCCGCTATAAGACTGTTCAGGAATTCTTGCACGAGATGAAGCCGTTCGATGAGAGCTTCATGAATCTTGCCTTGGGCCCGCTATGGGACGACATAAGTACGAATCCGACCCGATCAGAGGAGCGATCTGAACTCTCTAATCGTCCCTTATTCGCTGTGCTCAGCGCCAACGTGCTGGTGTAAGTCCTGTGCTTACCCTGCCATAAAAGCTAGCCGCTGACCCAACATGTGTCCAGGATGACATTGACCAGAGATACTGCACACCATCCCTGGAAGTTGGCAATTCCAAGCACACTTAATCCAGACTCGGTACACTATCAATTCACCATTGCAGGCGCCTCCCGATTACTCGCGTCGACGCTAGACGCGTTAGTGGAGCCCGGGGGCATAGGAAGGATTGCTGCCCCTTCTCCTGTGATGGACGTATTTATCGACGCATGGGCTACCTCTCTGAGTGGCAAGGGCATCCAAATTACCGCCCTCCCACTAGACCTTATCGCCCGCTCTTGTTACGCAACACGCCAGACGGTGCCTTCCTCCTCCGCATGTTCGTTACCGGCAAACATCACGATTGCGCTTGCGGCAGCGGAAGACGTATCTTCCCTCGTCCCTCTATTCGTCGATTTCACATACCACACGCATCAAGTTGCAACGCCAGAAGCCGCGCGTGCATCACTCTCGAGAGCAGTGCAGGGCCACAAGTTGTGGGTTTGTCGCTTCGATGGCGACATCGCCGGGTTCACCGTCGTTGGCCGCGAGACGCCGAACACCATAGCGATCCGAAATGTGTTTGTGCGCCCGGAGCACCGCCGCAAGGGCCTTGCGGAGGGAATGGTGGGCGTGCTCACACGCTTCTACCTTGGGCTCGACACTGTGTTGGAGCCGCATTACCCGATGGGACAACCGAAGCGAGAGGTCTGTTTACTTGTCAAAGACCCGGCCGTAGAGAGGATATACGCGCGGTGTGGGTTCCTTGTAGGGGAGGACGTGCGCGATCCGGAGACGGGCCGGAAGGCGTGCTATGCTTTTGTGTCTCGTGGTGTGCAGACGGTACGACAGACATGAAAAGCCCTTACCATACACTTATCTCCATGCGCACACAACATGTTCGTGATGCTTGAATATAGATACAATGAGTATGAAAGACCGCACACGTCTTATACTTAACAGACAGACATGGAAGTTTATCAAATATTCCCTGGCTGACCGTGAAAACATAGTCTGGGAAGAAAGGGCAAATAGTATAGACAACGTGAGAAGCGTATCCTGAAGACTGCCATGTCCAGCGTTAGTGCCATCGACCTTACATGGTTTCATGGCAATGGGCCGATCGGAGATAACGCAACGCTGTTGAACCAAAACGAGACCTAGAGTCAGCGAAGTGAGGACACTGAAATGGTTTACAGATACCTGCATTCGAACAGGAACATTCACGGTATGTATAAGAACTTCCACTATTATGCTTGTGCCCCTCGCCCCTTCACTCCCGAATGTGAGCTTCTCGGTTGGGATTCCACTTTAACACCATGCTTGGACGTCGACATGGCACAATGCCGCCTTGTAATGGACACCGGAGCAATCTGAAAAGCTTGATCCTGCTGCAGTAACGCTTTCCAACGCAGCCAAATCAGTGCGGTGCAGAGGTCACCTTTACCGGCGGAAATGATACTTCTGACGCGCAAAAACGGTGGGCGTGGCGAACGCGGATAAACTTGGGGTCTGAACATTGGAATGACACGGAGAAGGAAGATAACTGGACCCCCTGACGCTAAGTGGACTTGTAGCCTGGGCGGAATGGATCGATGTCCGAGGATAAATCACGATGAGAGACAATCTCGGATCGGATTGAGCTTTTTTTCTGACTTGCGTGAACAAGGAAAGTGCAGACAAGGTTTGAACGATGTATTGTATCAAGGGGCCGGGGATGCGCATTGGCGTGCTTCCACCAACTTAGTCGCAAAGGCTACGGAGGTGTGAGGTATATTATTGTGCACGTCGCTATTCATGATTCCATGACCTGCTGTTGATCCACGCAGGTACGTGGATTTGCACTACTAGCGTATGCTGATACGATTTCCTTGTCAAGCCTCTCCCACTTCGCGAGGCGCGAGATCCTCTTGACATCTAAGTCTACGATCTTGACCGATCCTCGCCGCCCCGCGTCCTGCTCGCCGGTTGCGGGAGTCATGCTGATCATGATTGAGCAGTCCTTAAACGTGGCCGAGAGCAGATACGCGAGGCAGTAATAGCGCAGGTCCTCCGGCTGTGGATCCGGATGGTGACCACTCCTTCCAGTAATAGTCGTCCGCGAGAGGTACTCGTCGATGAAACGCGTCCATTCCTCAAGAGTGGGCTCTTGCGCGCTCGTACCGAACACGGATGAACTGACGAATTGGGGATACGAATTTGTCCAGAGTGTGGAAAGTCCCTCGATATCAAGGGGATCGAGAGTGCGTTGCAAGTTTGACAGTGTATATAAGACGGAAGTTTCGAGTAATATTGGGAGGAGAGAAGCAACGAATCGCTCTCGGATATCTCTAAGGGACAAAGCAGCGCTTGTATCGAATGTGGCCGTCTCCGTACGAGAGAGCTGTCGCACTAGAAGCTGTAGTGATTGAACCTGGAAATACACACTTTAGTTAGACGACCGCGATGTAATCTCCAAGGAGGCAGACCTCTCCGGTCGGCTTCAGCACCTCGCCTTTCACAAATATTTTCAAGTTGTTGATAGTTCCACAAGAAGAGATCCAACTATCCCACAAGGCACACAGAGCCCGACGAACACGATACTCTTCCCCAGAGTATAAGTCGAGGGGACAAAAGTGGAGCTCGGTATCCCCTCTCTGGCCGGCCTTGAAACTGGTATGCATACAAAAGCGGCACGTCCGCGCCTTGATAAAACGGGTCGAGGGGGACAGAAAATGTGGAGAAGGGAGGAAACCCCATTTGGGCTGCAAGAAGTTTGATGACCATTCATCCGAATTGGATGAAACACACCTTAATCTCAACCGCCCATTCAGCTGACCCAACCAGGTCTGTTACAAGTATTGCATTGTGTCGTGATATGTCGATTCGATCTGTTCGTAGTCGGTCAAGAGGGCGTTGGTTCGCACTTAACTGATCAAGACTCATAAGCCATTCGCGCTCAACCCTGGCAGAGAGTAATCGCGGAAGATATCCCTCAGGGACAAGCCGCCGCGTTACACGCTGATGAATTGGAATGAACAGGTCATCAATGTCTTTAGTAGGTAAGGATTCGGCAGCCGAGTCGTTGACGAAGTCGTGCGTGGTCTTGCGCAACCTGAGTACGGTTCCGCTGAAGCGATGATCCGCGGGGCCGGTATAGGAGAAAACGATGGACGCTCCGCCTTCCGCGACGTATTTCCAGTCTCCAGGCGATGTATTCGAAAGTGAGGGTTGGTGAGTCATGGAACAAGAGCCCGAAGTACGAAAACAGAGGACAAGCCAATCATCAAGTCGATCACATACAATCGAATGCACTAAAGGCCATATTTGGCAACTGCTGTAGTTTGAAGCGTTCTCGTCTCCACGTCGAGCGATTCGTACATATATTTGCTTTCTTCACAATAACATGGGCATCATGCAATGACAGAACAAGGACGTATCAAATTGCGGGAAATGCTGAGATCTTCTGTCTTCTGACCGGTGTATCTGGTTTGTCTCTCCAGGATGTCGCAGCTGCTGAAACACTAAAGCTCCTCGTGTTACATGCTTTCTGGCGATCAGAGGTTGGTGGCCACCGGCCAAGAGCCAGTCGCACAGACAGAAACAAGCCTCGTTCTGATGCATCGTATTAACGGCCACATTGCCGGTCCTAGAAGCTTAGCAGGCCAAGGCGTATACCCCGTATTTCGTATGACACTGGCAAAACCTTTCGATCAAACAGTAAAGTTACAGGTGTGACAGCCATATTGAGACACATCGTATTGTGGTGTACATGTATGCACAGAGTCCCATCCCCCTGTCTGTGCACAACGAAGTAAAGCGGAATTCTTCGTCCGATGAGACCCTTGAACGCACATCGTCAACATCAGTTCTCGGCGTTAGGAGCAGGTAGTTCCAGATCCTCCGCCTCGGTCATCTTGACCCACATACCACCCTGAATTGTGAAGATTAAACATAATTCAGTGCAGAACTTCAATGAGATGCTTACGTGGGAGTACATAGTGAGATGAGACTTCGGCCAGAAACGGTCAATGCGCTTCCGGCTCGAACCGGTCACAGCCCAATCCGCGGGAGGCAGCGACTCTGGGGGTGCAGCTTCAGGAGCTAGTTCCATGGAGGAAAAGCGCTGCAACAGTTTGACCAAGAAAAATGACATCTCGTTGTATGCGAACTGCATTCGCAGCATGTATCGTCAATCATGAGGCAGCCGAACAGCTTGGAGGAGGCGCGCACCTGTTGTCCAAGACAGATGCGAGGGCCGGCGTTGAAGGGGAGGAAGATGAATGGGTTCTTTGTGAGATACTTGCTGACACGCTCGTCCAAGAAACGGTCAGGGTCAAACTCATCCGCTGTGAGAAGAAGCTAGGGATAAAATACGTCCTGACATATAAAAGGTCCCTGAACGTACCATCTGGACCCCACAACTCCGGCCTGCGGTGCATGGCGAGGACTGAGTACGTGACCCTATATGAGGAAGATTCATGAGCAGCTAAAACATCTTGGTGACAGAAGGTGGACGCTCACAATGTCCCAGCGGGTACATAAAATGGCTTGCCGCTCGGATCCGGGTTCGGTAGAGTTGTCTCATTGATCGCTCGTCTAGTGAACATCAGTGAATGGTTGAGCTGCCATGCAAATACACTGACTTGCCTCTGGTTCACAGGCCTGTGCGGATAAATGAATTGAGGGCGCGTATAACAGAGTAAGCCTTGTTGATAACTCACACAAGTGGGTACAAACGCAGCGTCTCATTGATCACGGCCCGCAGGTAGCGCATCTCCTTGATATCAGCATAAGTCGGGCGTCGGCTACGGCCAACTCTGTCGATGATTTCGGCACGCAGACGCTCGCGGACCTGCGGGTACATACAAAGGCAGTAGATAATCAACGTGAGAGTGCCGGCGGTCTGAAGAAAGATTAGTACCTGTACTATAATATAGACACAGGTTCCGCTCACCGTGTCACGACCAGCAAGGAGAATATTGAGAGTCTCATCGTGTAATACAACAGGATCTAAAGGCACCATTGAGCGCACCTAGACTAATATATACAAAATCACTGACCGCTCGTGAGTTTAACCAAATGATCCAACAAGGTCTCTCCTTCGGTGTCATCGTGTGTTTTGTCCATGGCTTGGTATCCCCTCATGTCGTCCTTTCTCCTCAGAGCCTCCTTCAGGATAGGATCAAGAAACGCATTCACAACGCGCATATGCTCGTCAGTCTTGTTTCTGAGCACCTCTAGTATCGGCCAGATCTTGCCAATGATCGCACGCTCGGCGATAACATGCTGCGACTTCAGGAAGGCAGCTGAGAATGCATCTGCACGACTGAGAGCTTCCTGGCTGGTGGGCTGTGTTGCGAAGGGTGTTGGAAAATGGTTGTGCGGGTACGGTAGGGGCGATCGAAGAGATTCGACACAGGTTCCAAATAAGAATTCTGTCGCAGAATCCATAGTAAACCGTGATATGAGATCCTGGAATGAGCAAAGCGTCAGTATCAATATCAGGTGACACTGACAGCGATGTCCGTAAAGTGAGACAGATAGAACTGCTTTCGCCATGTAGAAACAAAGTTAGGGTACCTGAAAGTCCACTGCATAGCCTGCGTTGAGGCGTTCTCTCATCCTAACAATGGCGTACTCTGTATGATTGATCAAGTTCCGCTCATTGTTTAGGCACTTCGACACATAGCGCAGAACGTACCGGCATGGACATCAAACAACTCGAAATGGCTTATACGGTCCTTGCTGAAGAATGGACGTGTCATAGTGCGGTGCCACCTATCGTAACGGACCTGTGTTGAGATTGCGTAGAAAGCAAAGGACGTCATACGTACTTCCACATGTCTCCTGTTATTCCGACGTGGATGCCGTGAATATAAGATACACGTCGTCAAGAGTCTCACACACCATCAGAGTTGAAGACACCTGTTCCGAGGAAAGAGTCCATCTGCTCCTTGAAAATAGCACCTGAAGAATAAGGACGTGTCAACACTATGATCGTAAGACTTTCGACTTTCGACGTGCCTTTCTCAAAGTTCTGAAAGTCTGTTGCAAGCATAGTCTAAACTTTGGTTCAGATGTTTATATGCCCCGGAATAGATGTGATGGTACCTTCATAACGTTGGGATCGCAAGTCATGTACTGAGTATCCCAGAGGATAGAGGTCTGGATGGTATGACCTAAGCTGTCGAATTTGTCCCATAGGAAATCCGCTGCATTGAGAAGAACCCGCGTCAACAGGCCGCAGTAGCCCCATATCAATAAACTCGTACGCACTGGGATATCCAGACCTGAAGGAGTGGACCATTGTCGCCATGTTGTCCAAGTTACCGATTCTATTGCCGACCCATTCCGGTGGAAGTATTGCCCCGAAGCGAACAGCCGCGCGACGGACACTCCAACGACGATGGATTACGCGTGCGAGAAAACCCAAAGGCCCACTTATGACTGCCAGGAGACATACGAGCCAGAAGGGGGATTCCAAGTGCCAGAATTTGGCGAGCGCGTGGCTGCCGATTACCATGCAGAGAGGCGCAAATGCTATTGTCAACAGAAGACGAGCGAGAAATGAGACTCCAGGGGCTAATGTTATGGCCATAGCGGCCATTGCGACTGGTCAGCCGGTAGCATTCAGATTCCAGCTATAGTGATGCATTGTATACACTGAACGCACCGAGGATGGTATTCCACTTCAGTACTGCGAAGAATTAAGCAAGATATCGCAGTGCAGCACCGCGAATACAAGTTTGCCCAGAGAACTGCGTTGTGAAGGAACGAGGGCAACTTGGGTGGAAGCTTGAATGCCTTTAAAGGCCCCTGAACTTCGACGTGGGGACCTCGGCTATTCCGGACATGGCGGAGTCGATGAGCAATTCTGACCAGTCATCTATCCCGCTGGTGCGAAAGAACCGATTGCACCAGGAAATTGTCGTACGCAGTACGAGTACTCCTGATAACACAGCTCACGGTACGGTAATCCATATTTCATCATTTGGCGTAGTTAGCACACCTTGGTGAGCAAGAAATGCAATGTTAATCCTTGGGCATGTATGAATGGAATAAATTGAAACCAGGCTGGACTGACGATACCTGAAGAAATGACTTGAGACGAGATTCACACCTGGACGCGTTGCAGGTCGGCACACCATGCTGACTGGACGGAGCCGCAATGTGTCGTCGTGATTTGCCTACTTTTCCGAATATATCGGATCTTCTCAAGGAGGCGGCGAACACAGTAATCGTCAGATGACTGAGGAATAGAGTTCACCGCATACTCACTGGCTATGCTTCTACTCCGCCGACGACTCATTCTGTTTTTTAAATTCTCACGTTTGAATTCAGCGCTTTATCATCTCGGCTATCGATCACTTCTCCCGAATACACGGCCTTAACGAATGTGAGTTCTCAGCGGGTGGACCTGTTATGTTCAATCATAAATTAGCGGGGTCCCAGGGTCCTAGGTACATGTGTAGAGTGATATATAATGTCCCTTTGGCTGGCATGTCATGAGTTTCAGCAATTATAACAACCATAGAAAGATGATCAAATGTCCAAGCCTCTCAAAGACGATCCTGACCTGGGGATGAGGTATGCATGGTCTTGCAAGGCGACGGCGGTTGGACGCTCATCTGGGTCCCTGAAGGTATGATCCGTGTTAGCGATCGTCTTGAACAACTTGATACTCACATGACAAAGCACCTCCGTCGGAAATCATCAGCCAGTAACGAGACAGTGACATCCGTAGGGAGCATAGGCCCGTGTTCCTTTTGATATAGCTGAGGGTACATGTTGATATTGAGACATCACCAGAATTGTCGAGATACTCACATCAACAAGAACAGAAGTGTGTCCTAGGCCCGCCCACGGTCTCTCACCTGTCCACATTTCGTAAAGAATGCAGCCAACGCCCCAGATGTCCACTTTTGCACCGTACAGATTTCGATCATTCCACGAATATATGACATCTGTATGTGCACGGATCACTTCAGGCGCCATCCAAAACACGGCGTCTTCTAGAGGCAGAATCGTGTATGCTCTCGGAAGCCAGAACATCGTGTTCTCAAGGTGCACATATGCGTGTAGCTCAGCCATCTCTGTGCTGATTGTGTCCGGGGATTTAGATACGAAGAAGTTAGCGATCTTGCAGGTACCATCAGCGTCAAGGAGGATGTTGTCGGCCTTCAGATGCTGCATCGTCACATCAGCAATAATGCCGCCAAGAACGGAACTCGGCACGAAACGCACACCGTGTAAAATTTCCAGACCATGGATATAGACCAGGCCAGCGACAATCTGTCGAAGAAACAATTTGGCCATTTCTTGGTCAAATGCGCCATGGGTGTGTAGGCAAGCAGCGAGCGAGCCGCAGGAGGGAAATTCCACGAACCTGAGCAGGGCTATGAGCCCAATCACAGGTTTACGAGAGCCTGAGATACTCACATGCTCAGGGACTCGGACGTCTCTTCGAGGCCAAGAAATTGGATGATGTTCGCATGCTCCAATAGCCTGATAATATACATTTGCAGCTGAAATAGACGATAACTATAGACTTGCTGTGAGTATTGCCCATCATACGTCGAGGAATTCGGCTTCCAAATCCGTCTGATGGCTATGGTTTTCGCAGATGGCGTCGCGCCCAGATACAATTGACCAAAAGCATCCCGGTATATCAGTTCGCCGTGAACGTGAAGCGGCACGTCCAATTTCGAATAGGCGGAGCGGGTTTCCCCGTGTGTTGAGACGCGCGCGCACGCGGGTACCTGACCAGATATGCCGGGAGCCGGCAAAGTGAGCGATGGGACGAGCTCGTCAGGAGATTGAATCTCAAAGTGTCTCTTGGGAACTTCGACTGTGCAATTGTGCTGATTCTTGCGGTCAGATTCGGGCCGCTTGCGTTCATGTTGTGAGTTAGTCCAGGGATTAGCCACCCCAGGATCGATGGGGCTAATATCCGGAAGCGCTAAGATGGGCGGTCAGCACGCGAGAGTACAGCAATGATATTGAAGGCTAAACCCACCGGGTGCAAAATCATCTGGAAGATCCGCGAGCCCTCCGAAAGCGAGCTGTACAGACGCTTTCCGTTTACTTTCCGCACCCATGAAACTAGCCTGATGCTGGCCACCCCTCAATGCTCTGTCATCAAGAGTAAAGTCGACGGGAGAAGGGTTCCTGGATGGCTGTAGGTCGGGTTTGACCATAGGGATAGTAATCGACGGTAGACGAGGCTTCAGAATATACCGCGATTCTTCTGCGATAGGTGAGATGGGAGCAGATACTATCTGCGGGCTGTTGACTGGACCGTCGACGGGAGTGCTCGGTGTGGTTGACCATGTTACAGAAGATGTGTCGGTTGGAGAGTCGAGGGGAGATTCATCGTCAGGTGCATCATGTAGTGCAATCCTAGCCCCCGTAAATACAAGTGGGTAGAACGCTTCGCCTAGTCGTGTCACAGCAGAGGACATAGTAGGACGTAGTCGCCACTCAGGATGCCAGCACTGTTCCATCAAGTCCCAGACTTGCTCGCAAAGTCCAAGTGGTTCCGCACTTAAGGGATAGCTTGGTCGCACACCCGAGAGTATCTGATACATAACCGCAGCATCGAGACGATACTCGTTGTACGGGTGCTTCCCGCTGAACACCTGCAGCAGCAACAATCAGTCTGCATCCAACAACGAATACCGCATGGTGTCTGTACCTCCCATGCGACCATCGAGAACGAATGTACATCGCTTTCCCGTAACGCGGACATAGTCTCGACTCCGGCACCCTCAGGGTCAAGACTCTCCGGAGCCATCCAACGAATCGACCCGGGGACGACGGAACCGGGAGTTACTGGGTTCACAGTGTCCAGGCCGTACACGACGCCTGTCAATCCGAAGTCCGAAAGACAAGCATTTCCTGCTTCGTTGATCATAATATTGGCCTGTGAATGCAAATATAAGCCAGGCAAATCGCCTAAGGATGGGCTGCGCATACCCCTTTCAGGTCACCGTGTACCATGTCGACAGAGTGAAGATATTCGAGCCCCATAGCAACATCCATTACCTGCGTTATTATATGTGTTGTTCAACGAAACGTATGTTAATTGACAAAAGAGTACTGACTAGCTGCCGTCGATTTACAGTGGGGTTGGTGCGAACATATGTCATGATAGTTCCATTAGGCATCCATTCGCTCACCATGCACAGGCGAAACAGGGCTTTGTCGATACCAAGGAACGGCGTGATATTGGGGTGGGATAGGTGTCTCCAGAGCACAGCTTCTTTACAAAAATGCTAGGGGACGACAGATTTAGAGATCACTTCCCACTAGCACATACATGACCCACTTACCTCCATAATCCGTTGCAAGTCAATGGTATTCGATATTCGAATAGACTTGAGGGCGACATGGTGGGCGTTCCATTGTCCGCGCCAGACGTCCGCGAATGAGCCGGATGCGACAGGTTGATCACTCTTTCTGAGTAGCTTTCCTGACAAATTGAAGCTCTTGGGAAGATACAGATGTTTGGAGCATAGCTTTTTCTGAGTATGAAGTACGGTCTTATAGAACCGGTCATAGCGACTAGTATGTCTTAGAGTCTTATCAAAGTAAGTGGATTGCAGCCTTTTCTAACTAGATCACAACTCATACCTGATCTAGGGCTTCTATGAACGCGATTGCGTCGGCGTCCTGCAGATGCAAAACACGCTCGACCTCGGCCTTTGATGACAATGCAGCCTGTACGGCACTGACTACTCCCCGGATATCGGAGGTGAGGATACTCCCTGTCATCAGAGTGTCTTCATCGAATTCAGCTAGGAGATATCGCTTCAGGACTGTCCGAACACGCCGTGAACAACGTAAGGTCGCACCTTCTCTGAGGATAAGCCAGGAGCTGAGCCAAGCTACTACCGCAGTTCTCGTTGCGATGCAATGCGATGCACCTGTGGCTTATGATCCGAGAAGACGAGCGACTGACATCCCAGCGCCTGCATGCCAATATCACTGATTTAAAAGCCCAGAGCGCGTCTGACTGCAGGAAGACGAATGATAGAAACATACGCGACCCGAGAAGTCGATGAAGTACGGGCAGCAATGTCGAGGGCTATGTTGATACAGCGAGGGTGATCATCACAGATACATGCATTTACATACTGTAAATATCCGTCACGTTAGTGTAGGGTAAATAATTCATCGGTGTGTAAATTACCGTTTTTTACAGACCCAGGTTTTGGGACCCCGTTTTTTACATGGTAAAAAATGTAAATTACATAAATCACGGGACTATTTGCGCTTCGGCACGTGACACCCTCCGGTGTGTAAAAAACAGTAAAAAATGGTAGAAAAATGTAAAGATATGTTAAAAAAAGCTCCAGGGAGCATTCATATCGCATGCAAGGGCAGAAAGAGTATCTAGCATATGCTACAGACTACCTACACATCCTAATTGAACTCCCATAACACCTTGCCAAGTTGCCGTCTTCTGCCTCATTTACATTTACTAGCTCCTCCTAAATATCCATGCAGCCGCTGTGGCTTCAAGTTCCCAGCCCTAGATGATGGGGGCAATTGTAATGGGCGAGATGAAGAGCGTGAGCCATTATGATGAGAGAGGACTGAGAGGTTCACGAACAACAGGGGCAGAGGCCCGAATACTGGTGTTGGCTCGACAAAGAGATACAAGAGGTGTTCAAACCATTCTAAGAGATTCTAAGTACCTACGGCTAGATCCGAGACAGCGCGGCTAAGTCCGAAAAGGTGAGTCAGAACTTGTACTACGTTCGAGCAAAGTCCGTTGATATCTACAGAGACCGTGTATAAGTATGTAGACTACAAAGATACAAAGAGTAGCGCACTGAGGCAGTGTTGACAAAATAATAGCCCGGGGTGCAAGGCATTGGCCCAATTGGCGGCTGAACGGGGGTACACAGCACGTGACACACCCTTATTTACATTATTTACACCTCTATTCAGACAGCCCTGTAAAAAAGTGTAAATTACTTGTAAATTACCCGTAAAAAAGTACGGTGTAATTTACGCTGATTTATTTGCCTTACACTACGTCACGTCAAACACTGCGCTCCAACAACACGGTCACATGACCGTAATTGCAAGTGTGCTCGGTGTGGCCACGGCCTTTCTTCGCTTACCCGCTTGCTGCTCACGACCACACCACTGTCTGAACACCCTCAAGCATATTCTCGCGGCAATGGCACCAAGAAAAAAGGCCAAGAAGAATAGCAAGGCATCAGATGCCAAAGAGGTGACAGTTTCTAGACGAGGACCTCGGCGGCGCCGTGGCTTTCTAGCAGACCTGCCAAACATGCCATTAGATATCGTACAAGAGGTATCATCTCGACCTGTTTTGCTTCATCGCTTTTGGAATCTAGCCTTATGTATCTCTTTGTGCACAGGTTCTCAGCCATCTCCAGCCTCGTGACATATTACACCTCTCTAGAACAAGCAAGACCTTCAGAACATTTCTCATGAGCCGGTCCTCTGCATTTCTCTGGCGGGCCTCGCGCAAGAATATCGATGGACTTCCCGATTGTCCAAGCCACTTAAGCGAACCTGCATATGCCAATCTCATATTCACAACCCATTGCCATGTATGACATCGTCAAATTCTCCATATTCGTTGTCCAGATTGCTTATGCCGATACATACAGCATTGCTTGAAGCACACGGGCAAGGAGATATTGTGGGGACTTTCGAAACGCTATTGCGATCCATGCAGGGAGAAAACGTAAGTAGTTCGTTCCGTTACTGTTATACTAGATCGACGCAGAACGTGACTTTAGGTTGGCGGTGTTGAGCTTTCTGAATGTTAGAGATTTGCCTCGGTCGCTTACGGACTTGCGCTCGCGTGATTGGTGGAAGCACTTGAATGTAAGTCCATGGGCACATACGTGAGTTCGCGGGGCTCATTTGTTGGGCGGTGCAGCATGACGACGATTGGGGTCTGGAAGAAGACGTCGATGAATTTGACAAAAGCTGGAAATCACTGGAGGGAAAGCCTGATGCGCAGCTTGAATTCATCAACACACGCAAATCGCAGGTGGCGGAAGTACAAAAAGTATGAGATAATTCTTATCCATCGACATCCGCTGACCCATCCACAGCATGCCAAACTATGTCGTCAATGGGAGAAGGATAGAGTTGCTTCCAGAGCGAAGGAGCTGCAGCAGCTCAAAATGGACCGATTTCAGTCGTACGTGCACGGCTCATGCATGGCGGATTAATGACCCTGACGCACCACCAGTGCGCTTGACAGATTGCGTCAATTAGGTTGGGGCGAAGAGCTCGAACGCATTGCACCCACCTATTGGCCGTTGGCACAATATGGCCCCTTGCGAGCAGCACAAAAGCTTACTGATCGTAGTATGTCCTCTCACCGTTTATATGTGTATTACACTGAGCGCCTTGAACCCCCAGTTTGGCACAATATCGGCGGAGGCGTTGTCACAATACTCGAAGACATTCGAGATGAGCGACGCCGCGTGCGACACACGGAAATTCTGCGAAAGCGGCTGGACGCGCTGTGTACTGTGTTATTAAACGTATACGCCAAATCCCCAAGGACAGTAGAGACAGAGCACAAGCCCCGCATCTGCGACATGATCGAGATGCCGGAGGTACGAGAAATCATTCATTCATCTAACGACTCCACACTAGGATCTGAGAATGAAGAGAAGTTGCGTGCACTATTCCCGAACCTTGTGGAACGCTGGCAAGCGGAGGCCCGCGAAGAGCTAACAGAACTCGCGTCCCGCTGGGTCGAGTGTGTCGACGGTGCAGATATTCTGGCTTTGGCCGCTACACACTTTGTCTGTTCTGGATGCCTCAAGTTACTGCCTTACCCGGAGATCCTCGGCCACGAATGTCTGCGCGCTAGTGCGTCGACTTATGGTAGGCACCCTTACAACCAGTACTGTGTCTACACGATCGCGGCGTGGAAGGTCGGCGTCAACAGCCGACCTTGGAACGGTGAGCTGGTTACTAGCCCTGGCGTACGTTTCCATGAGCGGATCCGTACAATCATACGACTTTGCGGCCAAGATCCAGACCGCGCGACTAGACAAGACATAAGGGCCTTAGATGCCTATATCTCGTATCCAGGTCAAGATGGTGAGAACTGTGTCATCACCTTGCGAACTGCGGTATGCGTCCTTTCCTTTGTTTCATCGACGTGTAGACTAACCGCGTGAAAAGGTGGAGGAAGAATGGACGCGTTGGATGTCGGGATCCTACGACAAAACCCTTGAATATAAGGGACACGTGGCTACGGAGTCTGAGCTTGCCGTGGCAAAGAAGGACGGCCAAGAAAGACTCTGGACCAGGCACAAATACCCTTGGTGCTGTTCTTTGTGTACACCTCGTGGTGATGACTTGGCTCGAGGACGGAAAGCACTCCTCTACACAATCCGGCTTCATATGAAAGAAATGTGCGTGCGACCTATCTTATGTCCATCCATGTGCTCATTTCCGTGTCAGCCATTCAATCCATGACGCTTGTGAAGAGAACGGTGATTTCTACGCCTACCCTGAGTTGGATATGCAACCATTCTAGGTGTCTCTCCGAGCCCTGTAAATTTGCCGTGGACATGCGACCGAGGTCGGCTACTTGAGTTAGCCATCATGATGAGGATGTAGGCACTCTCCTGTACATTGCATACTAGAACACGTTTCGTCCTTTGCGTTCATCTGCCTCTGAGGCAATACTGCTGCGCACCGGCCGAGCACACTTACACTGATACCGAGTTGGTGCAATGGGGATACTTGAGACGGAAACGTGGAAGGGACATAATCGCGAGCGTCCTTTGAACAGGCGATGTTGTTCTCCCAGTGATAAACACTGTCAGCACGACCTACATGCGAACCCTCATATTCTGAAGGCTTTATTGCGTCCAAGTATTTATTATCAATACCCTGAGAGGCCGAATGCCTAGGATAAGTGTAGACCCAAAGTCGCGGCACGATCCGGCTGGTGTATAATCTGCAAGGCACCGAGCCCGAATGAACCGCGAAAACGTATGACCTCACACAGGGAGCTCATAGAACAAGATGTGAGCAGCGATAGATATAACTGCTTCGAGTCGAGGACGGCTTGTCATAGTCCTACACCAGCGACGGTAGTGCGCGCCGCTGAAAAGCTGATCGTATTTGACCCTGGACTCGGAGCTCCCACGCGACGAGATTAACTCTGCGGGCCACCTCAATGCGCACAGCACTGTCTTTCGAGTGAAGGATGCAGTGGAGATATGCGAAGACAAGGGCATCCAGCGCTGTTGGTGTCCTGTGCGTAACAAATTCAGGACAGAGGTTACTTAAACACACGGGATGGACGCGTACTCAGAACCGAGGAACCACTTGTCTGTGCCGAGACGCTCGGACAGGGACGCAATAGCGTCACGGTACTGAAGCATCACATTGTTACGGTCGAGGTGCGTTCCATAAGGTGGCAGCAGTGAGCTGATGCCTGTGAGGGGCGCTGGAGGGGGGTTGAGCATTGCTTCAAGGGAACGGTGTTTCGCAGGGAAAGGAGTTATGAGCGCTGCGAGGAACGAGGGAGGGGGGTATGAAAGTGCCTACACGCGTCGGAATCAGTTGGATACTCTGGCATTCGACATCACACAGCGTGAACGGACCAGAGCAGCATGTACATTTCCCTCCATGAGTGAAACCCATGCGCGGCTCTCGTCCCTTGCAGCCTCGTCTGCGTAGCCTTCCAGATCGCCTAGTCCCGCGCCAGCCTTTCCATCCGCCCATTCGGGTATAAGGTGTGCTGCCAACAGCTCCCCACCTGGCTCTCCGTCCTTAGTGGGGACTTGGAGATTGGGCAGTCTCCCGTCGATGGCACCGTCTTCAGTGATGTCCCATCGGACATAAATTCCCGACAGGTCGCGGAGAGCAAGATACGCCTGCCACTTCAGGCATTCTACGTCGCTGCTGAGCAAATCCTCGAGCTCTGGACTTTCGTTGCGAGGCGGGTGAATCCAGAGCGTGGGCGCATTGATAGGCCTTGCGGTGTATGGGGACGGGACTGGTGCGTGCGTGTAGACGGGGAACAGGGAAAAGAAATGGCGGAGAGGGGTGGGCAAAGAAAGGCCAGGTATTGAGCTTGGTATTGAGCTTGAAGCCGACATGTTGTGGCGGAAGCAAGCGAATTCAAGGCCTCCTTGGTGGCAGCCCAGCCGGCGTCTACAGGCGCCTTCACTGTGTGATACGTGCACTGGCATGGGGCCCGCTTTCCCCTCCATTGACTGATTATTTATGTCGGGAACACGAGCACCTTATTTTCCACTTGCTCAGACACCAAGCCATATTGTTTCAGGACATTCTGTGGATCCCAGTGATCGGCGCCTAGTGTCGGTGCATTTCTATACTTGGGACTGAAGCTTCGGTTCACTGGGCGCCTGGCCTGACTCGCCTCTCTGTTCATCGTCTGGTATGTTGTGCGCGGCATGGCGAACGCGATCTCTAAACAGGCACTCTCATAGCACTTTCCTGCGCCTGCGAAGATGTTTCTCGACGCCCTCGCCGACGGCAATCTCTCTGCTTGAAAAGACCTACCCCACCGACGCGACCACTAATGTCACCTCTGCCATCGCGCAAAAGCTCTCGCGGAACCTCTACCTCCAGCCCGCGCACCCACTGGGCATCCTCCGCGCCCTCATAGAGTCGCACTTCCCCACCTTCACCGCGCTATCTGGCTGGTCCCCGCTCGTCACGCCTGCGAAGAACTTCGACGACCTCGGCTTCCCGCCCGACCACCCCGGCCGCGCGCTTTCGGACAGCTACTACGTCAACCGCGAGCTCATGCTGCGCACGCACACCTCAGCCCACGAGGTCGAGGTGTTCGCGCGCGGCGAGCGCCGCTGGCTGCTGTCCGCGGACGTCTACCGCCGCGACGAGATTGACGCGTCGCACTATCCCGTGTTCCACCAGATGGAGGGCGCACGCGTCTTCCCCGCCAGCGCAGCCGGTGTCGCGGAGCTCGAGGACAACAACGCGCGTTTGTCCGCGCACCTCGCACAGTCGAACATCGTGATCGAAGACGTCCCGCATCTCTCCACCACTAACCCCGCCCAGCCGTCTCACGACGCCCACCACGCAGGGCTGGTCGCGTTGAACCTGAAGCTGTCGTTGAATAGTCTGATGTTAGCTCTGTTCGGGGGGCGCACAGGTGCCGGCGAGGAGCCGCTGCGCGTGCGGTGGATCGAGGCGTACTTTCCGTTCACGAGTCCGAGCTATGAGGTCGAGGTCTTCTTCCACGGAAAATGGCTCGAGATCCTCGGCTGTGGCGTCGTGCAGCAGCGTACGCTTGATGTGGCAAGTGCGTGTCCGCTGTGTCCGCTCTGCATGCGCGTCTGACGGGCGCTCACAGACGTGCCGAACAATGTCAGCTGGGCTTTCGGCCTTGGGCTCGAGCGCATCGCGATGATCCTCTTCTCCATCCCCGATATACGCCTGTTCTGGTCGGAGGATCCTCGGTTCCTCTCCCAGTTTACTCCGGGCCAGATCACCACGTTCAAACCGTATTCAAAATATCCATCATGCTATAAAGACGTCAGCTTCTGGGTACCGAGTGAAGGCTTGCATGACAATGACGTCTTTGATCTCGTCAGAGACGTGGTTGGGGACCTCGCTGAGGATGTCAAGCTGGTATGTCGTAATATGACGAACCGCTCGTGGACTGCTGATGAAGGAATTGTAGATTGACAACTTCACGCACCCTAAAACAAACCGCACGAGTCGCTGTTACCGCATTAACTATCGCTCAATGGACAGGTGCGCGAAGAAGACAGAACCCACCATTTCTGATACTCAATATATGTCTAGGTCCCTATCTAATGAGGAGACAAACTCACTGCATGTTGACGTTGTATCACGCCTTAAAGATGTGTTCAGAGTCGAGATTCGTTAATTAGGTATCATCAATGCTACATTATATGCTCTAATGGACCATCCCTCGTCGCATGATGGCGTGCACGCATATCATCCTCGTCAATTCGACTAGTCGACATGAACTAATGTCCAGCCAGCCATCGGCATGCAATCCCAGTGGAACCACGGTCATGATCGATCCTGCACAACACCAACTTGGGCGGCGCGCAGAACACGATCCTTGATCATGTATCCGGTCTTTTGGCAGTCAAAGACAGTGCCCGGCTCCTTATCGGGAATGGGAGCCTGGTATAGCGCTTCGTGCCGGTTTGGGTCGAAATTGTCGCCAGTCGGGTCGAATGGCTTAACACCATACTTGAAGAGGGTTTGCAATAGCAGGCGCTGGGTCATCTCCACGCCGTGGTGCAGCTCGCCGAGGTACACATCGGCCGATTTCTCGTCTGGTGATGACGATGCGTTGGAGGAAGAGGCCTCCTGGGCCTTGTCAAGGACGGATTGGGGGACAGACTTGAGAGCCAGAGACAGCACGTCGACGGTCTCGAGCAGGTCGCCCGCAAAACGGGTGATGGCGAAGTCCTTGGTCTGCTCCTTTTCCCTCGCAGCATTACGCTGGAGGTTGAGGTAATCAGCCTGCAGGTAGCGTAACCGACCCTGGTGGGGAGAATGACAGGTATCCGTGAGTAACGCAATGCCAGCGCGCACGCAAGAAGGGACGCACTGTGAGGTCGATGACCTCCGCCTCTTTTTGCCTCAGCTTTGTCTCCACCTCCGACTCGGGCGTCGACCCTGCCGGCTGCTCCGACTCCTTGGGCTCTGTACCCTCGGTTGGCTGTGACTTGTCATCCGAATAATATCGTACGCCAAGTGCCGCCCTCCGGCGGACAACACTTGCATGTGCGCGCGCAGCAGGACGAGCGACAAGAGGGCGAGAGCAGGAGCGGAAGAGGTTGAATGCCTGCGAGCAGCTCATGGCTATAATAGTGGCGATGGTGGACAAGACGAGTGGCCTTTCGACGCGCGGTGACTTGGCAAACGCCCAAATTTTCGGCGAGAGGTGCGTGGGAAGAGTCCCGTGCTCCTGGAAAGAGGGCCTCCCGCGAGCAGCCGCTCTATATACAGGTGGGCTTGCTATTCGCAGCTCTCGCACGTTGGCAACCCCCTTCATGCTCTTCGCGTCGCGTCGCTGAGCCTAGCAGACCCCAGGCCTCCATCGCCGTTCAAGACCGCGCGGGATTTGAGCGGACAGTGCGCTGAGCGCGGCCAGACACACACGACGCAACGCGTGCGCAAGACACGATCCTCAAAAGGCAATCGATGCGAAATATAATCGCGCGCGCTCTCAGGCTCCCCAGCCTGCCCCTCTCTTTCCCCCTTCATCATCGTACGATGGCCACCGTTGGCTGCGCAAAGATCATAGACGGCAATGCCATCGCAAAGTGAGTCCCCGCGGCTTCGCGTTGTCGTGTTCGGCGGGACGGTGCGACTGACCGTGCCGCGCAGGTCGATCCGCGAGGAGGTCGCAGCGCGGATCCGTTCCCTCCAGGCCCAGCACTCCCGCTTCCAGCCCCAGCTCGCCATCATACAGGCGGGTGCTCGTCCTGACTCGGCCGTCTATGTGCGCATGAAGGCCAAGGCAGCTGAGGAGGTCGGCATAAAGTTCAAGCACGTTAGCATTCCTGCCGAGTCCGACGTCGATGAGGTTGTAGAGCTCGTCAAGAAGCTCAACGACGATGTATCGATCAGTGGTATTCTCGTGCAGTTGCCCCTCGGTGACCATGTTGGCGCTGATGGAGAGCGCACCGTGACCGAGGCGGTCAGCCCCGAAAAGGACGTCGACGGGTGAGCATCTCAAGGCACGCACGGATTCGATTTCCTGACACCGTCCAGATTCCATGCGTACAACATCGGACATCTCTCTTCGCGGGCATCGGATCCTCTCTTCACGCCATGCACTCCCACTGGTGTGATTCGGTTATTGGAATCGACCGGAGTTTCTATCTCGGGTGCTCAGGCGGTTGTCCTCGGACGCAGTGACATCGTCGGCAGCCCTGTGGCAGCCATGCTCAGGAATCGCGATGCTACGGTTACTCAGTGCCACAGCCGAACCAAGAACCTGCCAGAGATTGTATGTTCGACCAGAATCTAGACGGCGACGTGAATTGACTGTGCACCAGGTCAAAACTGCTGACATTGTTGTGTCTGCCATCGGCAAGCCTGAGTTTGTTCAGGGTTCTTGGCTCAAGCCCGGTGCAGTGGTCATTGACGTTGGCACGAACTATATCCCGGGTACGATCTCCCATATAGCCATACCAATAGGCGTCTGACCTCCCCCTCCAGACGCTACCAAGAAGTCTGGCCAGCGTCTCGTCGGTGATGTCAATTTTGCCTCTGCGTCTGCCGTTGCATCGCACATCACGCCTGTCCCCGGTGGTGTGGGTCCGATGACAGTCGCAATGCTTATGGCAAACACCCTACGGTCCGCGGAGCGCCTCTGGGAACGTGCACGCGGATTGAAGCTCAAGCCGCTCAAGCTCGATGTCAAGGAGAAGGTGCCGAGCGATATCGAGATTGCGATGGCCCAGACACCGAAGCCAGTAACCCAGCTCGCACATGAGATTGGGCTGTTGCCGGACGAGCTCGAGAGCTATGGAAAATACAAGGCAAAAGTGGAGCTGAGCGTGCTCGACCGCCTCGCGCACCGCAAGGACGGCAAGTACATCATCATCTCGGGGTGCGTTAAGTAGTCTCTTTTTTTTTTTGCCAGGCGGGGATGCTCATGCGCGGGTTGCAGTATTACGCCGACACCGCTGGGTGAGGGCAAGTCGACGACGACGATCGGTCTCGCGCAGGCGCTGGGCGCCCATCTTGGACGTCCCGCGTTCGCTTGTGTGCGTCAACCAAGTCAGGGACCCACCTTCGGTATCAAGGGTGGTGCTGCCGGTGGTGGCTACAGCCAGGTCATTCCTATGGATGAGGTGAATGCATTCGTGCAATTGAGTTGCTGCATTGTTTTATCAAGAACAATAGTTTAATCTGCACTTGACGGGTGATATTCATGCCGTCACGGCTGCCAACAACCTCTTGGGTATGGTTTTGCTCTTTGAATCTGCATAGAATCTGCTGAACGTGAACATAGCCGCTGCTCTGGATGCTCGTATGTTCCATGAGGCCACCCAGTCCGATAAGGTGAGTTTGCTCGTCATTGTTGCTAAGCTGCAATCCTGATTGACTTCTTTGTACCTCCAGGCCTTGTACAGTCGTCTTGTGCCAGCCAAGAAGGGCAAGCGGGAGTTCGCTCCCCTGATGTTCAAACGCTTAGCGAAGCTCGGCATCGATAAGACTGACCCCAACGACCTCACGCCCGAGGAGATCAAACGCTTCGCGCGCATTGACGTCGACCCCGCTACTATCACCTGGAACCGCGTCCTCGACGTGAACGACCGGTTCCTGCGCAAGATTACCGTGGGCCAGGCGCCATCTGAGCAAGGACACGAGCGTGTCGCAGGCTTCGACATCTCCGTCGCGAGTGAATGCATGGCCGTGCTCGCACTGACGACTGGTCTGGAAGATATGCGCGAGAGGCTGGGTGCAATGGTTGTGGCCACCAGCAAGCAGGGTGACCCGATCACTGCAGATGACATTGGTGTCGGTGGTGCCCTCGCTGTCCTCATGAAGGATGCTGTCAAGCCCAATCTGATGCAGACCCTGGAGGTAGGTCGTGTCTGTGTTTTGTGGGTGCGTATATGCTCGCTCACCAGGTTTCAGGGTACTCCCGTCTTCGTTCATGCAGGGCCTTTCGCAAACATCGCGCACGGCAATTCGTCCATTCTCGCTGATCGTGTCGCGCTAAAGCTTGCGGGAACGGAGGAGGGCGACTCCGCTGACCGTGTTGGTTACGTGCTGACCGAGGGTGGTTTCGGAGCGGACATGGGAATGGAGAAGTTCTGTAACATCAAGTGCCGTGTCAGCGGTCTCAAGCCGGATGCGACCATCATCGTGGCAACTACCCGCGCGTTGAAGATGCATGGAGGTGGACCCGATGTGACGCCCGGCAAGCCGCTGGCCGATACATACACCAAGGAGGATCTTGTCACTCTGAAGGAGGGCTGCAAAAACTTGGTGAAGCATATCGAGAACTCGCGCAAGTTTGGCCTCAAGGTCATTGTGGCGATCAACCAGTTCGCGTACGTTGCAATAATAGTCGCTTCTGCGACGCTATGCTAACACTGTCTCACATAGGTCTGACACGCCTGCTGAGCTTGAGCTCGTCCGGCAAGAGTCGTTGGCCGGCGGTGCCGATGCTGCTGTCGTTAGCAACCACTGGGCTGAGGGTGGTCCCGGTGCTCGTGCCCTTGCTGAGGCAGTCATCGCGACATGCGAGGGAGAGTCTGGATTCAAGTATTTGTACGACCTCGACCTCCCCATTGTCGACAAGATCAGCAGCATTTGCAAGGAGATCTACGGTGCAGACGGCATCGAGCTGAGCGAGTTGGCTCAAAAGCAGATCGAAACCTACACTCGCCAGGGCTTCGGCAACCTCGCTAGTCAGTATCGTCATTGCAGTGTTAGTTGATATCGCTGACGCCGTCGGTAGTCTGTATGGCGAAGACCCAGTACTCGTTCTCTCACGACCCGAAGCTCAAGGGCGTGGCGACGGGCTTCACCGTCCCTATCAGAGAAGTGCGCCTGTCTGCAGGTGCAGGGTTCCTTTACCCTCTGTGCGGTGACATGCAAACTATGCCTGGCCTTGGAACGCGCCCAGGTAGGTTTCCTTTAATTACCCATGATGTAGCGCGCTGATTTCACCTGTGTAGGTTTCTGGGAGGTCGGACTGGACCCTGCAACCGGCAGGGTTGTTGGTCTTTTCTAGACGGATCGCTGGCCCTCTAGACTCATCTTCATCAGATAGACTCTAGACGTAGGATCACCGTCTCAACACGGAGCTGTGTACCGTTCAACACGGAAGCGAAGGCGGGCCTCATCGCTCCGCCGAGTGTTGCAGTCAGTGTCACGCAGGGCTCTCCGGGGAGCAGGCCGCGGAATGGGGAGGAGCATTGTATGTATCGAGTGTCCATGTACCGTGATGCTACACAGACAACGGCGGTGAAAATTCTATGGCGACTAGTTACCGAATTTTGTCTGCCTTCCACCAGGCAACCTGGGGATAGTCACCGACAGATGCGCCAAGGGATTGAACGTTGGGAACTCAAATGTGTTGCCTGTCGCCAGCGACCCACTGATCTGGTCATAGGTGATGTTGTCCAACGCTGCATCGACAGTTCTGTAGTAGGTATTGCCCTTGAGGTCGACGTAGCTAAAGGTGTTGTTATTTGTGCCATTGCCGTAATTTCCCTCGGACGAGATCACAAAGAAACCAGCTTCAATCAGTAATCAGCAATATCCTGACGGGTTACAATCTCAGAACAACTCACTTGCGTACTGGTGTTCCGCGATCGTAGAACCTAGTATGAAGGGACTGGGCAGGGAATTCCGATTGTACGAGTGATCGAATACTGCCGAGACTGAAGGATAGCGTTAGCGGGATGATGGATAGGAATCTCCTCGTGTTGTGCTATCACTCACACTCTGTCCCCTCAGAATTCAAGAGGGTAAGATTGATGTACAGCGGATATGAGAACTGGTCACTGAGAGACACTACGCCGTTGTGCGTAGACAGGAATGACCCAGTCGCTGTTTGCGCGACGTTCTGTGTAGATGACTTAGATCGAGTGTACATGTCATAAAGAATCTACTGACCTGAACGTAGGTGTCGTCCAAATAGTACTGAGTATTCGAGTACTCCAAATTTTGCGTCCACGTCACGTAGGTGTACTGCCCGCTCCCACTGACGATCTCGCTCTCGATGTGGATGCTGCGCGTCGCAGACACCGTCACGTTCACATCGCCATTCGCACCGACGCTCCCCGTCGTGCTCGTCTGGGCGTACGGTTGCACATCGTACACCGTGATCTTGCCAGTTGTCGGCTTGGACGACGGATCGGTCACGACCTGCAGGTTGCCCGAGACGTACCAGTTGTCGTTGATCGCGTGGTCTGTCTCGGCGGAGACGACGTCGATGCTGATGTTGTGTGGCTGGCCGTCGGCCAGCACGGGCACGAACGGCGTGAGGTCTATGAAATACGTGGGGAGGTCTAGCGCCCCGTAGGAAGTGATCGGTCTAGAATTTCAAACGTAAACCGTAATCAAGAAGCCATGTCTCCCAGACTTACTGCCACGAGGACGGGATGATCCCTCCTGTAAATATCACCGCGTAACTGCGTCCATCGTGTTGGTGTCAATATGCATGCAACCATGTCTGGACGCTTACGGGAACGCGACTCCCGCGACCTGACCGTCCACCAGCATGCGCACTTCGCGAAATGGTCCATTGCCATAGGTTGTTCCGCTAGGCAAATCAGACAGGTATTCGTTCGCGGTGTTGTAATACTGCAAACAGACGCAACGTCAAAATCATCACTGCTATCTTTACGTGAGCGGACTCACCCAGAACTCCTCATCACCGTTGCCAGAGGCATAGAGTTCGGCATAGATCTGTACCGCGTTCTGAGGCACTGTCACATTAAGCTGAGGTCGCGTGAGCAACGGAAGTGCCTGATACTCAAGGAGACGCGTACCGAGAAAATAGGAGGAACAGAAGCGTCATCCCCTGTGTTGTTTGCAAGGGTAGTAACGGGGATAATGGTATTTGCACGAGGAGCGGGCGGATGGGCCGCAGACGACGCGTAGAAGGTCGCATGCAAGGTCGCTATTCAGACACATTCGGGTAAACCACGCTATACAAGTACGACAGGTGGCTCACTCGCGTATTGCCCGTTAAGTCCGGTTTCGATAATATTATCAAGTTCGAGAATGAATGTGCCCGGTTCTGAAAAGAGCGGCGTGTACCGAGTCACGTCCTTCAAGTATGTCCAGATGATACCGTCGTATGTGGGCTCTGGCGTTGATGTACGCCATACTACCATTCAACTGTATCAGATGGGTCAGTCAACTGTATGGAGACGAGACTCACTCTCAACGTTCTGAAACGTGAATATACCTGGACAGCAATGGCACATTCTAGTCTCGGCTACAGATAAAGGTAGCACAACGCAGATACTCACCCAGACGATCATATTGCGTTCCGTTCGATGTAACGGTAAAGTTCAAGCTTATACCAGCCCACGAACCGACAGGACCACAATCCGTCGGTGGTCTAGAAGAGCGCGAATAAGACGACGTAGCGCGTCAGATCTATGTACGTACGTGTACTGCACGATCTCCGGGCTGTAGTATGACCGTGGTCAACGGACACTTCAGGTCATAGGAGTTCTACAATACTTACTCTCCGTAGGAATTTCCAAACGTGCGCCTTTACACGGCAAATAGGCTCAATTGCTTGGCATTCTCAGCGCACACTTGTACTCACTCAAGAATCTGAATAGTGCATTGCTCCGCGTCCTGGGGTAAGGGTGGGGGCTGGGCAACCTGGAAGTCAACAAGCACCGCGGAACGCGACACCGACGCCAAAGACAGTCCGAGACCAAGGAACTGTAGGAACCGCTGTAGCATCGCGGGCATTCCGAGGGTGGTGGGACAAGTCCCGGCCTCTGCTCAGGGTCGTTAAATATATATACGGTCGGCAGGGTCATCTTCCCACTGGAGACTTTAGACCGGTGTGACGGAAGACCATGCGGTTGTATCAGAACAAAGATAGTTGTGTACCTAGATGAGCACATAGGACACGAGGACTAGTATAAGCATAGACAGATGAGTCATGACCTCAGCGCATTGGACACAGGGCCATAAAGATGTTCGCGAATTCGGGTCCATGCATTGGAGACGAAGGAGAATGTCAACTCCCGAGGCGCGCACGATCGTCGACAAGCAATTGGCGCTGAGTTGTTGACAACGAGATGATAGAAAGCACCGCACCGACAGCAGAATTAGGCTTTAAATGTCGAAGTAACTATGCTGGGACTAGACGAATAAATTATATACATGTACAGAGACCTTCAGAGTCCTCAGCGTGACGGCCGAGGCTATCAGTAGGACAACGTGATCGTACTGATCACTCGGCGCGCCCTAGCACAGCATCGAGGTTAGTTTCGTAATTCGCGACCTCATGGCAGGGACGCACCTATAAATGTACGCCTACAGCTCCTGGTTGAAGATGTCCTCTTCGTTCACCGGCTCCGCGACCCGAGCAACCTCTCTCTCTGGCGCCCGTTGCCGCTCACCATACAGCCCACCCTCCGGGTCCTCGGGGAACTCTGTCGTTGACGAGTTGCGCGAGTACGTCTCCGAATCAGCATCAGCAGGGGCCGCCTTGCTCTTTCGCTTGGACTTGCGCTTCTTCGCTGAGCCATTTGCATCGGTAATCGAGTACGCGTCCTCCGTCCTGGCCCACCGGTCCTTCTTGTCTTTCTTCTTTCGCCGGCTCTTCTTGTTCGTGTCGACAGGTGCAGCGTCGTCAAAGTTCGCGGGATACCTCCAGCGTGACGAGGACTCAACGCTGGCACGGTCGCCGTTCGCCCCGTAGTAGCGCTCCTCGTTGCGGCTCCAGAACTCTCCGCTAGCGTTGGGTGGGCGTCCGTCGCCGTCCTGCGAGGCGAGGTCGACGCTGGAACCTCCTTCCTGTCCCTCCTCTAACGACTGGTTTCGCAGGGTAGATGTGGGCAGGCGGTCGCCGTAGCGGCTTGCCCACTGTGATCGCCGCTCTTTGCGCTTGATCTCGGAGGTGTCTACCAGGCCGTATCGTTGCACCCACTTGGGTGTCCGCTTGTGGTTCTTGTTGTTGCGTATGTTCTGTAGATGCAGAGAAGTATGTGTATGCCACAAAGCATAAGTTCTGCGAGCAACATACCTGTATGTAGAAGTTATGACAATGACCTGGTGAGGACCTCAGCGCCATCCGCAGGAGGACTACGGAGCGACATACCAGGAATATACCCGCAAATGGTGAGTATCAGGTTGATGAAGAAGTCGGAGCCGATGCCAAAGCGTGCCGCTACAGCTGTTGGAGCGGATCCCAGCATCAGCGACCGCTAACATCCCCAGTCTCCGCAGAAGCGCACCGAGCGGCGGGAGCAGAGTCCCCATAATGAACAGCAATACCGCATACCCATGGTGCCGGCGGGGAGTTAGGTCCACCTTAGTGAACGCCTGCGGCCTCGAAGTCATCACGCGACGCCGTGAGGACGAGGAGGTAGTAGTACTATGTAAAGAGATCGGCCGCTTGTCGACTGCAGGGGCCGGGCAGTGACAAGCGCCTTGGCAGCCACCGCTTGTTGATGCGACTTTGTCTCCCGGTGGCGGATAACCGCATGTGAAACTCTGTTATACAGTATGCTTGCTCTGATTCCTCAGCTTGTTTTTCGATAATGGTCTATGCACCCAGCTCACTCCAATCCGTGTACGCAGAATAAATGAGCGGACTTCCCACGTCGGCTGACCATTTGGTTCAGAAGTCCCTATAACCAGGTATCCTGAGTTGGATTCGGGTTCACAGGTTCATTTCCGAACACATGTCTCGCTCGATTTCTGCTATATTCTACTCTTATGACATTGGCTGCTTGAATGATCGAGCACGGTTAGCCATCGGGCAGGGTCAGTTGTTCCCAGCATCTCCTCATATCGGTTCTCATGACACGTTGGGCAGCAGATATCAATTGTCCGCCGTACACGTTGACACCTTCTTGACGCCTCGCGGAGAGCGCGTGTCTCCTGGTGGGCTGGTACTTATATCTTCGTTGGTACCGTGTCGTCCAACGTCCTTGCATACTCTTTGCCTGCTCATTCTCAAGATCCCCCTACGCGCCTCACGTTGCGAACCCAACATGCAGATGCACATCTATGGTATTGATTATAACGCTACCAAGCATGAGGTAAAGAAAGCAATTGCAGATGCGCTCCATGACGAGTATTTCTTCGACGCTATGGATCCCAGCACCCGACAAATCAACTTCAAAGTGACGCTTGAAATGGACGACGCCCGCGGTCTGCGCAACACCGGCCAAGGAACACTGATGTTGCCCAGTTTGCGATCATACAACCTGTATAACCGGTTCAAGAGATGGCTCGCAATAGACAGCAACGAGATCATTGTTCATAATCGTCCTCTTCGCTTTCGCCGCAGTGAGGCTGACGCCCGACGCACCGATGCGGATTACCTCAGTAAGTCTCGGTACGTTGCACCAGAACATGAGGGAGCTCGCGAGGAGAAGGTAGATGCCGTGAGGGAACACATCCGTGCAGACCGAGTCCAATTCGGGGTGCTGTTCTATCCCTCGGGGACAGGACCCCGCGATCTCGCCTTCTCATCAGAATGGGAGTACCGCCGTAAGCATCTCGTACAGCCATGGATAGTAGTGGACTACGACAACAAGAAGGTCCGGATTGAGGTGTGTCTTCTTTAGCATGAGAAGAGTAACAGCGCATCAATCTCCTGTAGCTCGGCGATTTTAGTGCAGGAAATCTGGAAGCATATATTATCATCAATTTTGCCGAAATCGAAAAGATCGGAGTAGGGCATGATTTCGGTAACGTTTGTGAGTGTGCATTTAGTTCTTTTTGCTGGCTCTCATACTAGCACAGTCGCATGTTTGGCGCTACGCTCGAGACCTGCCCTCGAGAAGCCCTACAACAACACCTATGAAACATCGACCTTTTATAATGAGGCTTATGATGGTGAGGTGGATGGTCCCTCTGAGATTGATTCCGAGACTACCAATTATTTGAGCGACGCAATCCCGGAGGATGCCGAGAGCTCTGACGAAGAAGAATCGTCAGAAGAAGAAGCGAGTCATCATGAGCCCGGAGACTGTCGTCGTCGTCGCTCCCCCGCCGTGAACACACATGAGCCCAATCTGCCTCGCCAGTCAATCGAATACCGTAGGCAGCGCATTTCTTGCCTTGACGAGATACATGGCCAAGTGATGCAGTTCGCAACCCACCTTCGGTTGATATTTCCCAATGAGCAAGAGCTCCAACATTTCAGGCACCACTGTCAAGTGGTAGGCCTGCCGACATTTAGCGCAAGATTAGAGGCAATTACAACCAGCTTTTTCTCGCGAGACAAACTGCAAAGGATGCGTATGTGGATGCGCGGGTTCAACCACGACTGGCCTTTTGCTTTCCAGCTCAACGCGCTGCTCCTTAACGGACAACTCAACACGGAGGAACTCAGGCAACTTCGACCCCACATCGAGGAGTTACATAAAACGATGCCGCACCAGGCAGCAGACATCTTGAGGTACTTCAGACTGGCCTTGTCTTCTGATCGTACCCTTAATAGCAACCCTGAACAATGTCTCGCGCGGGTCGCAGGCGAACGTGTCTCGCTTTTCGACCATCGTAACCCCAGAAGTGTTTTCTTTGCCTGCCAGCACGTCACGTTTACCCCTACGCGCATGATCCTGGAAGGCCCAACACGTGTGCAATCAAACAGTGTTATCCGCAAGTACTGGCCACACAGAGACCATTTCATCCGCGTCAACTTCCTCGATGAGAATTTGTCTCAGTATCGTTTCGACAGGGAAGTCGACGGTCCAGCGTTCCTGCACGATCATGTTGGTAACGTCCTCAAAGGCGGGTTCGAGGTGGCTGGCAGGTCTTTCGAGCTGCTTGGCTATTCCAACTCTTCCCTCGACAGCCATGTATTTTGGTTCGTCAGTCCTTTCGACTATTCTCCAGACTCAGAGATGCAACCGGCGGTTCGCATGACCGCGGACCGAATTCGAGGTGCTCTGGGCGATCTGTCGGAGATCAAGATTCCTGCGAAGTACGCCGCTCGCATAGGTCAAGCGTTCACCTCCACTATGTGCTCCATGCCGATTTCCAGAGACCAGTGGGAGGAGATCGACGAGATTTGGGAGGACAGGGAGAATCCGCGGTCGCATACCGACGGGGTGGGAAGACTTTCGCAGGCATTGATGGATCGTATCTGGGATATCGTCTGCAATCTATATCCTGACTACGGTGTTTACGGAGTGAAACCATCTGCTGTGAGTGCTCGTTTTGGCTTGTTCCATCTGCTGTATCATGTAAACTTACTGTTCGTATAGGTACAATTCCGTTTTCTCGGTAAGAGCTTCAACACTATTGTGCAAAAGATAACTCATTCGTCCTCACCGCTAGGGTACAAGGGCGTGTTAGCGGTGGACCCTCAACTTTCGGGGGAGAGAATATGCTTCAGACCCGAGATGAGGAAGTTTAAACCACTGATCTGCCCATATTGTCGGGAGGGCAATTTGGATTTCTGCCCGCATGAGAATGACCAGAACCTTCATATTGCAGATATTTTCGACAGCCCGAAGCGGGCCTACTTGACCCGGTATGTGCCATGGCCTAGTCTAGAACTCAAATACAAATTGACATGCACCTTGAAGAGACTTGGTTTCAATTCTAGAAGATCGCGGCGTGCACCTCAAAGCATTCATGGATCTCCAGCAGGAAGCGAAGATGAAGACGTATCAGGCACGGGACTCTGTAACTCAATTCATAGATATCCTGCAGACGCATCACATGGGATTCCAATTCCGCCTCCCTCGATTGTTGGAACGACTGGACAGCCTGGGTGTTGATGCTACCAGGGACCAAAAAGCGGATGACTTCACGCGACGCGTACGAGAACACGCTATCCAACACGTTCTATGCGACATGAAAAACAGAGCTCGCATCCCGGTACCCCGCTCGTATCTCTTGGTGGGTGTTGCGGACGAAGGACCGGCGTACACGAAGCAAGGCTATGAGAATGTGTTTCAGCTTGGTGCAAATCAGATATTCGGTCCGTACATCTTGTATACTTGCTCCCAAGTGCTGACAGCGAGGCGTGGGCATCATGATTTCTTGCAGCCTGCATTCAACAAAGTCCAGATGCAGAACCACAGTGGCTCAGTGGCAATTGTATTATTACGAGGAGCCCTCAGGTACATCCTGGTGATGGTACGCGGTGCATCGTCATGGTATTTCTCATACAGAGAGCTAACCGTATTCCTCAGTGCAGCGCGTTGTTGCTATTGGGAGACCATCCCTAACAGAAGGGCAGATTTGCCTATTCGATCATATGAAGAACGTAGTTGTGCTTCCTTCCGTTGGTATGTAGATAGCCATTTGATTGAGTTGACAGTATCGCAGCGTGAACTCGTGTCTTCACTCTAGGCGGGAGATCGCTGGCTTCATGCCTCGGCGGAGGCGACCTTGACGGGTATCTTAACAATATGTTTTGCGCATTTCGGGAAACTGATTTCATTTGTAGTGATCTGTACTATGTCTTTCAATATTACCAGCTGCTTCCTACAATACACATTGCACCAGCGTCGTACAATGATATCAAGCCCCCTGGCCGGCCCTTTGACTGGACTGATGTCTGTGACTTCATCACAGAGTATATGCACTCAGATGCGCTGGTACGTAAAGTTGGTGCTCGGAATATTCAGGGGCTAACAGTACGTTGTCAGGGTATACTGTCTGTCCGACGGCTAATTATTGCTGGTGAGATACGTGTGCTATTTCGCAATCTTATTGCGCTTACTGTTGGACGCTTTAGATCAATCCAAGGTCAGCAAGTCGCAATCTACCCTAAGTTGACATGTCAAGGTTGACTCGACCATACAGCACGGCAGCCATGACCCGCGCTGCATGAGGCTTGCAGAGCTATGTAGTGACGCAGTTGACTACCCAAAGACAGGGCGACCGGTCGACATGCGCACGGCGCCTGGCAAGTTAATGCAGTACAACCCTGACTGGTATGCCGATGAAGATACGAATGCCAATCCGTTGGCGGACTCGTACCAGTCCGACCGCGTACTCGGACACCTTTATCGCGGTATCAAGCTCGGCGTTATCGAGCCATCTGAACGTACTCCGGGTATCTCCCCTGAAATTTCGTTGTCGACACAGCGCCTCAATGACAGCACGTCGAGGGTAATTTTGCCGCTGGTCCGGGGTCATCTGGATGGAATACCTGCTGCTCTCACGGGCTATCAAGACGTCCTTCCCACGTTCAAGGTGTATCTCGCCGAGCTCCGATGCATCGCATTCACGCACTCGCTGTCGCTAAAGGCAGGATCATTCATTACAGAGGAGGAGATTGTCCTCGGCGTCATACTCATGACGAGCTCGGAACGTCGTATGAAGAAAGACAGGACATACCGGATGCGCGATGACACAACCGATCTTGTGCAGCAGATCCGTCGTAGCTTGCTGTCCATTTCTGGAGACACACCTTCGGTGGATGAACTACGGGCAGGGCTAAGGAAAGCGTGGGCGGCATGGGGACTAAGCGTACAGAATCGCAAGCTATACGGGGCTCATAGCTTTGGCTTCATAGCCTTAGGGGTGATCTTCGACTGTTTGGACAAGCTGGCTGCCACTACCGCATGATTGATCGCCAATACTTCCTTCTTGCTACTTTCGCCGCTCTCATACATCTTGGAATTACCATGTCAGTTTGCGTTATACACGACACTAGTATACAAGTGCGCTTCAGGTATCGTACACTCCTATGCCTTTCCTTGTACTTCTTGATAGAACTTCATCACGTCCTGTACATCGTCTTTGCTACCGAGGAATATAGACGTTCGTTCGTGGATGCTGGTGGGCACGATGTCGAGGACACGTTTGGTGCCGGTCGTCGCCAGGCCGCCAGCCTTTAGTAATAGAATGTGAGACAGTATATCATTTACTCGAAAACGCGAGGAGCATACCTGTTCGGTTAAGAAAGCCATCGGGAACGCCTCGTACAAGAGGCGCAGCTTCCCGCTCTTCGATTTCTTGTCGTCGGGGTAGCCAAAGATGCCGCCGTACAGCAGCGTGCGATGCACGTCCGCGACCATTGACCCGATGTACCGCGCGCTATACGGCGACTTGCCCGCAGGTGGGAACTTGATGCTGTTCAGGTAGTTCACGACGGGCGGGTGGAAGTACATCGCATTGCCCTCGTTGAAAGAGTAGATTTTGCCCCGCGACGGGACCTTGATCTGTACCATCAAATTCGTAAAAACCAACGTTCGATCGCGTGACGCAAACGAGGATGCGGACGTACATCAGGATGCGTCAGGATGAATTCTCCCAAGGATGCATCGAGCGTATAGCCGTTGACGCCGTGTCCGGTGGTCAGTACAAGATTGGCGGACGAACCATACCTAGAGCGACAGTGAGTCGAGGCTCAGTTGGTGAGATATATATGCTCACATCGTGTAACCCGCCGCGACCATCTCGCTGCCGGGTCTCAGGACGTCGGAAATCGTGCCTGTGGATCCCGGTTTCTGCCTAGATGGTTATGCCACGCTCGCAGTCGATCTATCCGAGACTGCACTCACGATTCGGTAAATCCCAAAGATAGTGCCGATGTTCACACCGGCGTCGATGTTGCTGCTGCCATCGAGAGGGTCGAAGACGACGCAGTAGCTACCCTTGTACTTGTCCTCGATGATGACCGCCTCCTCGAGCTCCTCCGAGACGAGCACGGCAGTCTTCCCTGACGCCCGCAGCGAGTTGATCATGATGTCATTAGAGAGGACGTCGAGCTTCTTCTGCTCTTCTCCTTGCACATTGGTCTCGCCCGCCATGCCGATCCTGATACGCGCACATCAGCAGAGTCTCGCGTGGATCGCATAGAGTACTAACAAGTTAATGAGACGCGCTTTCCGGACATTGGTAGCGATGAATTTGGATGTTGTCTGGATGGCGGTCAGGAGGAGTGTGAGGTCGCCAGTCGCGGCTGGGCCGAGACTGAACTGGTCGTTCAAGACATGGCTAAAATGGTGCGTTAGCAGTCGAGCGTGCATGACTCTGGAGAGACATACCGGGTGAGGGTGATGATGTCGGTGCTGGGGGGCTCCTCTCTGGACATGGTAGTGGGGTTGCTGGGTGGAATTGCTGGGTGTATGCGGGGTATTTGGGCAGAGTGGGGGATTGCGGGCGGGATTGCTGGATGATATATAGCACGGAGCTAGGCTGCACTTCGACCGGACCTTTTCGGACGATGAGCTCACAGCTGAGCAGACTATTGCCTTTTTAGGCATCTGTAGCGTCCTCGATCATCCGGTCCGCCCTGGTCCGCCACGACCTGACCCCTGTCCCTGCCTCCTCCGGCTACTTTCAAGTCCTTTTCACTCACACTCCCCGCTGCACCGCGTAGCTCTTGGCAAATGCCTGCGCTTAACAACCGCTACAGGAAACGCAGCCTACGCGTCAAGGCGCGCGATTCGTAAGGTCGCGCTTGTCAGGCTCCTTTCAGGCGGGAGCGGGACACGGATAGTCACGTACCCTTAGGGGCGGCGATCATGCTTTTGAATCATCTTGTCGACTTCTCGTTGCTGAGGCATTGTCGCTTGACTGGTTCCCTAGCATTCTGACATGCTCAGCATAACCAATTGCTCGCATGTGATAGCCAGGCATGCAACCACTCTGGACATTTCGGAGGGTCGAAACCATATACGTACGCTGATAACCGATATCTAACTGCGATGTACGGTTACAGTATCAGCCAAACATGATGGTTGATTCGGAAGGGCTATCGTTATCTATACCTAGTGGTTCCTTCACATCCAAGTGTCTGCCGCTTTGGCATGCATTATTCGGGGAAATTCCACAGGGTGACAACGTCCAATAACCGAACTTATGAATATGCTCCTTCCCAATGGTGCATCATGCCTGGAATCTCATACAAATGTCTTGATGATGTTGCATACCATGCCGGTGTCGATGCTACCGATAACACTAAAGTTCTCGCATACATACCTTCGTAAATAAGCATGAATCGAGCAAATTATACTGCAAAGGTCTGTTGAGAAAGTAGCATAAAGAGCTGTATTATGTTTTGAAGGCGCAGTGAAAGACTACAGGTGCGACACATTGACACTAATGTGCACCTAAGAATAGTCATGCTGTCTGATTGTAACACTGCATGCATGGGTTGATTTTTATGTTTGAAAGATTGAATGAGAGTGATATAACACCTATTTGGTTTTACCAATGTGAATGAAAACCTATGAAAACCAAAGGACTCAAGCTGATTCCATGTTGATAGACCTATCTGATGGAAACCTGTCGTATGCGATATACGACAGGTAACACTCAATGCGACGTCAGCTTCGGACTAGGAAAGTGAACTGAGCAAAATGCAGGTGGTTCGATTTGTACTCTAGCAAAAAGATCAAGGGGTAAGGTGATGATGGTAGTATAGGAACAAGAGAGGTGGGTTCGTATCTGGTGCACATGCTGAAGCAAGGCGGCGGCACCAAACAGACTGACAGGTGTGTACAAACAAACAATGTCAGTAGGTGTCGGGTATGTCATATGCGAGGCGGCTGTACAAGAATAGACGGATTGTAAGCCCTAGGCTTACATCCAAGAGTATATATGCGCAAGCGATATTGATGCAGAATTCGAATTCAACAAGTATTCAGGACTATCGTCCCGACCTAGCTCGACCTAGCAAAGTATCATCACAGCCACAATCTACCAAAATAGGTTGTTGTTTCCACTGCCCGAAGTCTGCTCGCGCACACACAGGTCTAACGTATAGATAAGTACAGCTGTGAGAAAGAAACAATGAAAAATATTGATTACATAGCCAATTCGTTTCGATCTTGTTTCGATCCTTCTTCTATATTAGGCACTAGAATATCAAATTGCCTGTCGGTCTTGAAAGGTCCTCGGGAGGAACGAGTGAGGCACCAGTGTCCAATCGAGCGCCCAATGTGAGTTGACCGAACGGCTGCCACGTACGCGGTTGGGTGTGTCCGCTCGGAGATTGCCCCACAGTTCTCCAAACGGAGCAGACCTTGGCAGCCTAGTTATCCAGACTGCTAGGATTTGCGCGTTCCCCTTTCTATACGTTCCAGCTCGGCATTGAGACTCAGTGCCCCGTCTCCGAAGACAAAGGGAAGAATGTGCTCGATGAGAATTGAACCAGCTCACGTATCAACGTGTCGTGCTTCCGTTTGCTTGCGGGTTGAGTGCGTCCCTACGTTGTGCGGAGCCTGCATATTGTCCGCAGCTTATCGGAAGGCCGTAAAGGAGAATTCACACTGGCACTGACATATCCGCAGCAAGCCGTCATGCACCGCGGCCACGGTGCACGGAGAAATGAGCCCTATCTGAGCAGAATTGGGGATACATGCTTTATACTAGCCGAAAGGTGACGCGGTTATCGTGCCGAAACACGTCCAAACTCCACGGATACGATCAGCCACACGTATCCCATACCTTTTGATGGCAACCCTTACACGAAATACTGCAGCTGGTGATGAGTTCGCACAGAAGTCCTGAATGGCAACGCGGTTCTCCACGGACATGGCTTGCCGCTAGTGCTACTTTGTTGATTCGCCAGTACTTTGATCGGATCAGACCCTAATAATGGTATCGATTTACAGCTGGTATAAGTAGATGGCTCGTCTGAGGTCATGGCTTCCTTGTGGACAAAAGGAAAACGATGATCGGTGCACAGCACGCGCTGCGGGTGTGTGGGACTTCTTCAACTCACCTCGTCGGCGCATCGAGGCTGCATAAGAACTTGCCTGGGATTTGGGCGTCTGCACACACGTCCACACCCACGATGGTTGGCAAGACACTTTTGTCAAGTATTGTATATACTTGCGCGCTGCTGAACGAGCGCATACCGCACTCTGAGACCCAGGAATATTGGTATCGTCCCGCATCGTCGCCTGAGATCTGCCCTTGGCCATCGATCAGACCGTAGTCTCGGTACTCCTTTGTGCCTGGCCGGCATCTCCTCGCACCCCGGACAGTCAGCACATTTGGTCACGTTAAGCTGTTGCCGCGCGCACACAGCATACAACTGCGCTAGCGGCATATAGACCAACGACAGCGCGGAGTCCGTAGTTCATTTCTTGCTTTTTCGTCCCCTTTCCGCCGCCATGCAGCCCGAAGGTGATGATGTCCATATTCTGCGACAATGGCGAACTGACAGCCTTTTCTCTCCGTGTAGTCGACGCCACTCGCAGTGGGCACCAGAAGTATTCAAAAATATCACCATATGGATACACGCCCGACGCATGGCTGGGCTACCTTTTTCTCGTCGTGTTCGGCATATCGACGCGTGAGTGGATTTCAGTACTGAAGCGTATCTTTGTAGTTACTTATTCACTTGGAAGTGGTCCACCTTATTCAGCTCAGCAAGTATCGCCTGTGGTGGCTAATACCGACCGCCTGCGCTGCCGGGATCCTCGAGCTCATCGGGTGGGCTGCGCGACTGTGGTCGAGCTACAACGTTCTCTTGAATAATCCCTATACGATACAGTGAGTCGCCTCCGTTGTCTAGCGAGGAACGTACTGATTGCGTGACAGGCTCGTGTGCACAATATTAGCGCCTACGCCGCTTGTCGCCGCCAGTTTCGTGATACTAGGCCAGTGCATTCGCCGTCTAGGAGGACAATATAGTCGGCTCAGTGCCAAGTGGTGTATGTAGTCTTCACGCTAAGGGCACAGATCGGAGACTCACGCACCGTTTTTAGATACCATCGTATTCTGCAGTTGTGTATGTCGTCGTTGAGGCTTTATTGGATGTATTTCATTGCTGACAATTTTTCTAGGACGTCATCTCGCTCGTTATCCAAGCTCTTGGAGGAGCAAGTGCCGCCTCCGCCGTAAATACGGGGAAGAGTCCCAAACCTGTAAATATTCGAACTTGTATCACGCCCTCAGCGATCAGACGGCTCATCCGGTGCACAGGGAGGCGACGTTATGTTGGCCGGCATCATATTCCAGCTCAGTATGTGTCACCTCGCTGTTTTGCCTTGACATGAATCCAGCTCTGATGTCCCGAACTAGTATCGATCACGTTCTACATGCTTCTAGCGTCCGAGTTTGTTCTTCGATACCTGTACAACAGGCCGATCCAAGGTCGCCCAGCAGTGGAGACAGGCTACACCGCTGACCGGCATACAAAGCAAATGCTCTGTGCGCTAGCCTTCAGCAGTCTCTGCATATATGTTCGGTACGTTCTCATTTAATCTCGTTACTAGTGCTATTCGCTGATGCAGTGCTCTAGATCATGGTACCGAACAATCGTTAGTAGGACTCCCTGCGCAATATGCATCTTTCCTGACCATTCGTTATAGGAACTCGCCAATGGCTTCGAGGGATACATCATCCACACACAAAGATACTTTGGTATGATTGATTGTCCACGCACGTCCCCGCTCACTCACACTACCGTTTATAGTGATTATGGACGCTCTGATGATCTCCTTTGCGATGGTGGACCTCAACCTCCTGCATCCCGGCAGGCTACTCGGGCCTGCACATACCTGGAAGGGTGAATTCCCCATGACCGAAGTTGAGGGCAAAGTAGTGGATTGAGGCTTCACAGCGCATTGTCGGATATCCCTGCGGACCCCCCCGTGGTGGCATAGAGCTTTAGGATGGATGATCTCCTCGGAGACGCATATGGCAGCACGTCGTACAGGGCGCATTTCTCTCGCTTCGATACTGCTTCTGATTGCTTTCACTAGGACAGCACGCCTTTACGATATCTTCTTCATATTTGTTTTTGCTACAGGTGACGTCGGACATTTTGGCCGCTTACTGCTCCTAGAGCTATATGTATTTCACAGAGCACTCCCTACGTCGTTTATTTGTACTTGCTGGTTGCGCATTGGATGCTAGACCTTAATGCTGCAGCATCGTGTCTGTCGAGTTGAGGCAGCTAACTCAGAAAGGATATGATGTACGAGATACATGCAGCGAGTGCGTATGTGCAGAATCAACAGAACTTACCATGATAGCAAGTCGTTATTCAAATACGAGTCAGCAAAGCGAATGACATGCCAGCTGCCAACTTCTCCATCTTTACACTGTCCACGACTATGCGCTCAACCACTATTCGGATCTTTTCATATTCCAAACCCTATGAATTGGCCGGACATGTGGAGCTGATCCACCGAACTATCACGTAAGTAGTGTCGTCGCGCTCAACGACAGGCTGCTGGCTCCCGGAAGGCTTGTTCTTAGCTTCCTTAACCCGTTCTTGCAGGCGACCCTGTCGTAGTCATATATGGTATAGCGCTAGTTAGCAATGAATGCGTAATAGTCATCAGGAAAACTGAGACACTGAGTCAGCGCTTCCAGAACGTCCATTCGGCTTCAGCGGGCGTTCTCAGTGTTGGAACCAGCTGTTCAGATGTCGTCGAGTGAGCCATTCCGGGAAGTAGGAAGCCCGCGTACTATGTGCATGAATGACTGCATCCCATCAAGACATGTAAAAATGATTAGGCTAGTCCATGATGGACTAGCCACATGGGTGTAATTCCTGTGGTACTATGTTGGTATATGCTGCATGTGGACAATTTCAAAGTGCCCTTCTGTCTCCCATAAACATATTCCTTTGAGACCATTACCTTGTGTGATTACGATTGCCGAACAACAGAAGAAGAAACAAAAACATAAGGGGCCCAACCGGGAATTGAACCCGGGACCTCGCGCATATAGATGAAAACCCGAAGCGCGAATCATACTACTAGACCATTGGGCCGATAGTATATGGGCACACATATAATTACATAATCATTACTGCTACATGAGCGGACCGAACCGAATGCAGTGGCACAGTTTCTGTCTGCTCAAGCTCCTACCAAAAGTACCAGTAATAACATACTATCACAGCGTGGCTATTACAACTGGGCAATTCTTTTCTCGCCTCCATGTGAGTACATGTGAGATATTGTAGTGGACCGGCGGCCGGCACTTTGCAGATCAAAGCAGACTAGCAAAGTTGCGGAAGGCTCGAAGTGTTCAGTTCCGCTGATCATGCACTGAAGAGTTACAGTTGAAGGAGAAACTGGCCGAAAGTCGAAGATCGAACGCAACAAACTCACCAGAGCGTCATTAGATGGTTGTGAAGCTTGTACGTTAGCGAACTCAACGGTCGACCCGCAACAAAATGTACACCATGTATACTCTACCAATGCCGGATATTGCAGTCTGGTTCATGCTTGCATGGCTTGATGCATCTGGTCCAGACAATTGATGATGTCGTGAAGTCAAGCATGGGGTGACTCGTCGATTATTCGAGGTCACTTAGCCTGTGTCCTGGGGCGAATCTTCGTATTCTGAAGTGTGTGGGTAGACGTCTGCAGGGTTATCTGGATACTTGAACGCGAGAGCAGATTGTTGGCGACCGCTCATATGGATAGGTTGACAACCTACAAATAGTTATCACAATTCAGACTTGCTGATAGTGTACACGTCGGAGTTAAGCAAACGCAAGAGCTCACGCGTTGGCCCTCGCTTGAGCAAATGAACATTGCAAGACCAACGTGATCAGACGTCCCGTCCAAAGCGAAATGAACTCGGCATGTCGTCGGCCAAAAGCTGCATTGATCCGCATGACAACAGACGAGGATATGAGCGCATAGTGTGACAATCGCAATGGCAGCGTGCCATGAACCACAACGTCCGGACGAGCTTTCGGAGGACGCCTCGTCTACGAACGTCCATCGTATGCCAAGCCGCATATAGTCCCAACGTGTTTATGAGTGCTCGTCGATGACCGTGTCTCCGCCATGTGAGCTTCGTCCTGAAGGTCCTACAGAGGGGATTCAAACGATCAATCCGGCACAGACTCCAGGATGCTGCGTCTGAGATCGTCCATAGGGAATAAAATGCCAGTAAGGAGCCTTCGTTTATTCATCAATTAACATTAGTCAGTTTCCGTTATTACATTCCCCATCACACTAAGCCACTCACGCAACAGAACGTCCCCGTAAAGACAATGAAGTTCATCGTTTCCGCTTACCAGTCATAGCGGCAGTGGATGATACATTGCCGGAATGTCCCTTCCGCATCCGAAGAGGGATGGGGAAACCCAGGTCATCCTCACCCACGAGCCCCTCCAGCACACTCGAGTCGATCTCCTCCGCACGACGGGCACCAGGGTCCTTTCCACCTTGAGCACCTATGGTGTCTGGCCGGACGGTATCTATGCTTGCGTCCGCGTCTTCTTCTTCGTCCTCGTCCTCGTCTTCGTAGTCGTCCTCGTCCTCGTCATCCTCGTACGCTTGCGCGTGAGCTTGTCCCAACATAGCGGACAGTCCCCCGGCCATATTCGCAGCTATTTGAGGCTCAACCTCTGGCGCTCTCGCACGGGAGAGCTGCGCTACCGGATTGCTCTGAGCAAGGAGAGCCGAGATTGTGCGCACTGACGCTTCGAGCACTTCATCCTCGTCGCCGCTGTCCAGCTTTATCCGCTTTGCCTTGAAATTGTATTTTCTGCCAAGTAGAAGTCAATACGATGTAAGCGGTGGATTTCGGAAAGTTTCGCCATCAATGTCCTCTCACGAGTGGTCTTTCTGTGTTACAAGGATGTACGCACATGTTTGGATCAGGCTCCCAGGATGGATCATGCGTTCTCATGTGCGCAGTCAATGTCGTACGCCGCGTAAAGGTCTTCTCGCACATGGGATCCTCGCATTTATACGGTCTCTTGCCAGTATGGGTCCGCCGATGTCGCGCCAGACTACTCGAGTCGCCAAAGGTCCGTGCACATCCTGGGTACTCGCATACATGCGGTTTTTCACCAGTATGCACACGGAGGTGGACATGCAACGCGGAGCGCTAGGCGGCAGCGGAGAGAACAAATGAGCAAGCTACTCGTAACGTGTGGCAGTTGCCATGCTCACCTGTATGAATGTCTTGCCACAGCCATCTTCTGGGCAAATGAACGGCCGCTCGCCGGTATGGATGCGATTGTGCCGTTGCAAATCACTCCGACGTGTGAATGTCTTCGAACATTTCTCGCAGGTATGCACCTGAACCACCTTCTCCCGCCTTCTTCTTTCCCTGGGCTTTTTGGCTGGTGGTTCTTCCCCTTCACTAGCCGTTCCCGGCCCCGACGACGTCGACGCGACAGGCTGCTCGAGCTCTGGACTCAAAGTATCGTGCCTCAGAGCGCCGTAAGATGGACCAGGGCCAGATGAAGCGGGTGGCGAGAATCGTTCGTAGGGTGGCAAAGACGAGATATGGTCCGCTACAGACGAGCGTGTATCGTCCAGTTCCTCGTCATGCACACGGACAGGATCGTCATCATCACGATCGAAATTTGTATAGTGGGTGAATATGTCATTCAAGCTTGGGTAGTCCTCTGAGATCGGAGACGACGCGCCTGTTGTGCTGGGGTCTGGAGCAATGAGTGGCGATGGATGTCTCACCGCAGAGTCTGGTCCGTCATCCCCTCTCTCGCTTTCTCCTTCATCATCATACAAGTACTCAGAGCCGTCCGTCGTGTGTCCGCTGGCAGAACCGCTTCTGCCAGTCAGGAGGATGTCCTCGTCGGCGGTCAGAGAGTGGAATGCGGGTGCCGTCCGTGTTCGGTTCTTTACATGCTCTTCCTCCTCCCGACACCGCGCGAACTCCGGATTCCTGGCGGCTAGTGCTTCAGCTGCACGCTCCTTCTCTTCCGCCTGAGCATGTGCTGCCTGCAGGACTGCAGCCAATCCTGGTAGGTTGATACTTGATGTATTCTGGTCAAAAAGGCTCGTAATTTCGCGTTCAAGCTGTTCGACGGAGAAAGAAGGAACGCCTGGGCCAGAAAGGGATAGGTGACCATGAGAATGGGCGTCTGGGCCAGAGTCGTGCAAGGCTTCTAGCTCAGCGTCGAGGGAAAGCCCTCCAGGTGAGAAGTGTTCAGACGAGCGAGGCGACATGCTTTCGGATGTAGAACTGGAGAAGTGCTGGATGTCGTCGTCGACCAGCGGCTCGTCATGGACAACGTCAGAGAGATCCAGGACGTGCTCATGCTCGTCGTGATCCATTATGAGGCGGTGCATGCTACGAGTGTGCACAAGGCGCGTGCTTGAGATCTGCAAGGATTCTGGAGGGTCTGTAAGGCTGCACCATACGCTGTGAGAGCTGCTAGACGTCATATAGAAGTTAACAAATGGGGACAAGTAAACCACTTACTCGCAGTCAATCTCGGTGTTTCCTGTACCTTCGGTCGCCTTATATGGACACGTATACAATGCTCTCAGTTGACTTCGTAAGGTCTGCCAGTGGGAATCGCGAGGGCCGCAGGTATTAGGTGTGGAGAATGTTGATGTGGTCGAAGTAACAGGTAATTGTGGCACAAGAACGCGGGACACGTGCCAGATGTACCCGCCACAGACGCGACTTGCCGCACCGTAATGGCCCGGGGTACCATGAAGCTTACTTTGAACTCGAAAGCGAAAGGACGGCTCTAGCGAAATGTCAACTATGCAATTATCTAGAATATTACACAAGATAGCTATTACTGACAACACTGGCAGGATTGGATAGAATGGATTCCAGCGACTCGGAGGAGAAAACTCAGGATATTCCACAGGTTGGGAACGTACACTAACATTCGCATCTTCAACTTCCTTCAACAGAATAAAGGCATCAGGACATGATGAGGAATGCGATCCTGCAGGGGCATTTTCGTAGAAGGCTCCATGCAGTCTTGATGATGCACAGGCGTGGAATGCTCGGCTACCATACGCGAAAATCCCAGTGGGATTTCGTGGCCTTGTATGATAGCTTAAATTGACATATAAGTACTCGATAGGTTGATCGAGGGGGTCATGAGCATCAACACTAAGGTCACTTACTACGTGCGCACGCCTCGCTGTGTGAAGCCGGCTTTATGTAATTCCGCACAGACCGTTGAGCCCGAAAACATACTACCCCACAACGGTATTGTGGTACGCCCCTTGACTGTGTATCTGCCCATAGAGGCCAATAGCCTCTTCAAACTGCGAATTTCTCGACTGCCGAGGCTGAGAGATCATACAGATTTTTTGAAGAACCTACCACGCACAGAAGTAGATCCAAACAAGTATCGAGCAACCTTACGGTATATGATTGACCATGTGTGACTCTCAACCCCTCAACAACACTGCCTGTAGATTCGTGCTTGATACCAGAAACCTTGGTATGCTTTCAGGATTACAGCGCACGTAGGGTGAGCGCAGGGACGGGGTCCGTTGCACCGGAAGATCTCCAGCGCCCTCTCAGATGAAAGTCGACTTGAGCAGAGAATGCCCACAGAGATGGAGTACGTTATGCCTCGTCCAATGTGGCTGTGACCGGAAGCGTCCGTGAAATCGCGGCACGGTTTCTGGTGAAGTGAGAACACCGGCGTATTTTCTCGGATCGAATTGAATAGTTGAGCAGAGATGACAATAGCGGCTAGACGATCATGAAACTGGGTCAAGAGGGGCAAATGGCTGTTCTGGGGAAGTCATAGCGTAGAGCAAATGCAGGTGGATAGCAGCCTACGATATGAAAAGAGCGGGAGCGGCCAGTCGGTGTCCTCCGTGGCCGTGGCGGTTGCGGAGTTTCGTGGACGCGCTTGGCCAAGAGCGACCATCTCGACCACCTTTACTAAGCTTCCTGCACGCCTTGTCTGCTTTCTTGTCGGAATATAATCCCATCTGGCTTCACAGACTCACCACGGTTTGCTGCTTGATTTGAACGAGCAGGGCGAGCGTCATGGCGAGCAGACTCGATCAAAGGCTTGGTCGGCTGGCGGTCCTGATGCTTGCGCTTGAAACTACGGCCTGACTTCTCTGTTGCCACCTGCGACAAGGGCACGAACGCGCCCCCACCTGCCCCCACTCACCTACGTGTGTGATGGTCGCGTCCTCGATGGGTGCCACACCAGAGCTGAGTGCCCTCATCGCCGTCCCGGCTTGCGCGGTGCACTGGGCTCAAGGTACTCACAAAATTCAGCATCGAAAATTCGCATCCGCTTCACCGTTCGGCTTTGCTGCTCACTGCACTCAGTGTATGGCGAATTGACCTGCACACTCTATCTTCCTTCTGGACATTGGTCGCAATCTTGGCTGGCAATTATTGGTCTTCGGGCGAAGCACTCTTGTCCCTCACACGGCAGTGTTGCATTGGCGTCGCAGGAAACGATCATACATTCCTGCAGCATTGGTTTGTTATGACAGGTACGTTTTTCGGATTGTGGCACGTCTATGTTGGCCTTCTACCCCAGCGCGTTGACTCGTCTGCTCTTGCCTACTCGCGTACTGATCTCGTGTCTGCCTGATATGTTCCAAGTTGCCGTACTTCTGTCTGTTCTTGATTCTTCGTCTTGTTATCATCTTCTGTATTCTTCATGCACACACATTCAGCGGAGGATATAGTGGTTTGATTGAAGACAGAAACTCACCGTGTCACGCGGCGGCTGTCTATATTGTCACATGACGCGAGTGTGACCCGACGTCACGTAGGCGGGCGAACGGCACGTCGATGGTGATTATGCTACAATGTGATGCTGTCCTTGGGAGCAAGGGGGCAGGGTTGGTGATTTATAGGGCACAGATCCCCTTGGTACTATTGGAACTCGTAATGATATATTGGGAGAGGAGGATTGGACCTCACCAGTTGTGCGCATCCTAACGTTCAGGGACAACATGGCTCTTCTGTGTGCGTGGTTCGCATCCCCAGTCTAGCGTGATACTCTCCCGTAAGAAGGGAGTATACGATCCCTTGTGGCGGCAATCTGGGCTGCTAGAGGGGAATAGCACCCAGCTTCGCCCTCTTGCGCGCGGGTGATATGTTGGCAGCCTCACACCAGAGGTTACCTGGTCTCTCAGGCCTGATTATACACTCTCCTCGTTGTCAACGGGCGTATCCTTAACGGGATCGAGTGCTTTCTGGGCTGGGGATAGACATGACGATACTCAAACGGTGAATTGATGTCCTCACCTTACTAATTGAGTGCAGGACTGTATCATCTCGTTGACATGAATGCTTGCAGTTCTTTCCTCATGGGCATCTACGCATCGTTCCTGACGCAGTGGAAAGTCACCGAGAGGCCAGTGCGGGATAGCAATCACGGAAGCAAACAAAGATCGGGCTGCACGCGGAAGTATTCTCCAGCGTTTGCTCGCCCTCGCGTCGGACATGGCCACAATAGGGAACGGACCAGTATTTCACTACGCGACCCTTACGAGACCCAAGCTTCTCGCGTATCTGGCCCGTATATGAGGGCCAGTCTCGCTCTCTGGCCCTCCTTTCTCTCCCCTCCCACCACACCCTCATTCTGATTTGCTTCGTACACCACGTATTCTACGCTCAACACTCATTCTTGAATATATAACCCCTTGATGCGTGCTCCAGAGCCGCCATACCCCTCATTTACTCTCGTCATGTGTGCTGCCCTCAACGATACCGCTCGCCTTCCTGCCTACAGAGAGGCCCGTCGTCGCCGACACCACCCCTACACAAGGCCACCTCGCCGTCAGACGCCTGACTACCTGATGGTGTGTCGTTCTTCCTGATGAACAGGCCACAGACATGTGTTGAAGTTACTATGACTGGTAGGACACGATTGATTACCGTGACGTAGACGAACGTGATGCCGTGGGTCTGATGCTTGACTCGCTCGTGAGGTTCAGCGTCTTTCTTACTCGTGGTTCTGCTGATCAGTCCCTTCAGCCCACTGCTCCTGCGGCCGCTGACTCTGTGATGATGAACACTCAGGACGACGTGATGCACCTGGACGAAGCTTTGCATGGCGTCAAGGCTGATTGGAAGGGGCGTCGTAGATTGTCGACATTGATTATTGTACGTGTCTTATGCATGAAGATGGTCGTCGAAGCTTATGCTATGTCTGCTGTGGCTTCAGGATCTTGCACTCGCTGTTTGCCGACGGTGCCAGGGAATGCGTCTTGTCAAAAAGTCATCCACTAACAGCGTGGATTTATTAGACTGAGCTGCCATCTCTAGAATTATCAGGACTGCTGCTTTAACGCGAATTGACGCGAATTGATCTTGCTTGTCTTGTCCTGTTTGTTAATATCGCTGCATTTGTACCTATAGAATTCGTCGAGTCTGTTTTTGCTTTGGAATTCTTCCATCTTGCGTTGGTTGAAGTTATTGTCATCATAATCTTGGGAGAGCCCATACATGTATCATAAGTAAATACACACCGCACCTTACACCGTGAGATGAATTTGGTTATGCTTTATTTGCTATCATATTTGTTCGACGAGATGATCGCGCACGCAATGGCGTTGATTATCGATTTGTTGTCACTTTCGCAGTGGTTGAACTGCAAGCGATGAAGCGGCCTTGGACGGAATTCAGTTCGTCAAATCATGCCTTGCGCTGTGAGTCTGGTCAACTTCTGGGCTTGCCGAATATGTCGTTTTGTACATGCGCTCAAATTCATCGTTTCATGATTTCCCACAATGCGCGCAGAAACTGCTGTGTGAACGTGTAATGCATGCGTGACAAGACGATTGTCCCTGGAATACCAATGTGAAAGATACAATGTGGTTTAGTTGGTCCAAACGTCGACCATTTCGGACTGATGGGTCATAACGGCGGCGTCTTTGCGGACGGGCATAACGCGCGGATACACGAACTATAATGATACTCTTCGGTAAGCAGATATCGCATAGATGAGCTTGCGAGGACTTGCCTTTTCGTCATATTCATGCAACACCTCAGCGGCGATAATAGCGCGGTCCTTCAGTAATGTTTCATAGGCACGCGTCATCGCCCTCATCTGCACGCTCACCGTCCCCATGATGCAGCATATAAGCATCCAATTTGCGCTCGTGACCGCTGTCCACAGCAGGGCATGGACGGGAGAGTAGATTGCGAACAGCGTGCTCTCTAATTCGCCGGGAGTCCAGACCTCAAGCTGCTGTATGCGCTCTGTCGAGTTGATGCCTCTGATAGTTTGTTCACGTGCCTTTGGCGGGCTCAAGTTCAGCAGGAAGCGTATCGAGAGCATGAGGGCGCGCCCGAGATGTGAGAGCAAAGACAGTGCGAGAGATCCTAGTTGTATGCGCCGCCTGGGGGGCTCATTGTCGTCTTGGGGTCGGACAACGCGCGGGCGAGAGACATAAGCAGCGTGCGGGGACGAAACTGGGTCTGAGGCAAGAGTGAGCTGATATATCCGGGTGCGTGTGAAAAGATACAGCGTATTGAGGACCGCAGCACTGAAAAGGATGGTGGCTGTTGGTATTGTCTGTAAGAGCAGTGAGATTCACACATAGCCTGCACGGGCACGCTCCCTTACCCAGTCAAACCAAGAATCCCCTTCTCCCTCCCTATACATGTCTTCCCAGCCGAGATCTGAATCTGGCACCCTGCTGATGCGCGCGACGCGTACGCATAGATGCAGAAAGTGCAGAAATCCACCAAGGAGATATGCCGACGTTACCGAAGAGGGTAGGGGGACATTATGCGGGAAAAGTGATATCTGGAAGGCTATCTCGGACGGAATGGAGGAGATCCTGTGCGGTTATCATCGACTAAGTTGGAGCATAAGGCTGTCCACGTTGAAGTTATGGGAAGGAAACGCACCGCTCAACCAAGCCTTTCTTGCGTACAACACGCTGACTCCTTTTGCCTCCGGGTGTTAGAGGTCCGGGCGATGCCGCACCCGGTGTGCCCACCTCGCTCTGCCGGAGCCCTCTGACACGTTTTCCCTGAAGTGGGGTGGCGTACGGAGGTGGCCTTTGTGAACGCGCTGCCTCCCAGTCAAATGGTGTGGATGCTGATATCGAAGGAGACGTAGCCGGCGAAATCGGGTACACAAGGCGAGTGCGCGGCGTAACAGGGACTGGAGTGCCTCGGAGAGGCGTCGAGGGCACCGACGCTGGCGACGCAGAGGTACTGCCACGCCGAGGGGTCGACGTCCCCACCGTAGCGTTGTTCGTCTGTGCGAATCTGCGGAGCTGAGACATCGGAGGCGAAGGCGATACCAGTTCGTGCTCGGCGTCGGGGTTGAGAGAAAACGCGTCGACGTGATGAACGCGTTGCACACGTGTGGCCGCGCCTCTGCAGGCGTGTGACCTATTGCCACGTCACGATCACGCGGTCACGACCCTGCAGACGCATCCTGGTCCCCTTTCCTGAGCTTATCGGGGCCCAAATCGCGCCTTGAGGCTCTGCAGCCCTTGAAGCGGCGCGCAGTACACGAGGCGGGACCGCATGGAATTCCCTCCAAGGGGTGACCGAGCTAACGTGACGCACGGCGAACAATCAATTCTCGACACGTGTTGATTATTTATTCCTATTTGCACACCAGGTCTCCCAAATAGGAAACAATGTTCAAAAGTCAACATACGAGACCGTCCGGCTCATCCCTCCCCTCCATCTTCTCCCTCTTGCCTTGCCTCCTTGTCGTAAAATTCAGCCACTATTCAGACTTCATCCTGAAAACTGAACACGCGTAACGCCCACCCTCCGTCCCGTTTTCACCATTACGTCCACGTTTAGAGCCGCTACCTCCACATCCTTGTCGCCCTCGAACTCCGTTAGCGTCAGGATGGCCCAACCTTCCTCTTCGCATAGAGAACGGGAGCGCGAGCGCGAGCGCAGCAGTTCCTCCCGACGTAGCCGTCGTACAATCTCGTCCACCACGCTCCTCCTCGTCCTGTCCCTCGTCCTCGCCGTCCTTGCCGTTATGCTCTCGCTACCGTCTACTCAGGCCGGGCGCAACCCTGCTGCTGCTATTCCCAGCGAGCCTGGAGCCAACCCAGCCGACAACGGAGGACTACTAGGCTACCTCTCGCCCAAGCGCACACAGGCTCTCCTCGCGCGTGAGAGTAACATCGCCGTTCGTGAAGCAGAGGTTGCGCGTCGCGAGGCCGAGATCCTCGCAGGTGCACCTGGCGGCGTGATCGCGAACCAGGCGCCTGTCGTTTGCCCGGTCTGCCCTACGGTTGTCGAGAAGGTCACCGAGCCTCCGCCTCCCATTCAGACGGTTATCAAGGAGGTCGTGAAGGAGGAGTCGCTCACCCCGCCCGGGTGGTGGGATCAGGCGCGCATTCGCGCGGAAGATATCCTGGACCGCGAGCTTAAAATTGCTGAGCGTGAGCGCGAGATCAGCAGGCGTGAGGAACAGGTCAACCGACGCGAACACGACGCGTCTCGTCGCGAGAGCTGGATTATGGAGCAGTTAATGTATGTGACATGTCTTCATTCGTGTTCGCTCGTCTAACCCATCCCAGGGCTCTCAATGATGACCAACCGGCCCTCGAAGAGGAGTATGTCTATGAACCTGCGCCGCCGCCGAGACGGAATCCCAAGGTACCACCGCCTCCGCCTCCCTACCCCCAGCGCCGCTCCGAGCTCTGAGACGAAGGGGGATTCCTCCATATGCCGACAATTTATCTATTTTGTCCTGCTTTTATGTACAAGTTCGTTGTCTCCGTCGCATCCTCCCCCCTCCTTCGTCGCCGGGCTTGGGGGATAACGGTGTTTCAAGCTTTGTCCCCCTTGTCCTCTTGCCATCTGGTAGCCCGTCTGTTCGACTCGTCTCCGATCTTCGATCGATCGCTGTGTAACGCGTCTCGGAGACGCGTCCCACGTGATACGATACGTTCACGTCGTCACTTTACCGTGACACGCGAACGCAGACGGGCTATCAGTTTGCACTCCCCTCTTTGTGCTAACCAATAGTTGCTGATTGTCTCTTTTCCCTCCTCAGGTTCCCCTTTTCGACGCTCTTCCTCCCCCACTTATTGTGACCGAAACAGCCTACGAGATGGCGACTGAGGTCAGGACGGTCACGCACACGCAACGTTACACAGTTCCTACGGAGGTTATCGCTCCTCCGCCCGCCAGCACTCGCCGGGCCGCGACGCCTACGCCGCAAATGTTGTCGCGTTCCTCATCCACGACTCACATTCCGCGGACGACTGCTGTAGAGGTCATCACCGAGGAACCTGTGATCCCCGAGCCTGAAGAAGAAACTGTCGCGATCGTGCGTAAGCCGCGGCCACGCATGCCGGCACCGGCTCGGTGGTGGTGATCCCTGGTGGATTGTGGTGGACATTTATTACGATGTGCAATGCCCTTGACGTGCTGAGCTTGACCCTTTCGGATCCTATCGCTTTTATTGCTTGATTTTCTATTCGCTCCTCATTGACGGCATATGTTGAAACCCACCCTGATGCGCTGTACCACCTTGCTCCGGCTTCTCCGCCACCCCTTGCTCTTTCGATCTTGCTTTCCGTGCGACACCTGCATTCTCTGTACCGACTTGTACCATTCACGCGATACGACTCACTGACGGATGGAGAAGTCCTCAGCACGGCATTTACGGCATTCCTGTCTTTGTAGGCTTGTTATATACTGCGGGCTGGATAGTGTAGATTACTTACCAGGACTACACACGTTGTCGCTGCGACAATACGATTGCACTGTCTTTAGACTCGCGTGTCGCTAAAAGCCCCGAGTGATTTGCGGTGTGATTTTGATGTCAGTGGTCTGTGGTGAAACACGACATGTACTGATGCGGGCGGTCATCAAGAGAACTCCGAGTCTATCGCAGTGCGGATGCAAAGTCGAGCGCAATAGCAGGAGGGCCATTAGCGGTGAGATTCGCTCTGATCATGAGACGGCGGTGACCACGAGGCAGACACTCAAAGCAGGCACAAAGACTGCGGCACCTCATTGTCATCGCCCATCGAGTCGTCGTCGCCGGCGGCTGCAGCGACGAAGCTAGTTGTGCCGTTGTCCTCGATCTCGATCGTCGATTGCCGTTGGATCCTGTCTCGTATCCAGCTTATTTCTTGCATTCGCCGTCCTCTGCGCCTGCTCAGCGGCACTTCTTCTCCCACTACCCTTCGTCAAACCACATTCCCGGCCTCAGCGCAGGCCCCGTCGTCGACAGGGACTGCCGCGGAGAGCCCGGGCCATTCGTCGGCAAACGACATTGTCCAGGGCCAGGCCGCCCTCGACGCTTCCCCGCGCACTCCGTCCATGAACCCTGCATCCCGCAGAACATTCGCCCCGCCAATCGACACAGACAGAAGCGCACAGTCGCTAGCTCTTTTACGTCATGCCTCTGGTCCGCTGTATGGTGCGCGCTCAACTCTATTTATCCCCCTGATTTCGCGCTCACGATGGCCCCTTCGCCGTTCTTCCCATACCGTCCATCCAGTTCTACACCGACGCCGGCGAGCCCATTAACAGCGGCTGCAGGCGCCTCGGCAACGGCTGCGAGTTCGTCCATCCCAGCGAGCCCATGTGGTCCTCTGCGCAGCCTAGCAAGCACAAGTATACGGTATGTCCTGCCCCCATCTCCCACCGTCTTCTCTGTACTGATCCCTGCCATTCAGCCCGGCGGCGGTCCGCGCGGCCGCGGGCGAGGCAGAGGTGGTACGCCCCCCTTCGGCAACCCCTCCGGCGATAGTGGCTGGAGTAAAGGCCGGGGCGGCAGCACCAGCGCTGCATCCGGCTCGGGGTTCAGCAAGCCCCTGCCTGCGGGCCCGCGAAGTGCCACGACCAAAGACAAGGAGAAAGAACAGGAGCCGACGTGGGGAAAGGGGTGGGGGTCGAGCGATGCGAGCGGAGGGTGGGGCGCTGTGTCCGTCCCGCAAGAGGCGCGATCGACAGGTCCAACCAACTCAGCGGATACGGGAGGAGGGTGGGGGGCACCAGATACCGGCTGGTCTGGTGCTTCTAGTGGTAGTGGGTGGGGGAATACTGGTGGCGGAGAGAGCGCGTCGGGCGGGTGGGGGGATACGGGGGGCGGAGGATGGGGTAGTAGCACTACCAGCGATGGATGGGGCTCTGGCGGTGGGTGGGGGACGGCAGCAACAGAGACAACGAAGGAGAAGGAGAAAGACAAGGCGGCAGAGACCCCCAAGGACCCGTTCGGCTTCACTGCAGTGAGTACGTCTGGGAAATGGGGCAACGCGTCCGAGCCCAGCACCAGCACCAGTGCCAAGGATGTTGCAGTTCAACAACCTCAGCCTAACGCACCGGAACAGACTGGAGGCCCTACCCCTGAGACAACCACTCTTCCTCACCCGCCAAGCCCCGTGCGGTCAGAACACTCGGACAGGCCTGCGCCCTCTCGGCGTGGTTCCGCCCGCGAAGAACTATCCATCACGATCCCGTCGACCTACGACGTGCTATCTTCGGCAGCAAGCACGTCTGCTTCACCGTTTGCGTCGCTCCTGAATCCCAGCACCGCGGAGCGCAAGACATCATACACGTTCAGCGACTTCGGCGCGGGCATCCCGCGCGCGGCGTCTCCTTCGCCGTCAAATACAGAGGAGCCACAATCGGCGTCGAGTTCTATGGCACGGGACCCATGGCAGAAATACATCAAGTGCGTCTGCCATACCCTATCTGCGCACGCGCATAGTTACTGACGCTCCCGGGTGACAGGGCCATTCAGCGTGCCGTCACGCTCCACCAGAAACTCGCCGAGGCGGAGGCGAAGCGCGACAGCCTCCGCCGCCTCCAGAAGTCGCCGCAGTTCCACAGCGCGACCCCGCGCATGATCGAGCGGCTCGAGGGCCTCCGGATCGAGCACGAGCGCGTCCTTGGGGGGCTGAAGAAGCGCTTCAGCGACGCCATCAACACGCTCGCCGCGTTCCCGCCCGGCATCAGCCCGTTCGACGGGCCCTCGCGCGCGGGGAGCGTCGGCGCGGACGCGGAACCGCCCCCAGCGGCGGAGGATATAGAGCGGTACGCAGTGGAGGTGCGCGAGTGGATGGACGCGGTGCGGCCCTACGTCGACTCCCTGCGCGCACAGGCGACGCAGCCTCCGCCAGCACCGCCTGCAGAGGAGGACGCCCCGCAGGTGCCGGCAAAGCGCAAGCGCCGCGCGGGCGACACCGATGCCCAGGACCCGGTCGAGAGCGCAGTCGCCGAGGTCTCGGAGCGGCTCGCGCGGCTCGAGGTGACCGCGGACGAGCTCGACACATACCTGCAGGATCTGCGGACGTCGTCGCAGGCGGCCATCAACGCGGCGCTCGTGCGCATCGAGCAGGCTGCCGTGCCCCCGGAACCCACGGAAGACGGCGAGATTGTTCCAGTGCCAGCACTGGATGCAGACGTGGGGGTGCCCGGGGCGTGCACTCGCCGCCTGCGCGAGGCGTCGTCAGAGCTGGCGCGGCTGCGCGGGGAGCTGAAGACGCTGCAGACGCGTGACCACAACTGGTGGCGGCAGCAGTACGCGCTGAGCACAGAGAACGAGGGGCTCAAGATGCGCATTTCGCAAGTACGTGGTTCTCTGCTCTCGGATGAATGTCCCCGTACTTTGTCGCTGACTACATCACGCGCACGCTTTTTTATTTCGCTTTCGTCGTTAGCTCGAAGAGAGTGAGACGCAAGAACGCGCGCAGCTCGCGGCGGACGCCCAGGAACTGCGCAAGCTGCGCGAGCAGGTGCAGAACCTCACGGCGCCGCGTCCCGACGTGCCCCAGCTCCCGCCGCAGCCGTCGCTAGATGATCTCGTGTCGCTGTTTGAGGCGGAAATGCGACCACGCTGGCGCGAGGACGCTATGCGTGGGCTGGGTGCGATGCGGGAGGGCGTGGAACAGCAGCTGCGCACACAGCAGCAGGCGGTGCTGTCGCAGGTGTGGGGCGCTATGAAGCCGACGCTGCGTATCGTGGACAGCATACAGGACTTCATGGAGGTCCAGAGCACGTCGAGTGACCAACAAGCAGTGAGCTCGTAAGAGGTCCTGCGCTGTACGCTTTGATCTGCTGCCAATGTGCTTGGTTCGATGTGTTTTATTTAGTTTATGCAATCATGAGTAATAGACAATGTTATATACGTTATAGATCTTTACAGGCGCCAGGCATCTTAATTGGAACATTTGCGGCTCGTACAATGACATGCAGCTCGCGGAACTGCAAAGACTCCAGGGAATGAACTACAACTGAGTATGTACGTAGCACTTATATTACATGCATTGCTAGCTCGCGGGCGAGTCCGAGGACGGCGGATGATCACAGGAACTACAAGCAAGGTACATATGCACGACCATGAACATGCGTGTAATGGAATCTTGCCCTGGACGTTCAACACTGAGAGCGACATACCATCTAATAGCAAATGACGGGAACAAGAAACAGGCCGATCCAGACACAGACTTAGAGCAACATCAGAAGAGATCGGAGCCAGGGAACAGCTGCGACTCCTCCCCCTCTTCCTCGTCGCTCTCGTGATGCGGCGGGAGCGTCGTGCTCAGTAGCGGCTCAGGGAGCACACTCATGCGTCTGCTCAAAGGCATCCTCGTCTGTGAGTTTAGCCCCGAGGACGCGGGCGAGTGCGGGTCAGGGAGGGGTGGCGATCGCGTCTCCAGGGGCGACTCCTCGAAGGGATCTGGTGTTGCCTCTCGTTGCACAGGCGGCAGGGGGTGCGGCTCCAAGCGTTCGCGGGGCCGCTGTGAGATTGATGTCGGCTGGTGTGAGACTGGTGCCGACTGTTGCGGGCGACGCTGTTGCGTAGATCGAGTTCCTCGGTTCTCGTACTCGAACTACGGTGAAACAGGCGTCATTAAGTAATACATGGTCATGATTTATAGTACTTACTGCCTCAAATACCTCGTCCCTATGGCGCTCACCCACGTCCTTGTCGATGCAGTAGCAGATGTACAGTGTATCCGCGCTGTCATAGATTTGAAATATGAGTGGGTGTCGCTGTGAAATGCGTTTACGGGTGAACTCACGTGTCTCTGACCAGACCAACACAGAATAGGCCAACAAGAGCCGTCACCGCTCCCGCGAGCAGCGCGGCCGGCAATGCCTGATCCGGCGCGTCTAGGGTGTGTGCCACGAACAGATACGTGCCCAAAGCGAACGGGAACGTGAGCGTCAGAGGGGCAACCGTCAGGATAGTCAGCGACGCTGCCAGCAGTCAACAATGAGAATTGGCCTGATATACATAGTTAGGCGGGGAACTCACGTTCGGTCTTGAACCGTCTGCGATAGTTCACCACCGACGAACTCTCCACGGCCGCAGTCAGCGCGCGTGCGCGTCGTGCGCTCGGGAAGAAGGGATCGCCCGTCAGGCCCATGTAGACCAATGCGTACTTGCTCAGCGTTCCTGTTACGTTCTCTAGGTAGCCAACGGCCATACCAGCACCGACGCTTAGCAAGCGGAGATACGGCGGCAAGTAGTACGGGAGAGTGCGAAGGCCAGCGGTCAAGAGACCGAGCAGGCGGAGACCTGCGATAATCAGGGCCGAGAGGACGACAGACCCGAGCGAAGGCTGTGTAGCACGCGTGAGCGCTGCGTGGATTATGTGTGTGGAGGTAGGCGGGGGCGGTGGCAGGGCGGGGCTTGCGAGACGTCAGTCAGAACTAGAAACGTTGCGAACTGGGTACTTACTCGGCGAAGTACCACGCCCCGATGACGCCCGCACAGGTCACCCGCAGGAGGCCGCGCGCGACGCCCCAGCTCCATAGCCAGATGCCAACCGTCCCTGCAATGGCCCAGTTGGCCCACCCATAGATGTGCCACTCGAACTGGGTGTTTGGAGAGGTGGCATACCCAACAAGCAGGAGGCGGAATGCAAGCGTGACAAATGGAATGGACGCCACGAGCGTTGCGAGGAGGACGGCGGGGGAGAGCGCCAGGAGAAAAGGGTTGGCGACAAGGAGACGGGTTGTCAGCGTGAGGAGTGAGGACGCAGTATGGATGTCTCGAGGGAGGTCGAGCAACTTGCGAGCGGTCAACAGAGATAGCACCAATGGTACCAGCGAGAAGATGCGCAGGCTAGAAGTGTGTCAGCAATGGTGTGATGTCATTACAAATGTGATTGGCGTACCCGACTGTTTCTCCCCAAGTTGGTTCCTGATTGCCATCCCACATGAAGCTGCCTACAAATGCCCATATCGCCGAAATGAACAGGGTGGCTGGGATGAACACCGAAGTAGCAACCATGACAGGCTTGACAAATATCCGTAGGAGATAAACATGCAGATACGCGACAACGGCACTCAGGACGATCAGTATCGTGAGCAGTGGGATGGTATGCAGAAACGTGACATAGGGGAGTTTGCCCCCACCACCAGGGGGACGATGGGTGAGGAAGAGCACAAGGATGGAAAAGAAGGCACATATGCTGAGCCCAGCACACCACAGAGCTGTCCAGACAAAGTCGTTGTATTTCCGCCGCCCTCGCGGGACGTAGCGAGGGTCAGGCAGGGAGAAGATGTCTAGGGGTCGTGTGCGACCATCTCTAGGCAGCAAAGACTCTGTTAGTGAAAGGGTGGCCTCGGCTCGTGGTGGAGGTGGTAATGATGGTTGTTGTGGCTGCAGTCGATCAGTTCGAACATGGAGCTTAGAAGAAGTGGTCATAAAATCTGGTGGTGGGTGTCCCGAGTCGACAGACGAAGACGAGAGGGAGGGCGATGGTGACCGCAGAGGTGAAGCGTGCGCGAGCCATCCCTTTGCGCTCTCTCCTACTGACGCTCCTAGTAAAGGTATTGACTGCGACTGATGCCGAGACAGACCAGCTTCCTCTTCGTCGAGACGGAGATACGGGTCCTCGTCGTCTCCATACGCGTGTGCGTCTTCATGGCCCGCAGTGTGCCTGCTCATTGCGCTCGCACGCAAGTGCGGGTCGTCCAAGTCGTCCAGATCTGCCTCATCAGGGTTGCCTGCACGAGAACCGTTGTCGGTTGAGAAGGAGAAGAACAGAGGTTGAGAGGAGGACAGACTGGATGCTCCGGCTTGCGGTCTGTTCAAGAACTGAGATGCATATGCGGCGAACGACGTGGCCATTGTCTGACCCTCGACGTCTGTGTTCTCAAGCACGCAGAGCAGAACAGATCAGTTGAAAGATAAAGAAGGGACGCAACAGACGGCCGCGGTGTTGCGTTGGTGCTTCGGGTGATAGTAGCGCGTAAGCAGCCCGCACGGCGTCTCCGCTTGAGTCACTCCTCTCCCTCAATCGGTCACCCTGTCCTTGCGTTCGGCTGGGCCTGCTGCCCCGAGGAGGAGCGGCAGCACTCTCGTTCTCTTTTCGGGCCATCACGCTCCGTTCTCTCGACATGTCGATGCTGCCGTGCTGGCACAGACAATCCTGGACATATCAGCGGGGATACCGCGATCCATCTCGCAAGGGTACCCGATGCTGCCCAATCGATCGGTGTAATGTCATCGTCTCCTGAGCCTGCAGTGTTCCATGGGCCTGCAGTACCGAAGGTGCTGATCTCGCGGCCATGTCGAGGGGTAAGTCAATGTCATTCTCTCCCTCCCTTGGGCCGATATACGTTAGAAACTCACCCTGCAAAGCGCCCACAAAAATATTGACTGATCTCACTCGTATAATTCCGATTTAGCCGATTGTATCGCGGTGTCGCAACGTGTTCTGGTTCTGGGCGCATATAGTAGCAAATGATGACATGAGTCCATGTCTGGTGATCAGGGATCAAGACAAGGCAGGATCAATAACTCAAGGAGTCACTTCTTGATGATTGCGGCCACGACTATGCAACGATAAAGCCAGTATATTCTAGCTGTGACATGAGCAAGTGTAGTTTCCTTATAATACATTCATGGGTTCTCCCAAGATTATGATGACAATAACTTCAACAAATGCCAGATGGAAGAATTCCAAAGCAAAAACAGACTCGACGATTTCTATAGGTACAAATGCAGCGATATTGACGAGCAGGACAAGAAAATCAAGATCAATTCGCGTTGAAGCAAGAGTCCTGATGATTTTAGAGACGGCCGATTAATATCGGCTCAGTCCAATAAGTCTACGCTGTTTGTGCATGACTTTTTGACAAGACGCATTTCCTGGCACCGCCGGCAAACAGCGAGCGCAAGATCCTGAAGCCACAGCAAACATAGCATAAGCTTCGACGACCATCTTCATGCATAAGACACGTACAATAATCAGTGTCGACAATCTACGACGCCCCTGCCTATCAGCCTTGACGCCATGCAAAGCTTCGTCCAGGTGCATCGTGTCGTCCTGAGTGCTCATCATCGCAGAGTCGCTGGCCGCCCCAGGAGCATTGGGCTGAAGGGACTGATCAGCAGAACCACGAGCAAAAAAGACGCTGACCCTCACGAGCGAGTCAAGCATCAGACCCACGGCATCACGTTCGTCTACGTCACGGTAGTCAATCGTGTCCTATTCAGTCGTGTTAAGCTCAACACATGTCCGCGGCCTGTTCATCAGGAAGAACGACACACCATCAGGTAGTCAGGCGTCTGACGGCGAGGTGGCCTTGTGTAGGGGTGGTGTCGGCGACGACGGGCCTCTCTGTAGGCAGGAAGGCGAGCGGTATCGTTGAGGGCAGCACACATGACGAGAGTAAATGAGGGGTATGGCGGCTCGGGAGCACGCATCAAGGGGTTGTATATTCGTGAATGAGCGTAGAGTGTAGAATACGTGGTGTACGAAGCAAATCAGAATGAGGGTATGGTGGGAGGGGAGAGAAAGGAGGGGCAGAGGAGTAGAGAGCAAGACTGGCCCTCATATACGGGCCAGATACGCGAGAAGCTTGGGTCTCGTAAGGGTCGCGTAGTGAAATACTGGTCCGTTCCCTATTGTGGCCATGTCCGACGCGAGGGCGAGCAAACGCTGGAGAATACTTCCGCGTGCAGCCCGATCTTTGTTTGCTTCCGTGATCGCTACCCCGCACTAGCCTCTCGGCGACCTTCCGTGCGCCAGGCGCCATGTTCAGAGCTCTATGTGAGGCACTAGATGAGAATGCCGGAATGTGAGTAAGAGGCCACCGCAAACTAGGCAGTCAAACAAGGTGAGAATACGAGATTGCCAGCTTCATGTGAGGCACGTCTATTTCAAGGCTCGAATGGCCCTAGACCCACATTCCATGGTCAACAGACCCACATAACAAGGACGCTACGCCGACAAGCTCGAGATGCCGTGTGCGCGCGGACAATAAGACCTGCAGCACTTCAACTAGACACACTTGTAGTCGAGGGCTCGTGTTCTCCGACAATCCAGATTGTCAGATGGGAATGCATGCAAACCTCTCAATCATGATGATGGCTCGAAAAGCAAAGGGGCAGAGATTATAGATTTGTATCGCCCTCAAACGTCAGAATGCGCGGAGTCATCGCGCACGAAACGTATGTCACCCTCAACTTTTCAATATCTGACGGCGTGAGCTATGACAGGACAATAAGAAGTTGACGTGGTACATGAACATCAAAAGCCTCTCTGCCCGCGAAACGCAGTACATGGGTAGTAGCATGCTCATCGTCCACGCGTCGGCCCGCCTGCGTGACGTCGGGTCACACAGCCTTACTCTGTGACAATGAGCGCGCGTCAAGGTGAGCCCCACCACCACTCAAACCATCATGTCTCTTCTGAAGTTGTGTGCATGAAAATCGCAGGAGCAACAGACGGGAGCAATCGCTCACCGTTCAAGACCTCAGGCATGAAAACTGTAAACCCGACAGACGTGTTGCGACGATCAGAGCACAAGATGCATACATCGAAAACGCAAGGCACAATGCACGACTCACAGAACAACGACACAAGAGCGCAAAAAAGATAGGCGTGCAGCAAACTGAAGACACACCTTTATGATGCGGCAGAGCAAAATGTATCCGTCGTGATGTGAATACAGAATTCCAGCGTGCAATGTGTGCAAGAAGAGTGCGTCGCCCAGGACCGACTGAAGCCAGTCTTCGCTTCGGCAGCTGAAGCCTGAAGAGCACAAATCCGTCTAAGCAGCGGTAGCATAGCGTGGTGAATCGGTCGTGAAAGCTTCAACGCTGAATATCTTCTTTGTCGTCAGATGTGCAATGAGGAAAACCCCAGCGCGCAGGGTTGACCATTTGGAAGGGAGGCTGACGATGGAGTGCATGCCCCCTTCAGTATGACTGCCACTGAGGAGCCGTATTCAAGAGCATAGCAGATGGTGAGTAAGCGCAAGGTATCTTGTGCGTCGGGGAGCGAAGTTGCCTGGACGTTGCGACCACAAGCCACTGAGCCAGAGGGTGCTGTCCAATTGCTGAGCCGACAGGGCCAAATCGCCTGTGTCCATCATCGCAACAGATCTGCACATGCAGTGGATTTGAACAAATCGAACAGAAGACAGCATTCAATGTGAAGCAGGGTGATGTCGCCTACAGCCAACGGTGTAGAGCGTGAGCAAGGCGGTTGGGTCGAGGTGGGTGGTCGTTGGTAGTCAAGCGCGTTTGACAACTCCGCGATCGCCACATTCAGCTCAGGACTCGGCACTGGACAATAGTGACCAGACTACCTTTACCTGTTCAATCGTATCGCACACCTGCTCTGCACACCTTTCTCGACCTTCCAAACAGTAATGCGCTCTCTGCTGCAAATTTATACCAGGTTCCAACCGCTATTTCTCTCCCCGCTCTCACCTGGCTTGCCGTAACGAACCAACCGTAGACCACAGGCTATACGTCACTCAATCCTGACGCAAATCTGGCTGACATTGGCCATTGTGCATTTTTCGGACGATGCGCACACTAGCTTCTCGTACATCTGCGATCATCCTCTACTGCCATTGGGACTTCTACTTCCAAACTTGACGACACCCACCGACAAAGGTACAAGATCCCGACCTTCTCACGCGAAAACCCACCACTACGTATACAGTGCGACTGCGGGGTCTCTTAGCGATCGCTCATCCCTAGCAAGGGGTCTCCCGAATGCCTTGCACGCAGGAACGGTCGTCTGCGGCCGGATCGTGCGCTCTATAATGACACCAAACTTACTTGGCCCTCTATTCCACTCGCGACAACCTGATTCACCTCCGACTGAATTTCCTCTGTGATTTTCAACATATATATTCTTGTCGAGAAGCTCTGGGCCCTATTTTCCCGTATTTGTGAACAGATTTTGCAATGCGGGTGAGAATCATGACGGAAGAGGTACGCTTTGTGCTATCGCATGACCCACCGATTCGCTGACGAATAGGTGCCGACTGCCGTCATTTGCAGTTAAGCTTCGAGTAGTTCACTGAGCGAATCCACATTGATGTTGATGTTGAAAGGACCTTGAATCCTGAAGCGCGTAGTCATAGGTTGCGATCATCGTCAATACAGTGGCGTCTTCAACTCGACCTATCCGACGGCTGATGATGCATCGACGCAAGATCCTACACGCACGTATGATATAGGTATGCATTTCTGTGTGTGGTCCGGTCCAAGGATATCCTGCTCATTGGAAACCTGCTCCTGACCACCTTTTCTCCAGTATTTGCGCACCCAATGTCAACTAATACGCAAATCAGTGTTTGGACGCTATTACGACCTAGCTCTGACTCACGGCAGCTTCCGTAGGTTTTCAGTGATATGCGCACTGCGACATCACATTCTCGTGACTTAGGCTTTAGAGGCCAGAATCCAAGTGTGAAGCATTATCTAACAGCGAGCGGAATGTCATGGGCTAGGTGATTGTGAGTGGTCATACCCCTCGGCCACAGTAGATCGTCTCGTGTACATAATGCCATCTCAAATACTTATCGGGTGCATAACGGAAGTTCACGTCGGATGATCAATTTCAGCTGACCGTCTCCAAGCTACATAATTCGTGCAGCACATCGCCGTATGCACTGTAGATCCGCCCACGAATGAATGAACCAAGGATATTATATATGGAGGTTCTGTCACATCTGGTGGTCTTGCTTCACTATAGAAGCAAGCTCGCTAGAAGATACGGCCATTTGTAATGTCCTTTCAATATATATCTCCGGTGCGACTCGTTTGGAGATTACCGGAATCAATGTAGCACGGTTATATCAACATTCTGCAGGGGTCGCAGGGAGTCGCGGTGCGGATCCTGCTAATACTTAGGCGTCCATTCGCGCCAAAAGGATGTAGGATGCTGAGCCGATGGTGGACATATCTGCCATCACGCCCACAGCCATGTTTGTCCGGCTCGCCCTATTCTTTTGCTCCGCACTGCTATCGCGCTCCCTGTTGGAGGTATGGGGGTGCAGTGACGTCAGAGGGAAGAAGCATTCTGGTCATAAGAGCGGATAGAAACGTGACAGAATGCACACCTGGGAGCACGTCCCCAGGGGGAAGGAATGTGCATCTGCGCTTGGAAGAAACAATCATAAACCGAGAACCTCTTGCTTCTGGTTATGAGTGAAATAAGTGTTCACTACCGCGTGGTGGTATACACTCGGCGCACAGCGACTCTCTGGATTCTCTCGAAGTCTCTGCGCCGCCTGTAATTACCGTCTCCGAGTGCTGAGAAGGAGGTAGAATTGCATTGACATCTGAGAGAAAGCAAATTCTTAATCATTATAGTGAAGAAATATTGTGAGCAAAGTACATACCTCGGGAAGGCTTCCTACATCACAGGACGAGGTGGAAGGCTCACTAGCGACTCTTCGACTTTGTATGCCACACTGGTTTTCGGACCCTCACATATATCGACGCTAGCTATGGCACATCGTTAGTGAAAGTTGTAACATAGACGGCGGATTGGTCATGTGCACCGACATGTTATAGAGGCGAAGACAGCTTCAGCTATCCAACCATTCGCAGCGCAGATTTACGGATCTGGCACATCCCCTAGTCTCCTGTGAGCGGAACGAAATACACTTCCTTCAACCTACGCAGGCTCCGGATATCCATGTATAACAACATCCCCGGCCGCCATACTTTCTTCTTCCGGTACACTGGCGATGTCTAATGCGTCTGCAAGTCCGGCCTCGACCTCGGCTTGTGCGCGCACGCTCACAACGCCAGCTACACTGTTCGGCGCCGCAGCTGTCGCTTGAGACACAATGTAATGATCTTGGATCGCTTGCCTTGCAAGTGTTGGAATATATGATGTATGAGATCTAGTACAAGATTGTGGCTATTGCCTAGCACATATTGGTGGGAGTTCCTGTATCAAGATCGCTTGCCAGTGATTGCACTTCCTATTGCCGTTTCGCGGATGACAAGTGTTCAATCGGGAGTGCTCGCTGTGAGGAGTGCGCCGCAAAGTTCAGCGATCTCTCCACATGAATCTCGGACCTATCTCGGGACCCGACCGATGCGTGACTGTGATGCCTTTAATTGACGTGATAGACAGTGACGTGACTGCACGCGTTTGGGACAACGCGCTTGTAAATCTCGCACACGATGCTGCAGCGGACCAGCTCATCTCAGACCTCCTCCCGACCTGCTCAAGACCCCCCTCCTCCCCACCGTTTCCACCACACGTCAGAAACCCTCAGCTCAGGTTGACTATCTAAGTTTGCCACTGTCTCGTGCTCGCTCCCAATCCGGGCTCAGCTTCGAGCAATCGCTAAGTCGATTCGAGGTTTTCTCTGCTCCGCTCTGTCCTCGCTCTTGCTTCGGTGAGAAATGACGGATGAGAGAGGGACAGGTGCTAGAGTCATGCCGAGACGTGCTGCGGCAAAAAAGGCCACGCAATTATCGGCGGAGCAGCTATTGAGCTCACCAGAAGGCCCGGCCAATCGCGGACGTACGTTCGGAGAACCGTCCTCTCCTAGGAGCCCAGTGAAGGTCACTTATGGAGGAAAGGGGAAGAAAAGACACCTTGCTAAAGCCTCGGGCTTCAGTGCATCTCCCCCACAGGCTCGTGTGCGCAAGGCTGCAACCGCTCAATCCCGCACACGACCTCTCCCTGTCACTAGCTCCGTTGTGGGTACATCTCCACCACCAAGTCAATTGACATCGCTTTCGGACTCAGAGAATGAAACCGATCACCCCAGTCCTCTGCTAGGCAAAACGTCTCGTTCTATCACATCTCCATTCGAGCACGGCAGCAGTCTGACACCGCTTTCCGATACCGAGTCTGATTCTAATATTATGATTACGAGTAGACCACCCTCGAGACAGCCACGAGCCAAACGGTCAGTGTTGCACGCAGAGAAGCCATCGAAGCAGCCGCGGCCTCTCAAGGCGCGGGATACCCGCAATGGCAGGACAATGCAAGAGACTGTCGGACAAAAACGTGCATTATCGCCTACATCGTCCGAGGGCTCACAGTCAAAACTGGACGACGACAGTACATTAACTCCATTATCCTCTCCTGCACCCACCGATCTCCCTGCACGTCGACGGTCTTCCAGTCCATTTAGGCGGCGATCTAAGACGCTGCTGGGACCCGCACATAGCGAGGGATTCTTGGATACTTTGCCATTCATACCGAGCCAAACATCCGGCCGAGCCATTATGCCGACTACAGATGTCTGGAATTTGGAGAGTCTTGGGACACAAGTATGGGTACGTATCGACAGTCAAGGCGGTGTAGTTGATGATAGGATGTCAGAAGAACAAGATACGTTCTGGTGGCCTGCCAAGGTGTGTCTTGAGATGTAGGAGCCGGATATCTCGCTAAACATTGACTCGTCTGAAGGTCATACATCGCCGTGATTCTACGCGAGTGAACCTGTTCGGTGATGCTCTGGGTCACTCGGACACAGATGACGTCCGAGAGCTCACCATTGACGCCCCGTCTGCCTCCAACATTCTGTCTATGGCTGTGGGTGGGACCATGCGTTTCAACGAAGCGAACTTTAGACAGCCTCAACTCTCTGCCGATATACAAAGATCGCCAAGGAAGAAGCGGAAGTCAGATATCGAGACGCGTTGGAAAGCAGCTCGGGATCTGATGCTAGCAGCAGACCAGGAAGAAAATGACGGGCTGCCTATGTGGCTATCTACCTACGTGGCGGGGGACACTTTACCGCCGTTAACGAACAATAGCAGGAACAAAGGCAAACAGGCGGCCGGCGCTTCTGATGACACCGGAAAACCAGAGCGACGCTGGAGAGCACCATCGTGCGATCCCACATACGAGCTTCCCGGCGAGCTAGTGTTGGCGAAAGAAAAGAGGTCGCACACCCAGTACTGGCCTGCTAGACTGCTCCGGTACTTGAAGCCTGAAAATCCCAGGCAAAAGCCCAAGTACGAAGTCGAATTCTACAACGGGGAGATCAAGAACCTGGAGCCGAATCTCTTCTATACTACGGTGGATAAGGGCTTCAAAACATGCCAGGTGAGGTCGAACATGGCTCACTGGAATTGATAACTGATGGTAATTATGAGCAGCTTGGACAGGATATATATAATTACGGCCTGAATGACGAAGCTGACGAAGCTGACGACTCAGTGAGCCACGATGCCGTACGACCCGCCACGGACGAGTCCGCATTCGATGAAGCAACGCTCCGAATACCCAGCCCCGTACCCCGCCTTGCGGCACCGCGCACCTTCGTTGACAAGCTGTCTCTCGCAGAACAGTTCAGCTACGTTAAGCCGATCCTTGCGTCTGTCATTGAGGGAGACTTCAAACCAGCCAACCAGCGACACACTGACTTCATGCGGGGCGCCGCAGCGAGACGAAAGGTCTGCGAGAGCGGGTATTCGAGAGGGTCGCTGCGCTCTCATGAGGTCGAAGACTTACTGGATCTCATCATGCAGTGGGCGCGTAGGCGACAAAAGCGGAAAGAGCTCGGAATTACCGTAGGTCCGGGAGCAACATCACCTAGCGAACGGGCTGAACCATCTTCGAATGTCCAAGATCAGGTGAGGGATTAGGTGACGCCTTGAACAATGCAAACTATCATTCTAAGACCATTCTTTAGGTCATGGCGGTGGACAGCACGGATCAGAGTCCTCCGCCTCCGTCCCAGGACGCCCAGCCCAAAACAATGGTAAGTCGCACTATTTGTTATCTGCGGACATACCGCTGACGCCGCCTTAGTCAACCGCAGCGCGCGTGGACACTGAAGCCCCTACATCCTCTATTGAGACAAGCGACCGTGAAACTAAAGCTGTATGTCTTCATCTGGTTTGGGGCCAAGGGCCATCCTTACCCTGATCTGTACACCATAGGCTCAGGACCTCTCGGACAACGCCGCGGCATCACAGGTGCCTGACGAAGACGTGGTGGCTGAACGAGTGAACGACATAGAAGCGCATGACATGCAGCAGGTCTGTCTATCCACAGCCACCGTGAAATTCAGCTTGAAGTTAACCAATCGCAGGACATCGATATGGCGGATAGTCCGCTGACATCGAACGACGAAGTCCCGCCAGTAGGCTCTTCTGAGACCACCCGGTCTCGGGCTACTTTCGCAGATCTATCGGAAGTGGATAAAATCACTGTACGGTCGTGTTCATTGTGTGACCGGGAAAACTGCCGCTGATAATGCGGCAAACAGTATTGCCAAAATATCCTGCTGAATGAGGCCGTTCTCCAGCTACTTCTATGGCGCTGCGGTCAACGAATGAGCTTGGAGCTACTACCGCCTGACGAAGAACAGCGTCTCCGGAATATAGCGGTGGGGGAAGCTGAGAAGACTTATTGGGTACACGATATTGTCCGCATGAAGCAGCACGCCGCTAGCAAGGATCGCAAAGCTGCTCAGTCGCCTGTTTCTTTGGCGAAAGGAGGGACTAGATTACGTCCGCGACGAAGATAAATCTGTCGCCTGTACGCTGGATAGCTGCTTTCGTTAGTTTGTACTGCTGTATTTCTACGGATCTCCAAACGTCTTGTGTGAATGTACATGAACGCATGGAATGGGAATAAACCTTTTGTACCTCGAAAAGACTGCTGCTTCGAAGAGTCCCTGACCGCAGTGGTATTTGGATGACGTGCTCCCTACATCGTCCTTGAGATATTCGCATGATTTTAGCTTCATACTATCCCACGACCCTCATTGACCTCGAGGCGGAAGCTTTGGACGCCACAACAGCACGGGTCTGGCGGCCGCCATGCTACGCTCATCAATTTGAAGAGCCGGCCGAGCTGCGATATGTTCCCATAGTGGCTGAGTATTGCTAGCGCGTTGTGAGAATGCCGACAACTCAACCCTGTAGTGAATGAGGATGACAAACAGGCACACCCGTATTCACCAACGTTACCAATCTTCCGGAGGCCAGCCATTCGCCACCATGCTTGGTGCCGTATAGCTCCATACTCACCCATCATTGTGCAGGTTCAAACTTGGCTAGAATGACTGATCGTATGTCAGATTGACACTGTCCCCATGGTCGTACTTGCCCTATTACGGCGTAATACATTATATTGAACGATATGGGACCAGTGGAATGCATTGAGTTACGAGAGGAGCACGATGTCTCTTCTAAGACACCGTAGACTCCCTCGACGACTAGCCGCGATGCGGAAATGATAGACACCAGCAACGACCCGCCGACTTTTCCCGTTAACATTGGAACGGCGCCTACGCACCTGACGATATGAAACGGGCACCACGAACAAATGGCGCCTTACGCCCCATCACATATATGATATCTTATGAACTTACGTGGCCGAGCGCAGTGCGGTCAGATCGGAGACTGTATTATCCATGAGGTCCATTACTCCTCCAAAAATAGACTGCCTATCGGTGTATGTGAGCCGCTACTTGTCCGTGAAATTATCTGGCGCGACGACTGGGAAGATAGATTCATCTGGGATGAATTACGAGATCGCGAGGTCAATGACGACAAACTGCCATTGGATATCAAATTTCCGTCGGACGACAGCAGCGGAGAGCCCGGGACATTAAACGCCGTCGCAGCGCCATTGGCGACATCCAGAGTTGATAGACCATTCTGCGATTTTGAAATTGGGTAGGAGAAGGACCGTGCCGGAGACACACGGGTTGGAGAGCCTAGCCGCGTAGGAGATTCGTGGCCCCTCACGTTGATAGGAGGTGGTCGAGATGGACGTGTAAACCGGGAGGCAGACGGGGCTTTGGTCTGCCGAAATAACTGGAAGGATAGGCGGGTGGGGGTGATTGACCATGGAGATGAGGGCCGCGGTCCACCGTTGAAAACTTGTCCTTCCTCCAACGAGAACCCCTCGAGTGAGAATGCCCGATCACGCTTGTACATGTATCGCCGCAGAGTACTCCTGAAGCGGTGTCGCAAACGCCACATGGCCGCTAGCATTACCAGCATCAGGACGCAGTAAAACAGGAATGCGACAGGCGAGAAACCCAGCGACTCGCGTCGGAGCGGCGACGGTATGTGGTCCGATATCCGGTCCTCGATGGCCTTGAAGTCCAGGAAGTGCGGTCGGATACGCTGGATGAGTGGGTCGCTGTTTGCGGGATCATCCAGAGGGTCGACAAGCGGGCGCTGCTTGGCAGACAGAGGCGGGACCCCCTTGCTCGCCTCCAGTACCATCTTGCCCAGCGTCCAGCTGATCGCGATGTCGCCGACGCTGTCCATGGACTGGAACGTCGGCCGCCCAAGCCCCTTGCGGTCCGCTTGCTGCGCGACTTTGTCCCCGTGTGTAGTGCTGTTCCCGCCCGGGTCAACGATTCGCGGCATGCCAATGCCTTCGTGCAAGACGTTCACGATCCACGCCGCTTTGAAGCATTGTAGTTGCAGGCGCGAAATCTCAACCTGCGGACCCCACTTTACTGCCTGCCCGGCCTTCTCAGCCTGGCCGTCACCGCCGGGCGCTCCCTGCCGCGAGAGCTCGTGCTGGTGCAGGATGTTGGACCAATCTTGTGAGCAGAACTCCGAGGCGGCCCGCTCGTACTGCACGACATCGTATGAGCCGCCGAGGCCGAAAACGTGCTCCGAGGAGTACCAGTATTCGGAAATGCCGATGAAGTGGGAAGCAGAGAAGTCAATGGGTGGGACGAGTACGCCATTGAAGAGGCAGTGGGTATCTGGACATGGTGCGTGCTTATTCAGTAGCGGCAGTGTCCGCTGCAGACATTGCTCGAACGACCCGGTACCCAGTAATGTACGTGACTTCTCAGGTTTGTGAGCAACGTCCAGCTCGGTAAGCCGTAGGTGTTTTGGTAGGCATGGATCCAAAACCAGCTCCTCTGTAGATGAGGATGTCGAGGACGGGTGGGCTAAATGATCATCGATGGCCGCGCTGACATATCGTTCCCGCGCCTGATTTGTGCCATAGCCCAGCCATGTCGTGACAAATACCCTGTGATGGACTTCATGGCCGTTCAAGAGACGCAATCTGACGTCTATGAGGTTCTTGGACTTATCCTGCTCCTCTCTACTTGGTTCAAACGCGATTTGTGTCGAGGCGCCACCCATGTCTAGAAAGCCGTATGTCAGACGATCCTCACCAGAGCCCTTGAAGCCGTCCATGAGATAGTTCACTGCAATCCAGCCAAAGAGTCCTTCCTCTTCCCCAGTAATTATGCGTACGCTCGACCCGCAAGGACCGACGGGTGACGGGTCGTCTATTCGGAAATTGGAATGAGACCGGAAATAGCTGCAGGTTGCTGTGAGGACTTCGGCTTGTTGTTCGGGTGTAAGAAGACGCATGCCGGCCGTGGCAAGTAGAAATATCGGGGTCTCCGGCTGTAGAGAAGGGGGTATATGACTGCGCGCATGGTCGATCAGAGGGGCCAGGTAGGATGCAACACCTTGTGGTTCGTGCGCGAACGATGAGATGCCTGTCCAAGACAAAATACAAGGATGGAACATTCAGCCAGTCATATAGGAGAGATATTTCCCTGCTTACCAGGCTCAACTTTCATCGACCACTCCTCACCGTCCTGCGTGCCCTTCTCAACCTTCGGCAGCGTGTCCAGCGTGTCCCCGCGAGCTACCCGCGCATCTTTCCAACTGTATATTTGAAGACGTGAGCCTGACGAGCCAGCGTCGATAACCACGCCGAATCGACGAGCTGCAAGCCACGAGTCGGTGGCAGTGGGAGGGGCCATGGGCGGCGGGGACGAAGTCGCGTAAGTGATCGAGAGCAACGGTGGCTGCGCATCATTTCTTCTGATCATCACCGAGCTTATTATTGCTCCCGAAATTCATTTCCTAGTCCGTCCCCTCACTCATCTCATATACTCTGGACACCTGAAAAATAACCTTTGCACTGGCTTGGACACCGGATCACTAGTCGGAGAAAATTTACGCACATACGACAGGCTCCCTGAACAACACAACCCCTGACGATTCGGGAAGATGGTGCAAAGAACGAAGACAGAGGGTGCGCTCGACGATTGCATGCGAAATGCACAAGCCTTACAAATATTCTGCGTACAGGCCCCTCACAGGCCGAGCAGCTGTTACGAGTCACCGCTGGTATTGCGGCGGAGCTTATCAAAGCGCACGATGCGAACCAGACAGTTTCGCTCAACGAGCTTCGGGCAAAGATGAGCAAGAAGTATGGGTTTGGTGGCGTGCCCCGGCTGGTGGATATTATCAGTGCTATACCCGATGACTATAAGAAAGCTTTGCTGCCCAAACTCAAGGCACGTCCAATCCGTACGGCGAGTGGGGTAAGTCTCTGTGCTCTCGCAATTACAAGAAGCTCACGGCAGAGAAGATCGCTGTCGTCGCGGTGATGTGTAAACCACATCGATGTCCACACATCGCTATGACTGGAAACATATGCGTGTGCGTCAGCTTCAATCCGTTGGATTTACTTCACCTTGCTCAACTTTCGTAGCTATTGTCCAGGAGGACCAGATTCAGACTTTGACTATAGCACACAAAGTTATACCGGCTATGAGCCTACTAGCATGCGTGCCATCCGTGCTCGTTATGACCCGTACGAGCAAACTCGGGGACGGGTAGAACAGCTCAAGAGTCTGGGTCATAACGTGGACAAGGTACTCAGCAGCGGCATTATCAGGCTATGCATGAGCCTCATAGTATCTCCCTAGGTCGAATTCATTGTCATGGGCGGCACGTTCATGAGCATGCCCGAGGACTACCGGAATAAATTCATTGCACAATTGCACAACGCCCTATCGGGCTTCACCGGATTCGATGTTGACGAGGCCGTCAGGTGGGCAGTTTATCTGCGGATGGTAAAGCGGCATGTTCAGCGCTAGCTTTGCAGATATTCCGAACAGAGCAAATCAAAAGCAATCGGTATCACGATTGAGACCCGACCCGACTACTGTCTAAGACCTCATCTGAGGTGATCTTTCACAGCCTAGAAGTGTCCACCCGCATTAATCACATCTACAGTCAGATGCTGCGTTACGGCTGTACCCGTTTGGAAATTGGCGTTCAATCCGTGTACGAAGACGTTGCTCGTGATACTAATCGCGGGCACACCGTCCGCGCAGTGTCGGAGTCCTTCCACCTTGCGAAAGATGCAGGGTTCAAGGTTGTTGCGCACATGATGCCAGACCTCCCAAATGTGGGCGTAGAGCGCGATCTGGAGCAATTCAAAGAATACTTTGAAAATCCAGCCTTCAGGAGTGATGGGCTGAAGATTTATCCGACACTTGTCATCAGAGGCACCGGACTCTATGAATTGTGGAGGACGGGGCGCTACAAAAACTACACGCCGAATGTGCTCGTAGATGTCGTGGCACGGATCCTGGCGCTCGTCCCTCCGTGGACACGGGTGTACCGCGTGCAAAGGTGAGGACGTTTCCCGCGATTCCCTCAGATATGCCTCCAGTGCTGATATGAAGTACAGGGACATTCCCCTGCCCCTGGTTACGAGCGGCTGCGAAAATTCCGGGAACCTCCGTGAGTTGGCCCTGAACCGCATGAAGGACTTCGGCGCAGAGTGTCGTGATGTACGATTTCGCGAAGTCGGGGTGCGTCTCGTATGGCCTATGGTCTTCCTCATCTGTCAGTTGTCACTCACCGGCTCCGCATGATAGATCCATGAGATTCACCACAAGGTCCGCCCTGAGTCCGTTGAACTGCTCCGCCGAGACTACGCGGCCAACGGGGGCTGGGAGACCTTCCTGTCGTACGAAGACCCCGAACGTGATATCTTGATTGGATTGCTCCGTCTGCGAAAATGCTCGGACGAGGGCACCTTCCGGCCTGAATTAGTGAAGAAGGAAGGTGAAGAGGGTGGCTGTAGCATCGTGCGCGAGCTGCACGTCTACGGAACCGCAGTACCGGTTCACGGGCGTGATCCGACGAAATTTCAGCACCAGGTAGGCATGCTCACGTTACCTCGAAGAATGCAATTTTTGGAAACGCGCTACTTAGGGCTTCGGCACACTTCTCATGGAGGAAGCGGAACGAATAGCGCGCGAAGAGCATGGCAGTGTCAAGCTGGCCGTCATTTCTGGTGAGCATGGCCATTTCGCCGTTGATGTCTATCAGGCTGATAATTCGATAGGCGTTGGCACTCGAGATTATTATCGACGGCTCGGTTACGAGCTGGACGGACCATACATGAGCAAATCCCTACTATGAGGTCATAGATAAAAAATCTGTATTACTGTACATGTACTTCTATACTGTATCGGTACACTTTGTCTATCCCCATGACACATTCACGAGCCGGAATCTCCGAGTACCAGGGTGTGGAAATTCGGGAAGACCAGCTCCTCCTCGATGGTCTTGCGGATCACATCCTGGATGAAGCGTTCGACGCGTGTGACGTTCTTCAGGACGTGTTTGTCCGCCTGGCCAATCTCGCTCTCGATGTATATGGAAGGTAGGAGGCGCTGGCCAATCGGCAAGGGCTTACCCGCCCTCGCAGTGCCAGCCGCAGCGGCAGGCATGTCTTCATCTGCTTCTGGTGGCGTCTCGCTTGTTGGGGGAGTATCACGTTTTGGCCGATTACTCGCAAGGGGGCTGTAAGGGTCGAGTTCGTCGAGGACACACAAGTGAACGCGGCGGCGCTCGCCCTCATACGCGACGACGACCTCGCCGTTGAAGAGGAGTCCTGTGACAGACAGTTTGATTGGTAGCGACATGAACATAGGTGAAGGGTAGTTGATGAGGAGTGATGTTGTAAGCGTCAGACGAAGGTTTGAGTTCCATGTAATGTGCAGGTGGAGCTGTAAATTGGGGTGTGGGTTAGGCTCCTGGCCATCTGGCTGGTGTGGCGGGCGCGAACCCTCTGGAGAGCTCGCAGGAGAGGGCGACCCGGCGTCAACACTTCGTTCGCGTCCCAATGAAATCGAGCGAGCTGCGGGAGGTACAGACATTGCGGACGCGTAGAGGGAAGGTGACGGATACGCTGGGCGCAGATCGACTAAGCTGCTGAACGCAGGCTGCCACATGTCTCTTGTGGGGCGCAGCGACGGCGTCGACGCAAACATGTCCATTGGCACACCTCGTCCGTAGCGCATGTGCGGAGGCAATAGGTGATACGCCGGCACATCCTGCGGCAGGCCCTTCCCCCGCACCGCTTTGCGCGAGATCCACTCGAAGTCGTCCTCTTCGTCTGTCCACTGAGACTCCTTTACGGCCTCCTTCTCCACGTCCTCCGCATCTTCGTCGTCCTCGAGGAAGTCGCGATAGATGTCGCGCAGGTCGACGAGCTCGATATCCGGGCTCACCGAGCCGAAGTCGAAGGATGTGACCTCGATGGGCCCTATGAATGACGGGCGCGACGTCGATGATAGCTGGCGGTTGAGAGCATCGATGAGCGAGGACGCGAGCGACGAGTCAAGCCCATTCCATTCCAAATCGATTGACATTTGTTCTTACGAGTTTGTGTGTGCCGTGAGCGCCCATAGTAAGTATGTTTTACGCGGCTGACAAGCGCCTGGAGAAGCACCACGGGCGCCCACATGCAGAGCAAACATCCGAGATGCGAATTACAAGGTGAGTGTTCTACTCTACGTCTCATGTTATCCGTAGTAGCGAAGTATAACAACATGAAACAAAATATGCGAGGGGCACTGGACGATAACTTGCAATAGATCTCGTAATGAAGGGCATTGTCTACGATTGGCAAAGTGTCTTTCGCACGCGGGTATCGTGTCGGTCTCGTTAGATAAGGCGGGTCGTATATTACTCTTTCAACATCATTGCTGCCAGCGCGAGGACGCAAGGCTCGTCTGCGAACCGTTGCGCGAGGGGGGATACGGTGGTGTGGTGATCGGAGAGGGCGTACGCGAGGGGTACGGCGAGCCGTATGGCGCGCTCAGGTACCGCGGCGTATCCTGTATCTGACCAAATGGGTTCTCCGCATCCTTCTCGTCCGTTAGACCCAGCGTGTTCGCCAAAGTCCGTGGGCTGCCGAAAGGCGATGACGACTTCTTCGGTGACGGGAAGTGGCCGAGGATGGGTGCATTAGGGCTGACGGGTGTGAATGAAGGATTGGTCGACTTCGCAGGAATGACAGGCATAACGCTGGTAATGCCCACGAGCTCCTTTCCCGGGGGTTGGTTGTACATCCACGTTGCTACCAGCACGGTGGTTGACCCGATGAGGAACGAAGGCGTAATGCGGAACCCGAATAACGCAACCGACGCAAGGAAGGAGAGGACGATGGACAGACTTGTTGCGAAGCCCTTCAGAATATTGTCCGAATATTTGATGACGATGGCGGTAACGAGCCCTCCAAAGACCTGGACCATGACTGTCGCCCACGCCCATCCGCCGAAATTCCGAAAAAGGCCGGAGATGATGCCGTCACGAGCATATGTCGGCGATGACTCCCAGAAGATGGGGAGGACCGCGGGGACCAATGAGAATAATGACAACTGCACGTTGCGGACCCATAGGTCAGCCTTCGAATTCTTGAGTACCATCTCGAAGTAGACGCCGGCAAGACCCGACGTAAAGCATGCCGCGGTTACAGCGCCAAAACCCTTGAGAGGGCTCATAATGTGAATATGGAGTGGTGCGGACTCGTGTGCACTTCCAACAGGCATGCTGTGCCGCACCGGGATGTGGTTAGTGCTACCTGACTGGATCTGCACAATCCCCACCCCAATGGCCAGAAAGAACAGCGACAGCCATTTTGTCGAGGTGAGCTTCTTGCGGAGAAGCATAACCGAAAACGCAGCCGTGGTGAGAATCTTCATCTGGTAGGTCACCTGGAATGTCGCGACTGGGAGGTTGCTGATCGCGACGAACTGCAGGGAATTCTGGACGACGTAGAGGATTGCCGGAATCGACAGCTTCCAGCAGTCAGGGCTGAATATTTCGCGACATACCCTTCGGAGTGATGACCACCAGCCCATCAGCCCCCGCCCTGATGCGTCTGAAGCATCTGCTACCCGGAGGAACGCGACGACGAAGGATATCGAACCCTTGAGCAGCTCGTTGAGCAGCACCGCAGACGCGGGCGAGTACGACTGTGCAGCAGGGGTCGACACGCGCGAATAGTGCATCACGATCGACAATGCAGCATTCTGGACTGCGAGCGTGACCAGACTGTGAGCCTGCGTTAGATGAATACCGCACTGGAGTGTGACACGCAACTCACGAGACGTATTTCAATGGCATGCCGCATATTGTGGGCTGGCTGTCCACACTGAGGCTGCTCGCAGAGGCCACGGGAAGGGGCGCCGGGTATGGGATTGGAGGTGTCGCGGGAGGCGTAGAAGTGGGTGTCAGCCGTGGGGTAGACCATGGCGATGCAGAATGGGAGAACGAGCCGTCGAGAGGAGAGGACGGAGGATTAGTGCGCGCGGTAGGGTATTGTCTATGATACATGTCGGGGACTACAGGCGACGGGACACCGAGAGCAGAGGCCCGGCGGGGCACACGGCTTGACCTTTCCATGTGTGAACCGGAGGATGGCAGAGTGCCGCTGGGGATGCCGAGGCGACGCTATTTTGGTTCAGTCCAGCGAAGCGCGAGGCTGAGTGCAATTTAAGGCCGCGGCGCCGTTCAGCCTTGTGGTCCAGCGACGTGGACGACGGCGAGCAGGGTGGAAGAGAGAGAACCGACGTGGACGTGATCTACGACGGTCCCGCCTCTCGTCTTTTTCGCAACCGCGAGTGCAGGCGCCCGCATTGCCATTCCCAGCACCCCCCTCTATGCGCGCTGGCGTGCTTCTCTCGCGTGCGCCCCCGTGTTTACGTCTTGGCTCACACAACCAGTGCTGCGCAGCGAGAAAATCATATTGCCACTCGTAGACATACACACACAACATTACTACATGTGCTAATACACTCCAGAGCACATAACCGTCGTTGCAAGGCATCCCCTTTGGTCATCTGGAAGGAGAAAATACCGGTTAGCCATGATCAGAAGTCGCTTAGAATGCAGGGAATCGTCTCAAGAGACGGGAACCTCAGCCTCGCCTTTCATTCTCCACACGCACCCAGCGTATGCCGATGAGTCCGGAGACAGTGGACCTGCGAAGACAACAGAACACCAAGCGGTGCACGGCCCTCGCAGCGGGGTGCGTTATTTTACCAGGTTTATCTTCGTCGGTTCCAATGAAAAGAGAGCACAATGATGCGAACACTCACATCGTATATTCTGAGTAACACAAATACAAACATGAATCGCTAGCGAATGTAGATGATCTCCAGGTGATCCTGCGTCCTAACCTCTCGACCAGAGGGAGAAGCAATCAGCAAAGATTGTTTTTGAGACACCCCTCATACAAGTTCCTCTACGACGCTTGTCTGGGCCGTCTAATCCATTGTACAGCAGAGCCCCATGAGGCGAACGCAGGATAGGACAGCAATTTGAACGTCGAGGTGAAGTAGACCTGAAAACTGCTCACGCTTCATATAGGTCGCCCGGAACTTGCCGGGCGCGGCCTGAATGCTGCAGGCGCTCAATACGCTGTCGCTCAAGTCTCTTTCGAGTGGTGGCCAGACATGGCGACACCAGCCCCGTCGCAGTTTGCTGCTCTCCTGCGACAGTCTAAATTCGCGTCCTTCGATCCTAAAATTGGTCAGGTCTATGCCTCCTTTGGCGGCGATGCTCATCGAGGAAACTGGGGCCTCAAACGACCGCTCCCGCTGCGTCGACGCAAAGCGACCGTCACGGTCAGAGCTGTAGACTCCAGACAGCAGCAAACGGAGTGGAAGAGCGCGGAACAGCAACACAGATGGATACAGATGTGGGACGAGGCTGGGGTCTCACCGAGAGTGCCTGAGGGCGGACCCTGGAGTCGGCGGCTTGGCCAGTTGGGCGGTGTACAGTGGGACATCGACTCCGAGTTCGGGACGTCGACCCGGGACGGGGTCCAGGATGATGGAGGGATGGCGGGCGCCCTCAGCGACAAGAGCATGGCTATTCCAAACATCGAGGCGATGTCGGAGAAGGAGTTCGAGCGGTATCTGGAGAAACTACGAGAGCTGAGGCCTGCGTTCCGCGACTTCGTCCTATCGAAAAAGGTGCCCGACTGGCCCGTGCAGTCCTTATGGCAGCAATCCGCGAACCCCTCCGAGCTGCACAAGCACTTCCTTGCCAACCAGGCGCACAAGGCGTATAACAACAACCCCGACGCCCGTGTCATCGAGCAGCAGCCTCAGCGCTACGGTGGTCTAACTTACGCCAAAGTGCCGCCACTTCAGAGCCAGTTCCTCAACAAACCTGCGCCAGGACGTGCGCTCCAACTCAGTTCAATGTCAGACGTCGTCGCCAGTTTCGCCGGCTCGACAGTTGTGCTCAGTAAACACCGGGTCGATGATTTGCATCCGGTGGACTGGGAAACACTTGGAGACGCTAATAACGAGAAGGGTCAGGGAGTGGTGCGTAACATGCGCATTCAGAATGCGCGTATCCTCGATGCGCCCGCTGTCGTCGCCGAAAAGCCGGGTACGCTAACGTCGACACGCCTGCTTCTCGGAGCCTCCGTCGATCCACCCGAAGACAGGCAGCACGACCAAAGCAACACCAACCGACCCGGGTCGAGGGAGTACGTTGGACAACGGCCACAGTTCATGCAGACACAAATGCTTCGCTCGCCAAAGAAGCAGGGTGCGGTTTTCGAAACCGTCGATACAGTCAATCTGCTCGGGGTACTCTCCAATGTGGTTGGAGCCGAACAGACGCGGAACTCCTAGACGTGTTTCGATGGGCCCATAGTACTACTCTATGCTTATGGTGTGATCCACGCTTCGATAGCCTTAGTGATATCAAGGTTATGCTGTATAATGAGCTTCTCAGCCTGAGCTCGTGGTATCTCCAGTTCCTCTATCTGTGACGGGCCGTGAGTAAATGAGTGAGCGTGCCATGAAGCGTAGAGATCTCACAAGCAAATCGACGTGTTCCCGTTTCACGGACGTGGCAGATTCCTTGGCAGTCTTGGGTGCGGGTTTTTCTAAGAAGCCAGTCCGGATTGCCTCCTCCATCTTGCCTTTGGAGTACGCGAAGCCATCTGCAAACTACCGGCGAGTTGTTGTCTGACGTAGCTCAGTCTATTTGGTATGCGTACATTGACTATGACTTCGGGCTCTGGGCGACCGTTACTACGCTGAATATTAGACATGTCGTTGGTCAGGTCTGCGTTTGTAGCGATGGTATGGCAGCCTGCGACGAAGGGTTGTAGTACAGAGTACTTGCAAGTACTTACGAAGTGCAGAGCGATCGAGTCTACAATCGCCGATCGTGGTCACGCGATCGAATGCACGTGGGAGACGCGTGGCGGCCATCATAGTAAGCAGACAAGAGCCACGGCCCCGCCACCATTTGACTCAAAACCTCTCCTCGGATTCCTTGCAACTCGCATTTTGTCTCTCTAAACTCACCACCATGGACTCGTTCGAAAACTTTCAGTATGACTCTTCCTCTACTTATGGAGGTATGGGAATTGTGGACGATACATCTTCCGTATACACCGCGAACACCACCAGCCAGAGTCAAGTACCGGACCTGGACAACCTCTCGATTTCTGACGACCGTCCCTATCTTTCGTCTCCCAATGGCCACGCAACCGGAGGGAGCACCCATGGATCCGCTCGTAGCGGCATCGACGAAGATTTCGACGCTGTGCTTGACGATCTGAAGGACGAAGGCCAGCTTGATCTGCCGCCGCACGCATGCAGGTGAGTAAAGCTGACGCGTCCACGAGAAACCTGAACATAACGCGCATATACACAGCTACTGCGGTATCCACTCACCCGCGTCGGTCGTAAAGTGTCTCATCTGCTCCAAGTGGTTCTGCAATTCCCGCGGCAACACCTCGGCCTCGCACATAGTCAACCATCTCGTGCGTGCTAAGCACAAGGAGGTTATTCTTCACAGCGAGAGCCCTCTTGGAGAAACTATACCGGAATGCTACAACTGCGGGAGCAAGAATGTCTTCATGCTCGGTTTCATCCCGGCGAAAAGTGATACAGTCGTTGTACTGCTCTGCCGGTATGCGTCCCTGTTATCAATCTTGTTTATTATTATTTACATTCAGTGGCTAGTCAACCGTGCGCAGCCATCTCGAAGGATATTTCCTGGAATGCCGCATTGTGGGCTCCTCTCATCGACGATCGCTCTTTTTTATCTTGGCTTGTGAAGCCTCCTAGCGAAACAGAACAACTCAGGTCGCGTCAGATTTCATTCCAGCAGATTAATCGTCTCGAGGATTTATGGCGTGAGAACGCCAACGCCACGCTTGAAGACCTTGAGAAACCCGGTGTTGACGATGAGCCTCAGCCAATCTTATTGCGCTACGAAGATGCATACCAGTATCAGAACATCATCGGGCCTCTTGTCAAGATCGAGGCTGACTATGACAAGCGTCTGAAGGAGTCTCAGACTCAGACAGACATTACGGTGCGTTGGGACCTTGGTCTCAACCAGAAGCGCGTGGCGTGGTTCGGTCTTCCCAAGCTAGAAAGTGGCGAGGTTAGACTCGCTGTTGGTGATGAACTCAGACTCAAGTACTCGGGCTCGCTTCACAAGCCGTGGGAGGGTGATGGGCACGTTATTAAGATTCCGAACAGTAAGCGCATTCCGATATCGACTTGCGCGCATTTACCCATCTTTTCTCAGATGTCTCAGATGAGATTGGTCTTGAGCTGCGGCGGTCCGAGGGTGTGCCTCTCGAGGTTACTCACAATTTTACCGCCGACTTCGTATGGAAGTCCACTAGCTTCGATCGCATGCAGCTTGCCATGAAGACATTTGCGGTCGATGAGAAAAGCGTCAGCGGCTACATAGTAATGGTTTTCTCAGCATCACTTGTCCTGTGTACTGAAGACGCCCGCAGTATCACAAGCTTCTTGGTCATGAGCTTGAGCCTCAGGCACTCCGAACTCAAATGCCGAAGCGCTTCTCGGCCCCAGGGTTGCCGGAACTCAATCATTCACAAATGTATGCTGTCAAGAGTGTCCTGCAAAAGCCTATTAGCTTGATCCAGGGTCCCCCGGGGACGGGCAAGACTGTGACCTCGGCATCAATTGTGTATCACCTCGCGAAGATGAACCCCGGGCAAGTTCTCGTGTGCGCACCGTCCAACGTCGCGGTCGACCAACTCACCGAGAAAATCCATGCGACCGGTCTCAAGGTCGTTCGTCTCACTGCGAAGTCACGTGAGGCCTTGGACTCCTCGATCTCGTTCTTGACACTGCATCAGCAAGTCGCGAATAACACGACCCACGTCGAGCTGCAGAAGCTTATCCAGCTCAAGAACGAGCAGGGGGAACTGAGCTCAAACGACGAGAGGAAATACAAGACGCTCATCAGACAGTGCGAGAAAGAAATCCTCGGCGCAGCCGATGTCATCTGCTGCACTTGTGTCGGCGCCGGAGACCCGCGGCTTAGCAAACTGAAATTCAGGACAGTTCTCATCGACGAAGCTACACAGGCTGCTGAACCAGGTATGGTTGGTGGGCTGACATGAGGCCGTTGATGGAAGTACTGACATTTGGGTCTGGCTTGCCAGAATGCATGATCCCGTTGGTGCTCGGGTGTAAACAAGTTGTATTGGTTGGCGACCATCAGGTAAGTGCGTGTCTGCTGTGATCAAACGTTGACTGACGTATCGCAAACCTTACCAGCAACTCGGGCCTGTCATCATGAACAAGAAGGCGGCCCGCGCGGGTCTGACGCAGTCGCTTTTTGAGCGCCTCGTTGTGCTTGGGAACCGGCCTATCAGATTGCAAGTTCAATACCGCATGCACCCGTGCTTATCAGAGTTCCCATCCAACATGTTCTACGAAGGCACGCTTCAAAACGGAGTTACCGCTCCTGAGCGTTTGAGGAAGAACGTTGATTTCCCGTGGCCCGTTCCTGATACTCCCATGTTCTTCTATCAGAACCTGGGCCAGGAAGAAATCTCCTCGAGCGGAACGTCTTTCCTGAATAGGTACGTTTGCACCCCTGTGACGTATCCGCTTCATTGTGACATTAACTGATGCCCGTTGTTTAGAACCGAAGCGTCTAATGTGGAGAAGATCGTCACGAAATTCTTCAAATCGGGTGTGGTTCCCAGCCAAATCGGAGTCGTAACTCCGTACGAAGGGCAGCGCTCCTACATCGTCAACTATATGCAGTTCAATGGCTCTCTCAAGAAGGATCTCTACAAAGAGATTGAGGTCGCCAGCGTTGACGCTTTCCAGGGGCGCGAGAAGGATTACATCATTCTCAGTTGCGTGCGTAGCAACGAGCACCAGGGTATCGGTTTCCTGAACGACCCACGACGATTGAACGTCGCCTTGACCCGCGCCAAGTACGGCGTCGTGATCCTCGGAAATCCCAAGGTTCTCAGCAAGGTGAGTACCGTGCTATTCCCGTCGTTGCATTCTCTCGCGGCCGCTCATCTCGCGCATAGCACCCGCTGTGGCACTATCTCCTGACTCACTACAAGGAGAAGAACTGCCTTGTTGAGGGTCCTCTCAGCAATCTGCAGCCCAGCATGATCCAATTCAGCAAGCCAAGGCGCACGCTCGTGAAGGCGATGGATCAGTTCCGTCGACACGAGACCAGTGCCCGTGACTATTTAGGGAATGGGATGACGGGAGAAGGTGCGTCTAAAATGTCCGTCTGGGACTGACGTAGGGAACCTGATGTTCCTTTCATAGGTCGCCGATCCGGCACGCCCAGCCGTTTTGACGCCAGCTTCTACCGCACGCACGATGCGCTCGGGTACATTCCCTCGGACGTTCAATCGCTGAGATCGCAGGCCACCTACTCGTCCGGTTTGCCCATGTTCGCTGCCAGTGGTCCCTTCGGCCCGGGAATGCAACGCCAGAACGGTGCCAAGCGCAGCACCTACGGTAGCTATGCGAGCTCCATCATCTCACAGGACGCTGGCCCCGGGGGTGCCGACACCGCGAGTATTGCAGGCAGCGCCGTCGGACCTTCCGATCGCCCTATCAGCAGCATGGCTTACTCACAATCCGATAGACTGCGGCGGCGTGCGTCCTTCTCGTCGACCGCGGGAACCTCCGACATGGGCAGCCTGTCCCAGTATGACTACAAGAGCCAAGATGACGCCACTGATCTGGACGACATGAAGTCGCAGTACGCCGGCACCCAGGCGGGCGTCACCGTGTTCTAGCACCCGGGGAAGGCACGACCGTAGCGGTCTTCGATAGCGACTCGGGTCGGTCATATGGCCGGTTGTCACAGACGATGTGCTTCCGGCCTGCCCGTCGCGCGCGCGCGTCTTGGTGTCCCATCTCCCGTCCCGCCGTATTCCGTCCATGGGCACCGTCATGCCGTTCACAGACCCGGGCACGCCGGTGCACCGGTGGGTTTGTTTGGTCGTCTGCCCGCATTAGCCATTAGCTCGCCGTGGATGTCGTGGCGCGTGCTGTACGCTGCACGGATAGCTAGCATGTCCGCGCACAGTCGTCGTGCGCTTTTATGACTTGGGTGTTGTCCACATCTCCATGCGGTTATTATGATTCCCCCTCCCTCTATGCGCTGCCTCGTTGTAGCTAGCCCCGAGCCCTTGTATACTCTTTCAATATATGTTCACCATTCGCGGGACATGCAACGGAGCGTCGGCGTGCGACGGCAAGCAATACACGTGCGAGAAGTGTAAGGGACCCTGAGGTTATGGGAGGCTGTCGTAATGCGTAACAAGCAAACAGCGGAGGGATAATAAATAGATGGGGGCTGGCGTGCCTGTAACACAGCACAGCTGAAGCTAAGATATACACGGCATCGGCACGACGGATGCGGTGCACATGTGGAGACACAATTACATGATCATGAGGCCGTCGGGTGACGGCAGACGTAAGGCGATGTACACGATTATAGAGACATGCTTTCCCGGCTTGGACCATAACACTAAAACAGCTGTGAGTTTCGACAATTAGCCACAAAGATACCATTACGGAGAACCCATGACGTGAAAAATGCAGACATGCAGGGGGCCGCCTAGATCCGCCGCGCGCTGCATTGCCGCATGCGCCGCCAGACGACCGAGCGCGAACACCTGAGATCCGCCGCATGCGCCGCGCCGCTCATGTTCGGCTGCGGCTGGACGACGACGACGAGCGCGCCGCCTCGTCCGCGTCCTCCGGCGCCGCCCCGCGCGCGCGCCTGCCCGCCTCGCGGTGAGGATAGCCCGCCGCGCGCGCAGGGGCCCCCGCCGCCGCAGCGGGCACGGGGATCGTCGGCAGGGTCTGCC